TTTTACAGCGACACTGAGAATTTAGTATTAAAAAGAAATTGAATTCTGATTACGATAAAATGATAAGGGCTTAGTACAATTTATCATAATGGTTTTTTTTTCAAAATTGGTTTTCTGATGTAATGATTTTAAGAGGATTTAGTATAGAATTATTAATAAATAGATGCATTAAATACATAATTATATTCAATAATTCTTATACCTATTTATTTCATTATATCCACATAGACCGTATAGGCCATATCTATTGTAGTTTTTATAATTACAACTATTAATCCGTAAATAGCTTTCATAACGAACAAATGTTTGATAATAAATATAAAAATAAGAAGCTTCTTGAAAAAAATATGATATTTAATCTACCTCAAGATTATATAGCTAGGTACACTATATATTTTCGAAGGAGAAAATTGTTGAACTAAAAATTTCCATTTATATTACACCATAAACTAATATAAAATGCAATCGAAAATGATATATATTCTCCATCCACGCCTTAGTGTAAAATATGGTAAAAATAACCGAATCACTAAAATAATATATACCAACAAATTTATATTAGTTGTTTTAAAATAAGTTAGAAGCAACTAAAATACATACGATAGTGTTTAAGAATTTTGTGTATCAATTTAGTGCCTCAAATTCAGAGAAACAAAAATAATTTTAACTATTGTATACCTCTAAACGAACTCAGCCAGGTGAACATCGGTCTTGACTAATATTTTTATTGTTTGAATTAATCCATTTGTTAATTTGAGGCGAAACATTATACATTTTCCTATAATTAAATTACAACATATTCGATTGTAATTGTCGCGAATTTTCAGTCGTATTTATTAGTTTATCAATTAAAAGAAGATGTGCAAATTATTATCCTTTCCTACTACTCCGGTCCAAACTTTAAACCATTATAACTCATAAACGGTAAATTTGATATTAGTGTTATTTATATCAAAATGTTTAAAAAAAATATTCTGTATTCAAAACAGGGGATTCCCATTTGAAAAACAAAATTAAATATGTACCCATTTATGGTATATGAAATAAATATGGGACAAAATTAGTTTTAAAATAAAGCCTAAACGATTCTACAATGATTAAAAACAGAAATCAAATTAATTTTACAATTCTCCGATATAATTACTGGTCCATGATAAAAAAAAAAAAATCTCTCTAGAAGTATAAAACAAAATGAATGTATTTATATTAATAACAATATAAACCACAACACAGCACTTAATATTTAATTTTTCGACCTGACGACAATAAATTACGAAAGTGCTATTAAACTGACAGTTTAAAATCTTAAAACAATTATAACTCAGTCAGTTTCGTTAAAATAAACAATCTTTTAGATTCGAAGAGTAACGTATTCTGTCTAAATGGTGCATTAAACCGGTCATTTTTTGATTTTCCAAGAAGTTTTCAAAATAATTGGGTAAAACCTGAAAGAAAATTATAGGAAGAATGAAAAATATTTACAGTACGCCGCGGCGTTACTGATTTCATTGTTTTTAATTTTTACAACTTATGTTTTCTACCAGAAATATTGTTCCAAACGAAAAATGATAAGAGATTATTTTTTTTTCTTTTAAAAAACAATCACTGACAAAGAAAGTCGTTTTTTTTAAATTATAAGTTTTAAAATCAAATTTTTACGAAATAAACCGTAAATAATACGGCCTTTCACAACATGTATAAGTGAACTTCGCTCCGAATCGTTTTTCGTTAGCAATGGTTTATCGTTGCATACGGATATACATTAAATAACTTTATGTATTCCACCTTCCCAACTACTCACCTATAATTTTCGCACCCATCCCTAGTATCAACACTTTTTTTTTTTTTTAAATACTGTTTTAAAATAAAATTTATTGAAAAAGCTTAAAATTTATAGTAGGTACAGTTTTTAGTAAAAACTGTGAGACGCTGTTATGGCATTATTATGATTGACGTTAAATTATCAAGTGTGAAAACGAGTCTCGGATTCTATTACAATCTTTACTCAAACAGAAAAATGTTGTCATTGATGTATAGTTTTCATTGTTTTCAGATATTGATTGATGAGTATCGGCATTTGTCTAAGTCAAATACTTACATTTTTCTAGTTATCTGTAGATAATTAAATAAAAATATAAAAAGTTATTTTTAGTATTTTACTCATTTACGCAACGATGATTAATGAATAATAATATATTATATACAATTTGTATTCTTCTGAAGTATTATTTAATAACTGAGTAAAATGATAAAGTTTATATATTGCCATTAAATAAAACAAAATTAATATTGTATACCTACTTTTAACAACTTGATTTTTAGGCTTATAAAATATCATATTATACTCCTTTTGTATCTAATACAAAACCCCAATGGTAATATTTGTTTCTGTTAGTCTTAAAAAGTACTTAGCCAGCATAGTAACAGATAAAATCTTCAAATGAAATCATAGTAAGCAGAATAGGTCAAGTGAAAAATATAATCTTCAAAAATAAAAAAATTACTGATAGGAAATAAAATGACCATATAAATACTAAAAATAAACTAATACAGACGTACGAAGGTTGCTTTAAATGGATGAGACAAGAACAATAAACAAAAAAAAAAGGATAACGTATAATGGAGGCTCTTAAAATGCGATGTTAAAGAAAAATGCATAGAATATGTTAAACTGAAAGAAATAAAGACAACTTAAAGCCAATAGAAGAGAAAGGAAAATTAATAGATATTCTCCAGCGTAATAATTGAAGGAATAATGGAGGGATCACGATAAAATGAAAGAACAAGAACAAAGTAAATCAGTCAATGAAGGTTGTAAGGGTCATTTCTTACAAAGTGCTCAAGGATATGATAGACAACACGGAAATAATGAGAAAACACCTATTAAAAATAAATATAGTCCAATCTTCGAGTTGAAAAAAAAAAGTAAAAAACATATTTTCAGACCACGTAAAATATATAATGTACATATCAATAAATTATATAATTTTAGAATGTTTAGTTCGGTACTAGGGTAGGATTAGGCCGGCGTGAGATCGTATTCGGCACAAAAGGCCAGTTATTAGCTTAGTTATTAAATTGAGTCGATACTGGCGATTATAACAATGTATCATATTTTGCAACAACAAACAAATGATAAAAAATTAAAACGTTAAAATGGTAGAAAATGTTATTTTATTGTTTACTTTAACTGTTCCGCCCGGAATTGCTAGTGCCTAAATAAATAATAGAAGAATGATCATCCCTGTCATTAAGGTAACTCATAAATACCAATAATAATAATATTTATTTGTTGGTTTTAACTATTATGTATTATTATTATTATTATTATTATTATTCCATCCACATCACCAAGATATAACCCGTAAATCAACAAAAATAATTCGATTTTCGTACTAAGAATACCAACAACCATAAGTCGCATCCCCTTCTTTATTCAATACGGGGGGAAAAGTAGCCTATATGTTATTCCTAGAACTACATGTATGAAAATGTATCAGCTCAATCCATTCAGTAGTTTGAGCAAGAAGACTAGAGGTAAAGGTTAGAACTTGCAAATTGTGTGATAGGTTTTAGGATTCCGAAAAACTAACCACGTCCAGAGAATTTCGTGTGGGGGGTGGTGACACCCCAAACACAACAGATAAACCATTTAATTGAACCATTTATTGAACGTTGAGCACGATCCGGCACTGCTCGATACCGTATATTATAATACCGAATTTATTAGAATCAGAGTGTTTAATTTCATATCACCCGTGCTTCAATGCGATTATTATCAAAGCGTTATTCTATATATGATTATAAAATGATGGCAGCCGAACGATATAGGCAGGTACTGTTATTAAATAGAATTTAACGTAAACTAATTATACAGGTACAATTAGGAACTGGGGAGAAATGGATAGTTGTTGTTTATTTATTTATTTACGAATGGATTTTTTTAAAATAAACACACGCAAAAATAATCGAGTAAACAACGTGTAAAGATAAAACTATATTAAAAAAAAAACAATATATATATATATATATACGCTGCATACAGGTACCGAATATACTATTTTATTAATTAAAACGCCGGCATCGGTGTACGGGTAGCGGTCGGCAGGACCGAATTAAGCCCAACCATAGTACACATTTGTTAATATTCCAATATTTTCCATTGTCATGCCCCGGAGCGGACTGTACACTAGGTATATTCGGAGGGTAGTTCCTCGACATTACGGAAACTGCATGGCTGACGCCCGCGGTAACGACAACGTTACAATCAGGGATGGGCAGTGTCTAAGATACATTTGTATCTTGTATCTAGATTTATTTTTTGTGGTGTAATTTGTATCTTTTTTTTTTCATTCTAATGTTATTTACAATAATTGCATTACATCGGTTACATTTTTGTGATTTTATGACATTTTTGTTATTATATATTCTGATATTCATATTTTATTTAATAATAATAATAATATAGTTGTTGATATTTTGTGTAATAATAATAATAGAGCATTTTTTTTTCTCAAAATGTGTAATATGTTTTAATTTTTTTTATTTCAATAAAAACAAAGTTAAATCTGACATCATGGGCGACCATACTATAAGTATTTTATTATTAATGTATCTTGTATCTAGAAGTAAATATGAATGGTTTTAGTATCTTGTATCGTGATACATTTTTTCAAGTATCTTGCCTATCCATGGTTACAATAATATAAACAGCCAGCGGTCGGCGGTATCGTCTTCTAGAGGGACGCGATTCATTCGGCGAACAATATTATTATTATTATTGTTATTATTGTTGTAGTTGTTGTTATTATTAACGGTGGCGAAAAAGGCGACGAAACGCGGCCGCGGTCTGACGTTTCGCGGGCCGGCAGATGGTGTGCCGTTCGTCGGAAAATATAAAAATAATAAAAAGGGGGAAACGCGCGCGGGCAGGTGTAATACGTTGCGCCGGAGGCGCGACGGTGGCGAAAATCGTACGGCGGGCGTGCAACAGTGTTCAAAAGCTCTGTGCGACGACCACGACCGGTGTTGTGTACGCGCGCGTGAGAAACGGAATTTCGAATTTTTTTTTTCGATTTTTTTTTTTTACTCCCTTATCCCCCTGCCGCATTGGAATTATGTCGGTTTTAATTTATCATTATTATTTGTAGTCACTGTTAAATATTTAAGAGGTGTGTGTGCGCGCGCGCATGTGTGTGTATCGTGTCCGTACAGCGAGTCGACTTTTATGTTATTATAATATTGCCGCGCGTTATATACTGCAGCGATGAATTGGATACGCGCCACCACGACGACGACGATATCGTTTTAAATCGTATGTACGGTAAAATACCTCAAAACTAAACGCCAACGCGATATATTCAAAAAAATAATACAATAACACAAATCAGAAATCTACTGTTTTGAAAATATCTATACTAACGGTTACGTATAATAGGTAAGTAATATGTTGTTATTTTAATCTTAACGCGTATTTTTAATTTGTACACAATACACATATACAATTAAATCGCAAATACGTCTTAGAGTACTCGGTAGAGTTTTAACTTTTTTATAAAACGATTAATAATTGATTATTAACAAATTAAAAAAAAGTACAAGACGATAGAAGATATTATACCAATAAGTACTTTTATGAACGTAAATACATGGACACCCAATTGGTTCTTAAATCAATAAAAATCTAATAATAATATTATAGTAATACCTTCATATAGCGCGTACTATCGAAATTCCGGAATTAATTAAACACAAAATGGGTTTCTATTCATCTACGTATCATGTTTATAGGTATATAAAATTGTTACAAAACGCTTTTAGGTATAATAAACCTGTACACAACCGTAATAGTAATCTAACTCTTAAAATAATAAATATTTTTAAAAAAATAATTAATGCGAAAACACAAACGTGTGTTGTTATTATTTTTGAATTTTAGAAAAAGGTATTAAAATAATAGTATATTCATGAATTTACATTAGGTGTAACTAAAACATCAAAATGTAACATTTATCTTAAAGAATTTCAGAATATTAAGTATTATGCCGTAAAAAAATCACACACAAGTATTACTACGACTAAAAATGTTCATCTGTATACTTTATTTGGTTCAATGTAATTCATCTAATTTAATTAAGTATATACTCGTAAGCAACACAGCCTTACGTGTGCAGTTGCAGTTTACTCGATCATACCTTACTATAGCTGTGCCGTCTGACGTTACCTATGTCAAATAGAAAAATGTTCATCCCCATCACCAAGATAATCCATAAATGCCAATAATATTAATAATAATAATTATTATTTTTATTTTATTTGTTTTATCTCTCTATTTTTGTATTATGGCATACTCGTACCCTCTGTTATTTGAACGGAACACAAAAGTGTCGGATGGGATGCAAATGCAATTGCAATGTATCGAACATAAAATTGTTTAAAAATTACAATTCAAAGGTCCAAACTGCAGTGGCGTTTCCAGACTTTGGTTATGGGGGAAGGAGGCAAAATAATTAAATTTAATATTAATGATTAATAAGAAAAAATTATATCAAATAATGTATTGATCATATCTACTTCTGGACCGATGACTATGCCAAATGCCAATGTAAGTCAACTTCTCTTGGGGGAGGGGGTTAAGGACGCTCCGTAACCAAAGTGCAATTTAATATAGTTACTCGGGTAAAACTAATATAAATTTATCATTCTAATTTTATAATATGGATAAATGTAGAGGATAAAACAAATTCTATCGCTGTTATACAATTAAAACGATCCTACATAAATTAAAAGGAACTTGTTACAATTTTACAAAGAAAAAATAGATTTGAATTAATTATGACAGGTTTTATCAAAAGCATTTTATAAATATAATTTGTTCAAGGGTTACGTATATATATAAAAAATAATTTGATTTGGTCAATCCTCTATAATAAGGTGACAGTTGGTGATTTTCACATAGCCCTACAAGAATTCTTTATAAGATTCGAGCATTGAGCTCTACAAAAGATTTACTCGTTCTTAAAAAAAAAAAAAACTACGCCTGCAGCTAAAAAAAACATTCTTTTTTCTGTAAATGAAATAAACTAAAAATAGTCTTGTAAAAATGCCTACATTGTAACAAATTTCACTGTATTTCCCACTTCCATTCAAGTACCTATTATGTTTTATTTATTATGATTTAATAGAATTAACGCCGTTCGGCTATTTTCAAAGGTAACTTGAGAATCTAACATATAAAATAATAACAGAAAAGAAAAGAAGAATACAAAGGAAAATACATTTTGGTAATTACGATACAAATAAAAGTTGCTCGTAAAAATAAATAGAATGTGTACCTTAGTACAGAAGTACTATATAGAACCAGATTAAATTGTAATTACGCGTCATTTCTGATAAGGGTGCACTCATTAAGAAATTAGTATTAATACTATTACTTGTAGGGAGATAAAAGAGAACCCTGGACCTGCTAGGAACTTGGAGCGGCGACTCGACCCTCGATCAATCCGCGAATAAATCTGTATTACCAAAATTCTTGCGCCTTTCAGGAAGTAATATAATATTACTTATATATTTTTTAGTCTTTCCAAATAATTCACAAAATTTTTGGTTTTCTTCACATCAAATTAGATTAGTGTAGTTAATTAAAGTTATTAAAACATTTGATTATTGATAATAGACGTCTACTCCATAGGTATATAGATTAAGTCATGTTCGTCTATAAGGTTATAGAAAATAATTGAAATAGGTATTAACTTTTGAATATAATTTTTTTTTCATACCGCTTCTTTGGAAATTAAAATGACTACATTAATATATATATAAAAAAAAAAAAAAAACTATTCAGCGGACGTGTATGTATATTGGATTAAAATGTTTAGAATAATATTGCAAAGTGGCTATTTTGAAAAGTTAACGAATGAAGTGGTTTTTTCTACAGATTAAGAGGTAAAATATTAGTTTATTTTTCTCTAAATATATGAACTTCTGACACAAGATTAAAATAAATAAATAAATGGAACATTAGCATCGGGCGGCAACACATCCTGTATATTAATAGGTTATTTTACAAGAACACCCAAATTTTACCAACTAAATTTCACAGAATAATGTAAGCAAATTCAGTTTTATTGTAAATTATAGTTTCCCAACCCGGATTCTCGTGCAGTCTAATTTATTATTGATCTTTAGACAAATATTATTTTTATATTTCCCTAAAAAGTTATTATCTAGTTTTTGATAATAAAATTATAGGTACAGAAAAGGTTGTTTATAGGTAATGCAGCTAGAAAAAGTTTAAATTGTATCCATGTGTGTAAATTTTATAACACACTGGTGATAATATCATACCGCAACAGTTACAGTCGAGATATCAAAACTATTCCTCTATAAAACTTTACTCTGCCGTCAATCTTTTGTGTTATTATGTCTTGCGTCTCGGAAAAAGAACGAACGGTAATAAAATCACGGTCGAAATGGTGCCGAAAGATAAAACAATATTTGACAGAAAACTTACTGCTCGTATGCGAGTAATTTCGATGGCTCAGACGGGGTCGTTAAGGGGGTTGTCACAACCAATTTTCCAGAAATTTAGATATTGTTATACGGCGCGGTGACGTATATATCCTGTACTCGAACTGAGGGGGAGAGAGGCGTAATGGTGACCTCAACTAAAACTTTTATAAAAATGTTTATAGCATTCCTCAGTGATATATTTTTCAGAGAATCCCGTATACACGCTTCAGTAATAGGGAATTTAAAGTAAGCCTTGTGCTTAATTCACTAATCTCGGGATATTCTTTTCGTAACTTAAAATTATTTCACAGTAAAATAACCACCGAGCACGTAAATACACCATTATAATGTATACGTTATAATATATTTATTTGTTGTATACGAATTATCTTAGTGAATATTTCGTCAATAGAGTTCCTCCTACTTGTTTTTCGCAATTTGAGCACTGCGTACAAACCGATATCGCCTGCAGTAATTCGGTAACCTACATATAGTTAATATTGTATACAACATTAAAATACATAAAGTACTTTACAATCAAATAAGTAATAAATCGGCGACACGGTCAGAGAACAACAAAATCCAATCGTATAGCTAACGTCTTTAGATACGCTTTTTTTTTTTTTTTTTACTCTACGATAAGTGTCATTTTTCATAATATTATCAGAAGCTTGCGGTAACGCCACTGCCGCCAATACACAGCAGTTTGGAAAATTATCTTGAAATTTCTCGATTGGTTTGTAAGTTATAATCAAACTGTTCCCTTTACATATTATATTATACAATATAGGGGAATCCCAAGGTACATAACATTAATATACGGACTTTTACCATTATCCTATCATATTTGAAGTATCCGTATACATGCACACGGTGTTATACATAATTTAAAAAGTCCAATGTTTTATCGAATAAAGGATAAATCGTAATTACGAAATAATATGTCCCCTCACTCCGTCATACACATGATTTTAAATGTTGACGAATAATTTTGGATAAATTGTACAATTTAATAACATTATAGGTACTAGAATAAAATCCGTGAAAAAATTAATTAATTCGTCGTTGATATTGACTTCCCTTGATTAAACGTCAGATAACGATAGTTTAATTTTACTGACCATCGAATACTGCTATAATAATATCAACGGTACATAAAAAAAACGTTCTTTGTGCTAAACAAATTTACTTTGAAGGATTTTTTTATAAACTTGTCAATTTTTTTCTGTATAGAAAATACAGTCCGACTGAAAATATTATACCTAATTTAATATTCGATGGTAATTTATTCGTTTTTAATATATTAATATTGTATCATGCGGTTATTTCGTTGTTTGTTATTAAAAATGCTTATACGATAATATAACATGCATATTAATACCGTTTTTTTTAAAAATGAGACCGGGGTTCTAATTTTATTTATTTTTGTTTTTTGGTTTTAATACGTCAAGTTTGTAAAGTAAATAAGTTAAACTAATGGTTGAAAAAACCCGATTAACATAAACGAATAAGCGAATATTTTAAAAATACTTAAGCAAGTGTTTATTTTCTTTAAATTAGTTATTATAAAGTTAGATAACCTATTGTATTATGTAGTATAATATGTGGTAACCTAAACTATTTAAATGTAATTCAGGCTTCTAGGACGATTTTTGACTGTTTACGGTAAAATTTAAAATAAATAATGCTTTTAAAATCTAAAAATAAATTATAATTGGATTTTTTAATATTTAATTCAGCTATAATCTATAAAAAGTATCAGTTTAAAGCTACAAATTAAATTAAATCACTGTTAGGCACACCGGTTAGTTTAAAAATGTGGTGGTTGCCTATGTATATTTGTGTGTGTACATATATTTTATGTTATACTTAATTTCAAATCACACGTTTAAAATGGAATTTTGTGATCACAATAATTTTAGATTAGGAAACTGCTACTAATTGTTTTTTTTCTACAAATGAAGTCTAATACTGCAATATAGGAAGTTATATAATACTATTATAAGCATAATTTTTTTTTCCATGCGTGGTGAAAAAGAGACCATATACCAACGTACATAGGTCATATGCAAGTATATTAAATACACACTTACTCCGAATATTTATTTATAGGTTGCAAAAAACCTAACCTATACATAAACTTATCATTTAATTAATAATTTTAAACAACTATATGTCATACTCATCATATATTATTCAATATTTTCATTCATAATAAAAACATGGATGTGATATGTCACCTTATCAATGAAGACAGTATTCAGACGTAGTTTTCGTACAATATAATATATTGTAGGTAAATAAAATAAATAAAAGGCCTCACTTGTTTGTCATTGTAGTAATTATAATGATCTCACTTGGTGATTTCCCATCCAGAATTTTAGAATCTATGATTATTTTAAACATTGTTTTAAGAAAACATTAAAAGTATGTATTATATATATATTAGGATAGTTGTTATCTTTGAACTTCAATAATTTTATGCCACGGGCTCGAAATTCTATTAATTACTTACATTGTAAAAATAATTTTTGTAAATTTTGGGTACAGTGAGCCAACCCCTTCACGTGCCTCGAAAGGGTTGAAGTTTGTAAAAAGGGGATGTTTTTGGATATTTTACGTTAATTTTTTTAATTTTTAACATTTGTATTTTCAAAGTTCAAAAAAAATAATATAAAAACTATCCCTTTTTACTAACTCCAACCCCTTGGAGGCACGTAAAGGGGTTGACCTATCATAACCAAAATTTACAAAAATTATTTTTACAGTGTACCTAACAGAATCCCGAGCACTTGGATTCAAATATTTGACGTTTATTTTCAATTATATCTATATTTTAACATAGCTATATTTTGAATTGAAATTACAACCCAAATTTTAATACTCGAATGATAAACTATGTATTATTATAATGTGTGCGTTTTTGAAAAAAAAAAAAGATTTATGTAAACGTAAAAAAAATAGATAGGTATTTTAAAGTTATTCATAAGAAACTAATATTGGATAATCATGAACATTATACTGTTTAGCATATACCTTATAATACAAAATAATTAAGTATTTGTATTATTAATTTTATAAAATAATAACAATTATATGAAATAATTAAATAAAACCCTAACAGAATGATGTGAATTGGAACAATATCAATTATCATTAATAATATTGTGCCAATAAATATATATAAATATTTCAATAACTCACTTCGACCCCTTACGATAACTCAGAATTCACAAAAATAATTCATCAAGTTGTCCAAAAAAATTTTAAGTCAGCCAATTATGAATACCTACCTATAAGTATGTTAATATGGTATATATTTCACAATATAATATTATAATATTTTCCACCTCGAATAATGATCATTGATAAGTTTTATCGACATGTATATAGTTTCCATAAAACGAAAGATACGTATCTAAAAATCAAAAGCATTGTCAATATTTTTTACCACGTAGGTAAGTATACGAGATGAAAAAAAAAACCGTACGTTTTTGTCAGGATGGCAGCATTTTTAAGAGCACAAATATTTTCTAACTACATGGGAGTATAGCTATCCGTTTTAAATTTATTTTCAAGACTCTTACCCTTTGTGTAGCTAGAACGAATGGTAAAACTTTATTATTATTATTATATCATTTTTATTATTATTTATATATTTTTTTTTTTTTTTGAAGTGTAAACGCTGAAGTTTATTGAAATTTTGTGTCGTTGAGTTTTTTGAAAACCTACTACCGAAACCCTATTAGTATTAAAGTTTATTTCATTTTGAATACATGACAATACAAATTATACACACAAAACTAAACAACTGAAGCAAGAAAAGTTTTCACGTTGATATTTTAAAACTATACCTATGCTATATATAGAACTCAAAAACATTGTTTGAAGAATTCCGTATAATTCCCAGTACAGTGAACACAATATTTTTTTTGTTTTTAAAGTTTAATTAGATTCTCGGATACGTCATACAAACCGGTACTATATGTCTTGATTTGAGTAATACAAGGAAAAACTATAATTTTTGTAAAGCACACGTGAAATCGTAAAATGATTGGTGTCGATTGTGTCAAAAAGTCAACTATGTTGACAACTGTAGTAGATTAGGTAATAAATATACTCTATAGCACGCAATTAAAATTCGTATTAACATTATCTATATCCATTACTAAAATAAAATTGAAAACATAATCAAATAAAATATTGTATGAATGTAAAATTATTATTGGAAAATGTCCTGGGTAAAGTATCATGTTGATAGATTCAATAATATAATATACACATAATATTTTAATAAATTAATAATATACGCTAAAAATGTACAGTTAACGAGAAGAGTCAACTAAAAAAGCAATTTGGGATAGGTGAAATACAAATTTTGTTTATGGGATGATGATGGTTTTTTTTTTAATTATTAAGAATAAAAATAAATCGTTAATACGAAAAACCATTATATGGAGGACTCATTGAAAATGGATTGTGTTTGAATAGTTTGTGTAAAGTTTAAAAGGCATGACCTCATTTAATAATTATAATTAGATATGTATATTAATCAGCTAGTTACAATTAATATTTTGTACGTATTGTGATACATATATTTTTTTTTTCTAATATTTAAAATCTTTTAATTACAAATGTTTACATTAAATTGTTAAACGATTTGCAGCGTCAATTAATGACTATAAAACACTATGTACTCCTGGGATTACTAAAAAATATGTACACACATCTTTAGATACAATATTCTAACCTAACTTAATCAAAATAGTTTGAAACGTCAAACTGTACAGTTTGCACATACATAAATATGCTTTGTGATGCAGAAACAACAGGAAATTACTGAAATCTACACGATCTCATTTCTAATTTATAAATATTTAATATATAGATATGGGGGCAATTAAATACACTTACAATCGTGAAATACACATACCGTACGAACTTTTACGAATAAATTAAATTTGTTTATATCATTTACAGTATTCAATATTGAAGTTTCACGCTATTTACCAAGTGCATCAAATTGGGCAGTAGAATACAAGATAAGCGTGTACAATCTGGAAACTTTCCAACTATTATTTAATAATATATTTATTATACCGTCTACGATGAAAATAATAATACATATTATTTCCGGTGAAATTAATAGTGAACTAAAATAATATAAACTGAATGACGGACGAAATTCTCTCTTTAGACTATTTATATACACTAACAATATATTTTAGGGCTTAGTGGCCGGCCGACCTAATATCGTGACCAAATTATTATATAAAAAAAAAATAAATGAAAAATAATAATAATAATATATTACTTTCAAATTCAAAATTTGTACGTTTAGGTAATTTATAGACTTATAAATAAATTAACGTTACTGCAGGTTATACAATGAAAAATAGGTATTGGAATTTTGTCAAAATAGTAATAATAAGGGATAAAATATTGTATACCGTGTATTATTACCAAGTATTTTTCATAGATACACAGATTATAATTATTAATACTAATTGATTTTTACTTTATTAAAAATCTACAACAAAGAAGAAACTAAACACTTGGGACCTTTAGCTATAGTGTAATATGAATTTGGGTTCGTTCTTTTTAAGGTACCGTATTTTCTTTACTCCTTTAACCATCGTTTAAACTTTACATGGATGTTGATGATAAATACTTAATTATAAAATATTGTGAAATGTGAAAAACAGTTATATTAAACTACTTTTTATCGCTTGTTCTTCTTGTCTTTACTTTTTGAAGAACTCTGATATCAGGGGCACCAAAGTCTCACTTTGCCAACTTACCTAGTAATTGCACCACTGAGCAACAGTAAGTATTTAAAATCTGGCGAACCTGGTGAAACGGTGAATCTGATATTAATGTGATATCAACATTTCTAGAAAAATATTCTTTATTCGAATCTGTATTCTAAAGGGGGGTTCATATTTGAAAATCAAAACTATGCAATTATTTAATATACATGGATTAGGGGTAAAAATTAAAAATGATCATAAATTTAAGCTTACACGATTTCATAATGATTAGAAAAAACAGAAATCAAATTCACTTAAAGTTCTCTGAGATAATTGGTGGTTCATTATAAAAAAAATCACCCTGTATATATATACAACCCTAAATAAATAAATTATAATCCTAAAATATAATAATATAATATATGCATAATATATGGGTGGTAAATTTGTCAATCTTAAATATTCAACATTTTCAAAACTTAACAAAAGACATTTTTAATTTCGTTAAAAAATATGTATAATATACATTTCAAATAGTAAATAAATATAAATAAATTATTTATTGACTGTTAGAACTTTCAACTACAAAACGATAATATTATAGTTCATACTTTTATTTTGTATAACATTATTACTAATACATTTATGAATTTCATTATAAAATAAAGTCTAGCACAGAAAAATGTCTGTGTAGCTAATAACCAGGACTCGGGACTTTATGCATTTAAAATCCTCAGAAAAGAGCTTAAAACGTCAAAAGTTATGAAATAAAATTTAAAAATCAAAAATGGCAAACAGCTCAGAGGGGTTTAACATTTCTATCTCTACATACCATCACGGCTCTAACCATTAAATGCAAAAAAACTTGTGTTTATTATCATTTTTGTAATGTTCGAAAATTGTATTTTATAATTTAGAGTCATTGGAGGGGGACTTTGTATATTTATTATATAGTACCTATATGTATTCAACAGTAAACTATTCAAGAAAAGTATACTTCTTCAATTGCATTCTAATAAAAAAAAGAAATGCATAGTATTAATTATATAGGTATTATAATATATATGTATACATAGGACGTAACAAGAAGATCTGACACCTGAAAGAACTTTTGTTCTGTTCAATATTTTTAAGTTTCATATCCTTATAATGATTTCTAGAGCCTATCACCATATAATTCCTCTATTTAATATGTTTTATATATTTTTAAACCACAAATAAAACGTTTAAATTTTAAAAAAAAACTGTACTTACAAAATCCAAGATGGCTAGGTATTTTATAAATATATTTTAAAACAGAATTTAGATGTTACAAATAGTTATGGATGATAATCGTTAAGTTTCTAGAATTTTTCGAAGTTAATAATAATTATTAACAAAATTGTTTTTTATTGGAAAATTGTCGAATAAATTTACATTATTTAGTAGTGGCAATGAAAATAATTTAAATCATCTATAACTTAAAAAAAAATGTAGAAAATTAATGATTCATCGTTATTTGTGAGTAAACAATTGTAACACAACTCGTACGATTTTATAGACACTTTACATAATAAAATTTTAAAAATTGTAAGGTTTCTAATAGAAATCACTATGACATATTATATTAAATCAATAGGAAAATGATGGCAATCTCTTCAATTTATTGGATGAATTATAATACAACGGTTGTCTGTCAGCATGGCGGCATGAGCGGCTATACTAGTTTAAGATTAATTTTAATTAGTTTATGTCCCTCTTGTGCGTGTCACCAACAGTGTGGTAATTTGGTGTAAATAATTAATTTAATTAATCAGAGAGAAAAGCAACATTGTTACGAAGTACATGATTTCCAATTTATGTAGTGCAGGTAGTATTAAATGTCTAATGGCAATTATTATTACCTACTACACAATACCATAAATCATGCTACCATAAGACATTTATGATATTTTACAGTGAGAAAATCACTCCTATAAGTTAAACAATGTATACCTGCGAACATTTGGTAAGAATCAATGATTATATTATTTGCATATTGTACAGAACAGGGTCATTTATGTATGCTAAGGGAGTGGTATACATAAAATGAGTGGCTCAAATATATTTTTAGCAACTTACTCTTTTTCTTATAACTTATCTGGAACTTTTAATATTTCCACGAACAAATAAAGAATTATTTGAAGAACAAAATTAAAAGAACCTGTTTTACCCAAAAATAGTAATTAACATTTTTAATGTTTATAAAAAAATGCTCTCAGACAAGGTTCAAAGATATTCATATATATACTATTACTTGAAATACAGTCCGGAATATAGTATATATTATATTGGTCTTAATTTGAATATTCAATTGTTAAAACTTTTAATTATATATAAAAATAAATACAAAACAGATTTGAATGATAATTTAGATTTTAAATGTATAAGTATATCACTAAGTCTATAAGTATATTCATGAATTTATATTTATTTTACTATTGAGTATTTTAATAAAATCAGTTATATTATTATTTTCTAAAATCGAAACTCACAACTAAAATAAATTTGATCAAAATCGTTTTTGTTAAGAGTTAATATCTTGAAAAAGAAGCAAAATAGAAAATAAATTTCGACCTTTTACTGAACCTACCTACTAAAACAATATATTGTACTAAGTACAAAATTATTGAACCTATTTAGTTTAGACTGACACTAGAAGATTACATTCTAATCAATTGTAATAATTTTTACAGTAGGTAAACTTATACAAGAATGAGATTGATTAGTTGAAAAGTTACAGTAATAATCAATGAGAAATAGCTTTACGGCAGTTCTTGTGTTCAAATCGTTGCAAATTATGATTTATTATTTAATCGATTACACATTATTAAAACCAAAAAACCTTAGCGAACTCAACAAATAAAAGTAAGATGCTCACGTAAAAAAAAAAAAAAAAAACAGCATATTAATCAAATAGAAAAATATTGCATACCCAAAAAACAGTTAAAAATCACTGCTATGGGAAGTATTTTATTTTGTTTTTTTTTTTTACATGTAAACGGTTAAGAGGGAGCTATTTATATGAAACTTTTGAAGCACTCCTTCTATCCAAATACATGCTCACAATGCATAACTTAAAAACAAGTAGTTTATATTCGGTTTAGCATACCACTGACGTAAATTTGATCAAGGAATCGTTATATTAATTAAATTTTTATGTGACATCCTCTATCACTTTAGAAAAGGATATACAACTCTGAGAAAATCAGAACTAAGATTTTTTTTTTGATTTTTCCGATAATCATTTGAAAATATATTCAAATATTTAAAATTATAATTTCTAAAATTGAATACATTTTTATTATTTATTTAGTAAAACATAAAAATATATTAGTTGAAAGAATACATAAGAGAATCAAACATTTATATTATTATAAATTATTATGGAATTTATAAGATTTTTATGATGAAAGGGATGTGGTCGTTTTTAATTTTGAATCGCCAAAGTATTCTTTGATTAAAATTTCAATTCGTTTGAGATACAACATAAACCGACTATGTACTTATTGTATCTTTCTCGACAAATGCCTTCAGAAACAACAAAATTTAATTAAAAAATGAACCAAGACATTTCTGTACCAACCAAAATCTAAAATACATTATATGTATACTGATTTGTTCGCTCTCCTTATACATTCAAAATATTTACATAATTGTCTAAATTATTTCAGTATTTATAAACGTTCAGATGTTGATGAAAATCTTATTAACGTTTACATTTATATTTCAATACACGTCTAAACGAACTCTGCTCGGCATTGTTTTTTGTTAGCAATGATTTATCGTTGCGTACAGACTTAAATTAAAATACCCTATAATATACCCTACCTTCTCGAATTCCCACCTACAACAGTAACACAACCTTTCCAATAGTATCAGTTTTTTTTCCCTTTTATCTGAATTTAAATCAACAATTAGTTTATTTATTTATTATACATTAAGAGGATGATTAAAAAATATTTTCATTTTTAAAAACTATATTAATTGACAAAAGTAAATACATTAGAAACATTGATTTTATATATTTTCGTATTTCTTTATGAACGCTGAACATTTTAATTAAAACGTATTAATGTCGAAAAAGGTATTTGTATTGATTACATTATTATTAATAATTTTAAACCAATTTCAACATGATTTTTAATTTTAGATTAATAACTCGGGTAATAATAACAATTATTATTTAAGTCCAATTGGTTAATGTGGACGTACAAAATTTTGTTTAATATTATCTAAACAAATATCTCAAAACAAATTTCTTCACTCTTTACACGTTTTTTTTTTTTTTTTAATGATTATACGCGTAGCTACAATGATACAATATTGTAAAAATAATTGCGAATTGAATTCAGTTAACTCTGTTTCGAAATAGATTTCAATTTAAAAATAAAAAATAAAATATTGACAAGCGCCCAAACGAGGATAGTTACAGGTAACCGATATCCACAACATTTGCATGTATCACGCCGCCCGTTGAATTTCCGTATATATTTATAAATAAATCAAAAATATATTATAATAAAATATCATGTTATTGTTTAAAGATTTGGCACCCTTGATCGATGGCGCGCGGGACGCACGCGTACGCGAATCGGCCCACATTAAATCCACTACTATACGTGTTATTACAACAACATGATATTATTATAAATACCTACCATACATACGTTCCGTCGTCATATAAGCATACGTAATCACCGTTCGGATAAATGAATTAATCTTGTGTACCTACTGGCTGAAAAGTGGGTCATGAACAGCAGAAATTGAATACGCCACTGCGCTGAATTTTTAGAAAAAATAAAAACAAAAAAATACTTTTTTCTTTATTGGGGATTGAGTTTTCCTATAGGTCTATAAAGTCAATGCACTGGCGCCAAACGACGATTATGTTGAAAATATATTGGGAATTATGTCAAACCTAATACAGGGTGATCCTTATACTGAAGTTATACGACACTCGTTATCTCGAAAAATATTAACTTTTTGCGGAATCGGTTTTTTTTAGTAAACGTACGAAACGAGCAACTCTTTAATATAACATTAGATACCGTTATTTTTTTGTCGCCTAAATTAATATAGTTGAAACCACTTTTGATTTTCAAATAGCAATCTGTACTAAAAACTGCATAAATAATAAGGATGGTTTTTTTTTTTTTTGGTTAGATAAACTCCCCCTTCCTGCTAACCGACAAAACTTAGAAATTAAATATCTCGTGAACAGAGGTTGACGATAAATAAAAATGTCAAAACCGAAATATATTTAAACCGAATGTATTTTTAGAGGCATTTTTAATAGATTATCGGTTAATATTTGATAACTAAAAATGGGTAGTAATTTCAACCCTAAAAATAAGGGCAACAAAAAATAAAGGTGATGTTAGATATAATAAAATATCCGAAAAAGTGTATCCTTTCCGGAACAATGAGTATCGTACGTCTTATACGAGTGTACTACGGTATGATGATCACTCTGTATAATAATATTACGTAAATATTTTTATTATTCAATAAAAAAAAAAACTATATATTTTAAAATCGATTTTTACCTATTGTTTACACATAACCGGGGCAGCTATGGTCGCGTAGTGCGCAAACAACACTTTTCTGTAGAATATTCATAACGCATCATTGCCGGAAAAATATGTAATATTACTAGAATACGTATAAGAAAGTATCGAACACAACTGCAGCTTTTGTTTGGTTTTGTTCTCCTTTATTAAAACGCTTTAAGTTATTTAAACTCTCCGTGCATGAAAAATTTACACGTTAAGTGAATTATTGAAACTGTATAAAAAAATTATAGTGGCATACAGACACGTCTATACTCTATATACATATATAATATATATATATGTAAGAACCTAACGTACACATGCATGTAATACATTGTAAACAATTCACACACGTTTTATGTATAAAGTTTAAACTTTCGGGCAGAGTGTAAGTTTAAAAGTGATTATGCAGAAGTGTGTGGTTATCAAATATGAAATTTATCCGATGTGGGTACTCATCCGTTATTGCAAGGCAGTATAATAGATAGGTAACTCCCTGGAACTCTCCTGTTTTCTTTTTTTATTCAAGATTATAATATTCTAGAGACGGTTGCTTATGAGCAGGGTTCGGGACTTATAACATTTAAAGTCAACAAGAAAGCGTTCAGAAAACTTCATTATAGTCCTGAATTCAGCACTTAAAAATTGTTTACGATGTTAGCAAATTTTTTTTTATTCGTCGAAATAAGCAAAAAAAAAAAAATCACTTTCGAATTTTTATATTTAAACTTGTTAATCTTTTTAAAACTAAGAGGTAGGGGTTTTACCGACGCGACAAGTAGAGATAACCTAAACAAGAAAATACAAATTGGATAATATAATTCAAAAATAACATTATTTAAAAATCATATAGAGGAGGGAGAGGGACCTAGAGTTTTTAAGTGAATTGCTTAATCATAAAGTATAAAATATGCGAAAAACATCCAGGAAAAACAAGTAAAATATTTTTATTTTTTTTAATAGGAATAAAAAAAGAACTTCAAAATTGCATACAAAGTTGAATTTGCCGTAATGTAACATGGATTTCTATAGCGTTCTGCTAAATGTAATGGAATACCAAAAAAAGAAGTAAATGCGTCTTGACCTGCTTATGAGTTACATATATGATTTAAATATTGTTTATTCCCTGATTTTTACAATATTTGTATGGCTTCTAAAATAATCATCATTAAATTTTGATAAGTACATTAATATTTGTTTTTATCGTTTTTATTGTTTTACCGTTCTACTAGTTGAAACAATACGAATTTCGGTGGAAAAAACGCAAACAACATTTAACGTGTAAATAATCGAATTGTTATCCAACGGCATCAAAAATGTAGAAATCGCGAATGTTTTCATCATTCCCATGTTTATTTTGGTGTGCAATAAAGTTTTTATAGTCGATTCCTCCCGAAATAAAAGATATAATTTCGTATATAAACTCGACAATTTTGTACTATTATTTTTATTTGTTTTATTAAAATCTACCAGCAGATGTAATATGCACGGTATGTTTGTGGTCACGGCGATTCAATAAAAGTTAAATTCCACTTTTGGGTTATTGCGTTATAACATTTAATTACTTAAACTTAGTACCCTTAAATAAGGCTAACGACTTTATAAAAGTTACAACAAGGATTTGCTTATTGTTTAAAAACTATCCTATGGCATTTATTCTTAATTCCAATTCGTACAACTAACAAACCCATTTTTATTGACTAAGTATATTAATTTTGAATGTGAAAAAATCCGTGTTTTTAAATGAATTAATGACTGTTAATTATAATATACACGCGTTACTCTGATTCTAACACAATCTGCTTGCATAGGTCATTACATTTTTATTTCATTACTCTATACTATTAATAATTAAATAAAAATAGAAATATATTTTAATTATCATACTATTTGTACTTAGATATAAAGTGACCAAAAAAAAAAAAAATAAATCAAAGGTAAATAATAATAATCTATCGCATAAACATAATAATGCCCTCTCCTCAAGCCACTCAAAAAAAAAAAAAATATAAAATAATTATAAAAGGAGCTGACATTGGGAACTGGTGTGCTAATGTTGTAGGTGGAAAGTTGGAAAGATTAGGATATATCAAGGTTGAAAACTTTTTATGTATGAAAGCAATGCCAAACCATTGCTAAAAAAAGCGATTCTTAGCGAAGTTTAGTTAGACGAGTTTTAAAATGGCGTAGTCGTTATAATTTTTGTCCAAATTTGAACTTAAAACTCGTATATAAAAAAATTACTATATTTCACCCTACTTTCATTTTTTTACCACTAAGAATAACTTATAATGACCCTCTTGTTAAATTTCCAAGCATTTCTGTTTGGTCAAAACATTTTATCTATAGAATACCTATCAAATAAAAACTACTTAAGAGGACGTTATACCCGAATCTACTGTCCAACTACTAGTTAACATGCAAAAAAAATGATTACGCAAAATAAGTAAAAATAGCTTCATTTTGATTTTAGAGTAATAGTACTTATTATGAAATTTATAGATAACAATATTTTTAAAGGAAAGTCATAGGTGTTTTTTGAATTACGAACTATTAAAGAAATAACAGCTATTTAAAAAAACAAAAAAAAAGGTTTTTATATCTTTTATATAGAGCTGTATATTTTGAATAATACAAAAACCTTAAGACATTCTCTCCAAAATATTGTTCTCTATAAATTGCACAATAAGTACTTTACCTCTAAAATCATAATTAAGCTAGTTTAACTTATTCTGCGTAAGTATTGATTTTGCATGGTACCTGGTAGTTGGACTGAGACTATAGATGCGGGTATATGTATAACGTCCTTTTAATCAAACTCGGAAATATAAAATTCCTATAAATAGCTCAAAATTCGACAAAATTTGTTGAACAATTTTCCTTTTTTAGAAAAATCCAATACAAGTTTTCTATCAAAATTCCAAGTCTCTATAAATATTTTTAACTGTATTAAAATAAAAAAAACAATATTGAAAATAATGAAACCATTATTTCCATAAACGTTCCCGTTCTTTCAACATTTTTTTTCGGGTAAATTATTAAGAGTACTGCTTAACAAATAAAAAATCGACTTACTTACTCACCAATTATATACATGAAATTCAATAAAAAAAAAAAAAAAGGTATTTTTTTGATTGGAATAATATTTCTCGTGGAAATTTGTAAAAATTTAAAATTACGAAAACGCCTTTTTTGGGAAACACAGTGTTATGGCCATCTTGTTACTGGCAGATAGATTCAATGGCTTGGTCAACCATTTTAATTAATTAGGCCACTTTGTTTATACGATAACCCCAGCCTTATTTTATATTAACAATATTACTATGCGAATTATTTCATAATTTCAAAGAAATGTGTAAAATATAAATTTGAAAAATACAAATGTATATGTATAGTATGAATGTAAATTTACTTAGTTTAAAATCAAACCGTAATTTTTATTGTAATGAGGTGTGATTGGATTCATCTTTCCAAAAAAAATAACATGTATATATATATAATTAGATCAAAAATACAGTCATTAGTTACTATTGTTTCGATGACAAATGTATTTTGTATTCTTATTACGAACATTTTTTTTCCTTGGGGCGCTTTAATGTGTACTTATGCCTGCAGTTTTATACATTACTACGTTGAAACAAATAGTCACACATCATAATTAAGTTTTTCATTCTTCTGCAGGAAATTGGAACCCCCTCATCCGCTAACCACCACCATGCGAAAATACACCTTAAACCCTCACCTTCTAAATAACACTATCGCCGCGCAACTGCAAAAAATACACGCTCAAGTTAGGAAAATAATACGTTTACGTAAAATATTGAAAACATACTGCAATGTAGTATAATAAATATTTTTTCGATGTATTAAAATCCAATAAATATATTAACGGACGTCAATCGGATTTCATGATGTTTTATAACACCAATTCACAATAATAACACATTTTAATGCGTGCATATATTAATAGTTGATACAATACAAAATTACACATTATATTATACTACTTTTGAATGTACATGGTATAGGTATATATGATTTTAAAAACTACACAAAATACATACAGTGTGTCCGTCCACAAAAAAATAAGCCATCACGAGGCTCTTTAAAGCAATATTCAATACAAATTTTTAAATCTATTTTCGGGACATGAAATTTGACAAATGAGTTCTTCACTCCTCTGACTTACAATATTCTTAACTCATGTATTCTGAGTACAATATAAATCCACTTTTTTTTTTTAATGGGGACTCATATTTTGAATATAGATTGGTTGAATTTGTCAAGCCATTTTAATGCGCCAACATCCAAAATCCAGAATTAACTGAATACGAGCTGTTTTGTTTTTAACTACTTATAGATATTTTTTAGAATAAAAAATTGATTTATACATAATACATTTAAAACAGTCGAAATAAGAATAAATACAGAGTGTACCTATAGTATAGGTACATTCTGTAGTATACTATAGTATTCTATTATAGTATGGGTCCTATACTCATTTCGACAATATCTACAGATATTGCTAATCAATAACCATACAGAAATTGTAGTACACATTTAAATTGAAACTGCTCTAATTCAGCCACGTTTTTATTTAGAGTACAATTTGATGCATTCAAATTACTTTTAAAGGAGGTACCATTGAAATAAAAATTTGGCAAAGAATCGTCATCTTTATTGGTACCTACAATGTAAATAATTTGGAACGTTTTTACTAAAAAAAAATTGTATACATACATATTATAGTATGTAGTTATAGTATACAAAATAATAAAATACTTGAATAATTTTATTAAATATATTTATCTCCTTTATTGTTCATTTGTTTTACATTATAATTTATGTATTATATATAAACGAGTATATACACTATACAATACACATACATTAGTAAAACTTTTACTTACGAATATATCAGACATCAGTGAGAGTAGAAAATATATCTTCCTATATTAGCCCATTAAAAAAATGTTACGGGTTTTGAAAGGTGTAGACATTTTGACAGAACAATGTATATAAATATTATATTCCTTCAAATATTTATAAGTTATCATTAAAACATAATATATCATAATTATTTGGAAATATTGGACAATAGACATTAGATGTTTGAAATTGATTAATATCTGTACGATAATATTTCAAATTTAAAATCTGACTGATTTTACATAATCAGTAAAAAAACGAAGGTGAAGAAAATATAATATTTTACAAGTTTTAAATTTACAATTATAAATAAACTATTTATGACGAAAATTTTAATATAGTATAATACACCATTTAATCATATTTTAAACAATATAATATTGAAGGTGTTTTTTTTTAAATATTTATGTAGTATTTCTGATTTTGAGAATGGATATATTGGTTTAACTGATGTTTTTTTTTTTCTGTTTGTAAACAAATTTGCTACCAGAAAACTTATTCCAATTAAAAAATGGCAAAAGGCCATTTTTATTAAATTTTGGATATTGTTGGTGCATCAGCTTTTAATTTTTCAAGCTGGTTTTATAATAAGTGTGAACGATAAACGATTAACGATAAAAACGTAAAATAAAAAAGGAAAATTTCAGTCAGGTATGAATCTAAACTATGAGCTGCTCCTCTTTTTTTGCTGATCCGCAAAGGGAGCAAAGGTATTAAATTGTTTAATTATCAAGTTATATTAGAATATATACTTGTACTTATCAAGATAACCAAGATAACTATAACAAGTATCTAGTCTTGGAAAAATATCGGTAGTCAAGATAACACGGAACCAGAAGTACCTTTTTTCATAAGCGTTTAAGATTTAATTTTGATGAAAATCATAATTACGGAATTTTAAAATATGTACAACCAAACATCCATTCTAAAACATTTTTAAGAGGGCCCAGTTCACAGAGGACAGAAATATGTATCTGAAATGGTAAATATAGAATAGATTCAACAGAACAAAAAACTCATACAAATATTATTTAATTTGAATGAAAAAATAATTATTCATTCTATCGGATATAAGGCAAAAAATATTTTCAAATAAATAAGGAATAAAGGAAAGAGCTATATTTATTACTATAATATTACAACATAGTAGTATCTATATAAAATGTACGCATGTTCATTTTTATTATAGGAACCCATTTAATTCTATATATGCTGAACTTTTGTCAAATATCATAAGAAAATATCTACAAAAATAAAATGTGTACACAGAGAAAAAAAATACCAAAAATATTTTCAATCTTTAACAAAACAAAAAAATAACGTAAAATCTCTCTATTGAATCTCTCCCTATTTATCTAATACATAAATACATATGTACATACATACATACATACATACATACATACATACATACATACATACATACATACATCCATACATACATACATACTTACGTATATACATACATACATACATACATACATACATACATACATATATACATATACAATATACATATTATATCAAAGCATGTTTTTTTCCATGGGACTTAGGAATCATTCTCGAATTTTACATAAACAGAATGCTTGTAACATCAGGTCATTGCAACGTTCGGTACAAAAGTAGTAGGTACTTTTTCTAATTTGAGTACACTTGAAAAAAACAGCATACCGAGTATAATTATACTACTGCTCCCTAATTAATATACACTAATAATAATAAAAATGAAAATAAATAGCATCTAACTAAGTAAAATGTATAATTTTGTTTATTTCATAAAAATAAACGACTCGCAATAAATATAGGAATAACAATCAATCAATTAATCTATTTTCATTTATCTGTGACCTGAAGTCTGAACCTCCGGGAAACAATAGGAAACGAGCCAATGATATACGGAAAAAAAGAAAAATAACTAAATCTTTCTCACTCATATATAATATTAAATAAATAAATATAATGTATAAACATCAAGTTTTACTATAATACTATTATGTTACACGTTTCGGTCACAGGTCATTTACCATAGCAAAGAAGAAAAATAATAAAAAATACATAGTATTTCATCATTTACTATTATTCTGGTATTTTTGCATTTTTCTCATATATCATAATATCATCACACGTATACTCATCACTATACATCACTAATACTCACGTAACACGTTATACTTTTTAGTCAATATTCAATGATAATGCAATGAACGCTTGTTTACCCTTATGGTCACCCATTTATTTAAAGTGGGAAAACAGGGAGTGTCGTAGGTTTATTAATGCATAACATTTATATTTTACTATTACTTAAGTAAAATGAAACCTATAAGTAAATTGATTTAATTGAGTATTTTCAATAAAACCTATCCTATTCAGAGAGAATAAAACATAAGACAGTTTTATTTCATATGTTCACATTTTTTGAAATAGAAAAAATTGCCTTTTCTAAAGTGCAACCCGTATTTGATAAAGTTAAATATTAAATTTAAAGTTTCAAGTTGAACATGTTTGAACAATGTATTGGTACAAAAAGCGTTTCATATTTTTATCCGAGATAAAAACATACCGCCATAAAAATAATATTTTATACTATAGTAACGTGGTTCTATTTTCTTTCATTATAATTGTAAATTAATATAATTGCATTGCAACAGTAATACGATTTTACCTTATTTATTTTGTATTAAACTAAGTCTATGTTACCTATTGCTAAGTAATTTTGGTGTTCGTAAAAATATAAATGTAGATATTTTCACGACTAAAATATATCAGGCTATTGCATACACATTTTAGCGTTGTCAAATCAAACAATAAAATGGAAACGTAATGATGTATATGTACAACACAAATATAGTATGAAACCGTAATAATTAATTCAACTCCGTTATGCTGCCATTTTAATTGTTGACTACGGTTAGACTGAGAGTAAGAGTAAAAAATATTTAATTTTATACTATGTATAATATTGTACATTAGGTATATTACCGGTAGTGACCCATTAATTGGTTTACGCAACCACACATAATTCTTAGAAAAATTTCGCAAAGACAATGAATAAATGAATATTGAACAATGAATATTGAACTACACAAAAATAATATAAAAAGATATCAATTCAATAATTAAATACTTATAATAATAATTTAAACAATATTTATTTTTCATCCATAATATACGCATTTATATAATATAATTTTCAGAGAGACTTTTTTTTATCATGGTCCTGAGTGTTAGGGGGTTAACCCTAATTTTCATTAAATCAATCAACATTCAACAACATAATATCTTAAATCACAAAACAAAATAAAATTTAATTTCATCAAAAATTAATTATTTATTTTAGTAATAATAGTGATACATAGTACTGTACTTATATGTGCTATCCTCTCTCTAAGTAATTATCATATGCAAAACCCCTCCCGAAAAGAATCCTGTGTGCGTTACTGTACCAGACAATTTTATATAAGGTTCACCACACATTTTAATTTATTGTTATAAAAACAAGTGGAGCGTAATATAGTAATTTTTTTTAATAAGCTTTTTTAAGTTCAAATTTTGACGAAAGTCTTAAAAAAAATACGACATTTCAAAACACGTTGAAAATTTCGCTCAGGGTCGTATTTTTTTAACAATAATTTATCGTAGCAAACAAATATAAATTATATAACTTTGTGAATGCTACTTCCCCAATATCTGCCTACAACAGTGGCAGCAGTATTAACTTTTATTTTTACATACAAATTTATAGATTTCAAAAAAAAAATATATTAGCGAGATTTTTTATTATCGAGAAAAAAACATTACTCAACAAACATGACATCTTCTTAGATTTTGAAGAATTCTATTTTGGGCTTTTAAAAGTTATTAAAATATTCTTATACTGTTACTAGTTTAATGCAAAGAATAATTTAATAAGCGTTAATTAAAAAAACTCGTTTTTTATTTCAAAGAGCTAAAACCTAAAACGAATTTAATTATATCGTGAACAAAAAAAAAAAAATTTAAACGGTTTAATAATTAAATATAAGATCGTTTAAAAGGAGTATTCGAGTTGAAAAATGTATTTCAAATGCTTATGAATTTGTTTTTAAAAATGGAAAGACTTCAAAGTGCTCTTCTACTCTTCAATATCTTTTTAACAGATTACCCAACCTCTTCAAACACTATTAGTAGAATATGCTAACGACAACACTTTTTTTTCACACATAAAAATCCATTTATAATTTCTAATAACTTTCAGTTTTGTTTCGACCAAATGGAAGCACAAAACGCAAACTGGAAAGTTAAGATGAACGAATTTGAGACAATGTATGAAATATTCAGATATCAAAACATTGTCCGCACGTTTATAGAAATGACGTTCTAATATTTACTTCACAATAGCAATACACTTGACAAACTACTTGCATGTGACATGGTCAAATCATATTATAAAATTCCTACTCGTGTATAATATGTATAATGTATATGCACAAGATATATACACAGTGTAACACGATGATCTGATACCTGAAATAACTTTTTTTCTGTTCAATATTTTTAAGTTTTTATTTCTATGGTAATAATTTCTAAAGCATTGCGCTTTGATTTTTTTATTATATATAATTTTTCTCAACTAAAAATAAAAGATTTAATTTTTTTAAAATTGTTTTTACAAAATCCAGGTTAGCCATTTTATAATATACATACATTGAATTCCGCTTAATGTGGGCACGTTGAGACCAGTTAACACTTGCCCAAATTAAGCAGTTGCCCATTTAAACCGAAATGAGTATCGTTACACATTAGAATCGGGACCAAACTATTATGCCTATATTAGACGGCTGTCCGCATTAACCGATGACCACATTAAGTGGAATCTACTGTATATGTATTGAAACAAGATTTAGGTATTGTAAAAGTTTACAAATGATGAATTGTTAAGTTTCTAAAATTCTTAAGTACTACTTATATTTTAGTATATTTTATTAATATTGCCTCATTCGAATTTGAGTTCCGCGATAAAAATCTACATTAGTTGGATCCTGGGTTTACAGATAGTTTAATAGTTGGGTGCCAGGTTTATAAGAATAGTACACTAGTAGAGTTTTGGGTTCTCACAGGTAGTATTAGTGGACCAGTACCGTAATAATAATAATAATAATTCTAATAGCTAGTTTGAAAGTTTAGAAAAATAAAACACAAATGAATCCAAATATTTACCAATTAATGGATGTTTTAAGAAGTATCTAAATAGATACTAACATAAAAATAATAAGTTCAGAAAAAAATTAATCACTGGCAAAATATATCTTAATTTTTAAGTCTGTAAAAATGAGAAAAAAAAATGTCTTGAATTGTTTTAAATGTTCGAACCCATGAAATGGTATATTACCTACTGGAAGTCGGGACCCAACTAGTGCACTACCTATCAAATCACTAGAGCCCGAAACCCGACTCGGTTGCAACCAATTAAATATATATTTAATACTTGTATTTAAATTAATAATAATAATATGACGATTAAAATTTATCTCCTTGTTAACCAAATCAACAACTGCAACTGTGTAAAGGATATACTAGTAACAATACAGACGGAAGGACACAACAGCCAGATGTAATTCACACCATATATATATATATATAGCCACCATAGTATTATGTGAGGTAGTGCTAAAGGTATAGAATCTAGGGCAATTTAATTCATATAAGAACTGATTAGAACTATAAATCATTACAACAAATAAAAACGATTTTGAACAATTGCCACGCTTCTTTTTATGATCTATTAAAATATTTAAATGTCACAACACAATAATAGGTATTTCAAAACACGTTTCTTTAAAACACCTGTACAACTAATTAAACACACAATTCAATAGATATCAGACATTTTTATTTATTTGTATAGTAACAAAATAGATGAAGCACAAAATTACTTTGAATTGGTCATCTCAAAACACTAGAATTATCAAGTTCTATAAATTGTTGACAAACTAATTTAATAATGCTATTTAAACAATAAACACCAATTAGCTTGCGTTCGCGATTAAACATTAACCAGTAACCAAGTCAGTAAAAACATACATTATATACTTTCATTAGTGCAAACTTGGAAGGTCATACAAAGTTGAAATCAACTATTTAACATCAAATAAAATATATAAGTGTAAAAACCCGATTACCTAAGAACCTTACTAATCGAAATTTGCCAGTAAATAAATCAATATTATTGAGAGAAGCCCCAACGTCTTTGTCAGTGCGTTTCACTTTTTACATATAAGATATAATATCATAATATTCTATATAGCTTTACAAGGAAGATACATTATGAGCAAAAGTGCAGAATTCATACTCAATGAATATTACCTATTTAATAAAGGTGTCAATAGTATTTGACCAAAACAATTTCCTGTGTCCATGTTATAGCTTACCCACTAAATCAATGTGGCAATAACTCTATGGGTAGGTAAAGAGTTTATTGGCTATTAAAATTTAAGCAGAAGGTACATTAGTAGAAGGAACATAAAGTTGACAAAATATTAATGAAATAGTAATGTTATGGTATACAAATGAAAGATAAAAGAATTATAAATTATTATCGTATAGCTGATAAAAAATCAATAATAGTTTATTATCAGGGTAAGGATAAAAAATTGTTGTTAAATCGTATGCTCAAAATCTAAATTATAACAATACAATACAATTTAATTTAATTTATCAATTATTAAAATAAAATGCAAAAATAAACAATTTAATCTAAGTGTGTCGTTGGAGTCAACAATATACTTAGTGTTCATAACGACATTGACATTCCAAAGATGGATTTCTTTTCGATTAGTTTTAAAAAAAACATTGCATTGCCAATTAAAACGTGTGCATTAAATAATAATTTTTGTATATACAATAGGCGTTTTAACATTTAATATTACTTTATTTAATTATATAATAAAACTTTACACATTAATTTGTAATAAACTATTATTTAAGAATAGGAAATAATGTAGAACGTTTATTTCCATCAGTCCATTTATCGTTGTTATATTATTATAATAATATATATACATAAATGAAGCATTTTATAAAATAAGCACGTAAAATATTTAACTGTGCATTCCTCCTACCTTCCCCAAAAGTAGTTCTCAAAACGTGAGAAGTGTAACGAAAAAAAAAGTTTTGAAAATATATTATTTTTAACTATGTTGGCAAAATTACATTACCTATCTAAACCTTTCTGTACATATTTCAACTAACTTCATAAACTACTCTAATCATTTATCCGAATAAATTTTGTAAATCATCAGTTAAATTTAAATCAGGAACGTTTCTATCTACTAAATAGAAGTCTGGGGTAGAATAATAAGTAGCTATTTTCTGTACCTACAGAAAGTATTTGACACAACATTCATATTTTGTTTGTGTACACTTCTGTGCAGGTTATACTTAACATATAATTTAGTAATTTTAATTAAATCATCTAATTAATATATACATGCAATGATGATTATATAATATTTATACGAATTAATCCGTTATAGTTCAGTAATTCTTTAATTACTGTATCGAACAGTCGCATGTTTATAATACAGGTTACTTGCTTATTTGGTATTATACTTCTCTATGGTTTTGCTAGGATAATTTATATGAAATATTGTGTTTGATTTGCAATGGTGACATTTTCTAAAGCGATGAGATCCAATGTTCCATAACATAATATGGAACATATAAAGAGTTTTTACATTTTTTCTATGTGGATTATAGAGACGCGCATTTCGGGAAATTAAAAAAATCAATAGAAGCTTCCTGATCTTTTCTGAAGTTCTCTAAATAAAGAAATGGAATTTATGGAATTAGCTAAAAGAAAAATCTAGTTGCAAAAGAAGGAATGGTGTATCCTGGAACAATTCTGCCATTGACTCTAATGATCAAATGGCTGTCATACAGAACACTTTTTTTCAAAGCTAGTAAAACAGGTTAGACACAAATATATTTGGTTTAAAAATAATAAAATGTTTGTAAAGAAAAAATGATGGCTTAAAAGTAACTACAATTGATGATGAAAATTCTATATAAAAAATTGTTTAACATAATTTTTTTTGTTAAAGAAAGAGAAAAGAGGAAGTAATAAGTTTTCAATGAAAATGTTTTACTTTTTATCTTGGAAAATACTTATAAGTACAATAAATTATCTTCTATAAAAATGTATACGGACAGATTTTTAAATAAATAATTGAACACGCAAAAAACGTTTAAACGGATTATCTTTAGAAATTCCTAATTCAAAAAGGATTAATATCACCATCAACTGAAAAAAGTGAAAACTAGAAAAAATTCAAAAATATTGTAAACATTTTAATTTTGAATTTCAATTTCAATAAATAAATCATTTTAAGTAAAATTCTGATGGTTTTAGATTCAAAGCATAGTAGATTTATTAGTTTTACTATAATGTTTATTTTATAATATTATTACTCTTCTCTTTTTTTCATTTTTATTTTTTAACACCTTTTCTACTAGAAATTTTGCTACAAAGTATCAAATGTAGCACATTTTCTGAAAAAATTTTTTATCTAGTTGGTACTTTAAAAAGGACATTTTTTGGCTATATGATATAAGCGCCGAAAGTGTAAAAATAACATATCATTTGCGCCAAAATTAATATTTTACACATTTTATAAAAGTAGGTATTTATAAAATTTTTAATTTGTCAATAACCGAAAAAATATACATAACAATAAATAAAAATAATTTTAATTTTAATAAATTGGTTGATTTTGTTTGATCTTTAAAAATATCAGATAATAAATTTGTCGATTATGATTAAACGTTTGGAGTTTTTGAACGATAATATAGTTCTAAATTTAGTATCGCACAGACACGTTTAATAAATACATCTATTACTTCAGTATAATACTCGTATATCTATTAACCGTGGCACACAAGTACCTAAAATGTTAGTGCTTTTGTACGATACTATTTTTTTTTCTTATCCCATTTTGGCACTTATGTCTTCCAACGTATTTTTTGATTTTCTATGCAGTTTTCATAATAATTGGGAAAAACTTAAAAAGGACAAAAATGATAAATTTACGGCATTAGGATTTATTTATTTTACATTTTTACGCTTTCCGTTTTGTCACAAAAATATTGCTTTAATAGAAAAACAACAAGAGACCTTTTTTGTTGAATTTTTAAACTAATTGAAGACAAATCAAGTTGTTTTTTGATTATCTTTGTAGTTTTTTTAATAATTGAGCAATACGTAAAAAGAACTGAAAAATTGACTAAAATACCTAATGATTTTATTATTTTAAATTTTGTTTTTGTAATTTAATTCAATTAAAGATGTTCTTAGAGACTTGAAAATTTTACTGAAACATATTCATTTTTTTTATATGTGGTAAAATTTTCAAAACATTTGTGTCATTTTTTTTTTTACTAAAAAAAATTGAAATTTTAATTTTACGAGTTTTTTAGGTAATTTTTGTTTCGTAAGCAGTTTGTGAGACGTAGGTAAATTGTTAGACTAAACAAAAATTCTTGAAAATTTAACAGGATTTTTAATATAAGTCGTACTTAGTAGTAAACAATAAAAAAACAAAATGTGTGTATGCAGATTTTTTTTTAAAAGAATTTCATTATCAAATGTTAACAAAAATCGTTATGCGATAAGGAATCACAACCAGCACGGTAACCTTTACCTTTTATTGAACATTAATCGTTTTTACACTTATTTTCTAGAAATTAAAACGCCTATAATTAAGAAACTTTTAATCAGAAATGAATGCATGATACATTAAAATGTTAAGAATAATATTTTTTACAAAATAATTATTTTGAAAATTTTCTAAACTGAATAAATACTTATATTTGTGTGTGTGTGTGTGTGTGTGTGTGTGTTTAGGGGATAAACATTCAAATTTAATTTTTCTCCAGATCGATTTCCCCTCAAAGACATACCGATTGAAAAAAAAAATGACTGAAAACAAATTAATATTACCAGTGTTAGAAAAATCCGTCGAACAAGGTGGGACACACTGTATACTCTACCCTCCCAAATTCCCACCTACAACAGTGGCACACCCGTCTCCAGTATCTCCTTTTAAAACTATTAAATAGACGATTATTCGATATTTTACAAAATTGGTTTTTACTAAGTTACTCTTAAACGTACATTATTAAATTGAAAAAGTTAGTAACTCGGAAAGTCGCATAGTTCAACAAATTGGCAAAGATTTATGTAGGTATGCACAAATAACGAACATATTAATATACCGAAAAGAATTCAATACATCTGCGTAAAAGATCCGAAACGAAAGTAATAAATGCAAATCGAATAAATTCCATTCTATGTACTCAATTGCCATTGGGAATTTGAAAATAGAACACAGTAAATTCCTGTTCAGTTTAAAAAAAATATATATAACACTTTGTGGCAAAAAAAAAAAAAAAAAAAAAAAAGTAAATCTCGTTAAATAATATGATAATATTCCGACACTGATTGAAAATGTATTTTTTTTTTCTTTTGAAATTCATGTTTAAACATAGATCTTTAGCATATGATAATATACAAGTATATATATATATATATATATATAAATATGTATATTATGTCGACCATAAATTACATGTGTCATTATTTCGAACACGTTGGAGAATATAATTTGAAAGTTAGGTGAGACCTTTTTATTCGGAAAATTAAACTTTGTAGAAAGCTTAAGAAGCAGTTAATTTAACATAAATAGAAAGGTTCCAATGCCAGAATGTTTTTTTTAGCTAAAATAATAGCTTTCGGGGAAAATTCTCATGTCTCGTAGACTACGTATTCAATTTTAACAATTATTTGTATGCTGGAAAGAAGAAGACTTCTAGGAAAAAAAACTTCGCTTTTCAATCTCAAATCATAAATCTTTATGTTTTTTATCAAAATATTTGTACTGTAACAGTCGAATATTACTGTGGGAAGTTATATTAGCCGTTGGGCCCTTTAAACAATACAATTATACACTGAACACTGCACAAATACTTGAATATAAAATATAAAAATGTGTGTTCAAAATCTAAAAAAAAAAAAAAAAAAAAATGATTGTGTAACATTTGATAAATACCTTTTTATTATTTACCAATTATTAAAGTTAATTATTAAATAATATATTTTAATGTTTCTTGAGAAACCTCCGGTGGAATTAAGCTGTTGTGGTGGTACATAATTTCTATTGAAATATGCAAATATGCAAAAATATATTATAGTATCCAATTTTTTTAATAGCTTTTAATTAATAATTATTAAGATTACTAAAGAAAATCTTAAAATTTAAAATAATATGCAAACATATTCAATGTTTATAGAAACATGAAAATTCGTGCTCTACAAATTAAAATCTATACAAATATTGTGTATAATGAATAATTTTAAAAACAATCAAAAACCGAATAACTAATATATAAATATCTGAAGAAATGATCATTACTGAATTGACGAAACATCTGACGTTTATATAAATTAGATCATATTAAGAATAGGAAGAACGTGAAATAAGAGGTTGTGGATACTGGTAAGGTGAAGAGGAATGCGCAAAGATATCGTGATTTATAAGTCATGAGGTTCCCCGCCAGGGAGCCATTAAGGCGAAGGGTAATACAAGAGGTAATTCAATTAAAATATCACATAGAACAATACTATTGTGTATATATAGTTTTGTGAAGGTGTATATAGGTCTTCCAAACCTCAGCGATGTTTAACTAAAATGGTAATACATATTCCAAAATTCATCAGTTGAAAACATTTAATTATTGGATTTTATTTCATATTTCAGAGTTATCAACTAATTTTGTATTTATTTTATCCTTATTAATATTTTTTATAGGTTTTTGTTTTCTATGATATAAATGTATGTCAGTGATAAGGTGCTCATTATATTTGTATAATATAAGAAAAAGGTTTCAAATATAAGTTTTTTGTCAAAATCGCAAATGTTAATATTTTTAACTTAATTAAAATGAAAATAAGAAAAACATGATCTTCGTAAATTTTCCCATTCTTTCTAAGTTTTTTCGGTTTGGCTCAATTATTATAAAAATTACTTAGAAATCAAAAATCAAATTATTAGCTCACCAACTAAATTAAAAATACAACAAAAAAGTCTCTTGTCGTTTTTTTATTTGAGCAATACTTATATGATAGAAAACATAAGCCATACAAATTTAAAATAATGAAATCATCCTCCGTAAATTTGTTCGTTTTTATTTTTCGTCTTTTTCCGATTTTCCCGATTATTATTATGAGAATTGCGTATCATAATAAAACGAATAATATATTCCTCGCTACGATCAGAATCTAAAAAATTTCAATAACTACAGTAAAATAATTTATTCGTCCCACGATGGTACATTTCACCTATGCTAAATTCAATATAAACCATGTATTTACAAACGTCACTGACAATATTTTACAGAAATATGAACATTATTATAATGCGCACAGTACCTATTTAGTTTAAATTATAATATTTCGACGTGTATAATAAAATCAAAATTCTTTATTTTATATTTAAGTAGATAACGTTCTTTGTTAAGAGGTTGCTACACGTGCATTTTTTGTTTCCGTCCTACAAACACACGTTTTAGTAAAAACACGCTTATACAGACTACACAGAACTCACTTAATTTTAGTTTTAGAGTAGAAAGACCAGGAAAAAATTAGAAAGAACAATATCACGAAAGATAAAACTTTAAGTTTTTTTTCCATTTTTCTGAATATAACAATCAATTTACCGTCTTTAAGTAACGATTTTTCCAACATTTTTTAATCAGGTAGCTAAAACTTTTGAAAAAAAAAAAATTATTTTCAAAAAAACCAACGTCTTGCCCTCCAGATTATTGTTCTCTATTAATTTTATAATAGGTGCTTTTACTCTAAAACTGAAACTAAGCGTAAAATATATAGTTTTGGTAGGTATGAATATTATAGTTGCGTTATCATTTAATACAAATATGTACTATTCAATAATTAAAAGGTATTATAATTATTATTAAAAGGTATTATATTATTATTAGTAATTATAAGGACCATATTTATAATACAATTAACTTAATCGAGAAAAAAAAAAACTAAAAACTGGTGATCGATTTTTGACCCACTTCCCGTAGTCCGATTCACTTGAAATTTTTTTCTTGCATTAATATTTTTGATGACAATAAAATTATCAATAATCAGAATTTCAGTTTTCACCCTCATTTTTAAGAAAAGTAAAAATATGGTTTTCAGCCTCATTTTAAAATAGAGTGAAAAAATGGTTTTTACTCTGTATGACTATTGGATATTTATTTTAAAATATCTAAAAATGCCTTATACAACTCTCTTGTATATTTAAAAAAAAATCCACGGTCGGCTGGTTTCACATTGACATAACAATACTTCAAGAAAAAATATTGAAATATCAAAAAACGCCTCACACAACTTATTCTGTTCGTATATTCTCCACAATAATCCACGATATGATTTTGCGATTTCTTTCATTTTACTTCCGCTTTTTTTTAAATATATTTAATTTAAAATGTTTAAAAATCCCACTAAAAGTACTAATAATTAGTCTAAAAAAAAAAAGTATTAAAATGCTTATTCCGCATCCGATTGTGCTTTAGTCTTGTGATTTGGTCATTATCACACAATTGCAGATATCGCCGTACTTATATAATATGTACTCTCGAAGTTTTTCAGTTAGACGGCACTCGATTAATCGTGAGAAAAAAATGAACCCGGTGGAAAAAAATTAAAACTACATAATTAATAATAATATAAGTGTGCGAACTTATCTTGCGGGGGCTTACCAACGAATACTGAATAGATAAAAGAGACCAATTTATAACCGGTTTCGACGACTGGGCGGTACGTATAAGTGTATTATTGCGGCCCAGCATGGCTCTAAACCATTTTGTCTTACATAACCTAACCAAAGCATTGTTTTACTTAAATTTTGTATCTAGTTAGTGAGTAAGTAAATCTTTTTTGATTTTCTAAGCTGATTTTATATAATAATAGGAAATCGGAAAAAGGCATAAAGTAAAAGAGCTGATTATATAAATGGATGCAGCCACTGTAGTATATGAGAAGTTGTAAAGGAAGAATACATAAGGTTATTTCATTTATATCTGTAAATAACGATAAACCATTGCTAATGAAAGACGATTCCGAGCGCAGTTCGGTAATACATGATTTAAAGTGCTGTATTTTTTTTTTTTTTTTTTTTTTTTTTTTTTTGCGATTTTTGTTTAAATTTGATTTCAAAACGCTTACTAAAAAATAAAAAAGTCTAAAAGTTTTAAAAATTTTACCACGTATGCGTAAGTTCAATATAAATAATGAAAGACAATTTTGTGTAGTTTGTAAATATGTAAGCCAAGTAATTAGTGGGGCAAAATTAGGAAAAACAGTTTCATTATTTTAATTCTTTTTTTTTTCGTTATTCATTAAAACAATTCTAGCTAATATTTCACCTGTGAAATATACCTCTGAAAAATATCAGGTCTCTACCTGATATTTTCGCATAAATGGTTTATTTTTTTTTTTTAGATGTTTTTGATATTATTAAATCATTTTTAGTTATTTATAAAAATTTGACATTTTTTTGTATTTTTATTTGAAAGGTACTAAGTGTCTAAAATTGTTTGAGCAAACAGTAATGCTTGAAAATTTAACAAGTGATCTTTATAAATTGTACTTAACGGTCAAAAAAAAAAAGTTAGGTATTATGAAGTTTTTTTTTTTGTAAGAAATGTATGACTAAATTTTAAAGAAAATCTTTATAGTTACAACATTTTAAACATGTAAAACAGAACTATGTTCAAAATCGTATTTCGTAAGCAATAATTTATCGTTGATTTTTACTTGGAATATAATACAATTGATTTCAACAGTGTAAAATCTTTAAAACGTTACATTATTTATATTACATTACACTTAAAATTGACTTATTATGTTTTAAGCCTCGATTGTACCCAATGTTAAAATGTTGTTACTATAATAAAAATAGAACATATTACTCAAATCATCGTTTATAGATTTTTAGTGGTTTCATTTTCATGTATCAATATGATATCAATGCGACAACACTTGTTTAAAATTATATTATAACACTACTAGTAATTTACTGGTGGTAAAATTGGGTATGATATTTTTATGTGATCCCCTGCGGGAGTTTGGAGATCGACAAAATTGAACACTAACACGAATACGAACGCAAACCCGGTTACAGCCTTACCGTCAATGAACTTTCCCGCGGGAACACCACAGGCATATACAATAAAAACGTCATAAAGAAACGAATTCTCTCGCATCTCCTACTCAAATATAATATTCTGACACCTCAGGGAAATCATTTCGACAATATATAGTTTTAATATTCAACGAATGAATTATTACGTAAAAAAATCTTGCAATGTATATTATATTTCATATAAGTACGTTACTATCGTTACTACGCGAGTGTATATTATATTTATTTAATTTAATTACATATGTATTTTCGAATTTCGAATCTAAGCAAAATTGAACCACTTGTAGCAATAAATATCAAAGTAATTTAAGTATTTTACAAAGCGCAACCTCTAGTACTAATTACAAAACAAAATATGAATTAATAATCTATTGGTATATAGCATCAAAATTAACTGCAAATAATTCCGAGTAGATATATTAGTTATAAGAACATAAATTATATCTTATAGTTCAAAATATATACTTTGTGATTAATAACATATAAATATTAAGATTCAGTAATGATTCAAATTAAACATTGCACGCATAAGACCTAGAAAATCCATTTTCAAATATTTACATTTATATATTATAGTCCAAATAAATAATATTATGAATAAATGAAAAACATTTCACTGAAATTGAATTTCGGGTATATTTTCAAGTGTTATTCATAAATGTGCAGTCTTTAGAGTAATATTGTAAATCTTACAAAGGAAACTTAAATATATTCAATTTGCTACAACAAACTTTAATAGGTTTTGAAAATTTCTTCTATACATTTTAAATTGTATTCGATTTTTCTATTCGTAAAACGTAAATTACATTACTGTGATAGACAGAAACAATATAGATGGGTACTAACATTCTCGTAAACCGTACATCAAAATAAACCGAAAATCTGTACTTTTAATACGAATAAAGAGATTTGATTTAAAAAAAAAACAAAATTAATTGTATCCAATCGCATGTTTTCAATAAAATAAAAATCTATAACGACACAATAACCGAAATAATATGTACTATGCATAAATGGAAGAAATTACTATATTAAAAAATCCAAATTTCTATATTTCCATCGTTATATACACGAAAAAAAATCTCAATATTATGTTTTTGAGCTTTAAAGACGATAATCAAATCAAACCTACTTAAATTTTAAATGTATCCTTTCTTAAAACCTCCCACATCCCATTCACGATTTCAACACTTTCACATTCTAATGTCACAAAATTATTGACGCAAATTATCTAGCATAAGATTTATGGCGCTAATTCTAGATAGGCCTCCAGTTTAACAAAAACAGTAGAGAATATCTATATTAGATACTGAGAAGAACGAAGAATTAAAACCAATATTTTTACAATAATGTTTATTTTTTATTTTTTTTCTATCTGTGAACAACTTTTCTACCAGAAATTTCGCTCCGATTTTCAAGTATAGCACTTTTTTGGAAAGGAAATTTGACTAGGGTTGGTACTTTAGGGAAGTAATTTTTTTATTTCCCCAGGAGTTTTCATTAGAAATGGGAATAACCTGAAAAAATGTAGAAAAAACAAGATAATTTACGAAATTTATTATTTTCAAATCGTATAGCATGTATAATATAATCTAATTATGCTCAAACTCGTTTTTTGTTAGCAATGATTAACCGTTGCGTACAGATATACATTAAATTACATCTCTACCTTCCTGATTCACCTACAACAGTGACCATGTGAAATATGTCTGTTTACTTTTTTTTTTTTTTAATATATTATATACTTTCATCTGCTATTCAAATTTAAGTTAAGTCTAAAAACGAATATTGTTAATTTACGAATCATTTATAAGAACCGTCTGGTCGTATGAAATCAGAATTAAAACGCCTTTCAAAAGCCTAGTAAAGTCTGAAATATAATTTAAAGGGGAATAGGGGGGGAGGGGGTCAAAGGAATCAACTAGCACCGTAGTGGTGCAGGGAATACCGGTGGATGGAACAAATCTTCTACTACACTGGTGAGATTATCCTGTCTAATATTTTAATAAAAGATTAGGATTAATAAATAACCGGACAGCGACAGATTTCTCAGCTAGGGATGAGATTGGAAACAAGGAGACATGTAAAATTAGTTTTAATTTTTTTTTATTGATCACCTAGTTTTTTTTTTTTTTTTTTTTTTCCCCTTTTTTTTTTTTTTTTTTTTTTTTTTTTTTTAACGTGGCCTAACTTAGGCAACGCAAATTAACGACAGCTAATATAATGCGTACATAATACCATTTTGTATCCCTATTTGATCATGAAAACGACACTATATTGTTTTTAATAAAAAACTCTATGCTAACAACTACAATATTTTATTTTAAATAAATATTATTTATTTATTATAGAAGAGTATACGCGAGGGAGGCAAGGATTTTGGGGTATTATCCTTCCTCTGTTGTTTTTTTTTTTTTTATTTTTACATAGTGTACATAATTTTATATGTAGATTTCAATAAACTTCCATGCAATGAAATTTTTTTACACTGATCCCTCCCATAAAAAATGTATGTCTACATCACTAACGTAACATGTGATTTATTGTAAACTAAACAAAAAAATGTAAGTAAACATTTAAAATAACGAAACTTTACACACTGTTTAATTCTACTTTATCGACGAATTTAAAAAATATATAGTTTATTTTTTGGAATAAACTTTTTTTTCATAATTAAACAATTGGACAAGGCAAATTTTGGTTGATTTAGGAAAAATCTGTTTCTACACTAAAATTTTAAATTGTATTTCTTTGTTTAATCCCTATTTATATGTTTCAGGGTCATTATCTTAATTGTACTTTTGCTAATAAAATATAATGTGGTTGTAGAATGATATAATATAAAAGAAACACTATAGTTCAAAAATAAGCATTCAATTATATCAAATCGTACGGAATAATTTTTAAAACAATCAAACAATTGTCATCCCTGATGTATAGTCAAATGTTATGATTGATTAATTTTATATTTCTAACTATACGAATGGATTAATCAAAACGAATGATAATAATATTGTATTGTTTAAAAAATGAAGTAAAGGAAAGCAGAGGCTTTTATAAAATATGCAAGGTTTTTTTAAATAATTTTTTATGCTAATGATAAATTATATAATAATAAAGTCTGGAATGCGAACATTGATTATGCCAACTTATAATAATATATTGTTTATATAAGACCATCGTAAATCTTAAAAATATTGCGTAATGAATAAAAATAATAAAATTTGAACAAATTACAATTTGAAATAATATAATCAACATGTTTATATAAAAATAATTTTTAACTAATGACAATAGTAATACAATGCTAATGCAAAATTTAAAATAAATAACTAATTGATGAACCGAGACGGCAAATTTATATGGGCAATGTAAATATAAGTATATGTAGACAAAAATACGAAACACCAAACATTTTATTATCTTGAATGATTGCATGGACTTATAGAGTTTCCTTTCGTTTAATAATGACTTTTTAGAAAGAAATTTAGACACTGAAAAATATGTGAATATGTGCCAAGTAGTTTTAGTAATGTACTGCGTAATATTTCCAACTTTAGATTCGAGTCGATGTAATATCGAGGATAAAACCAAACGGGTTTTTTTAAACTTTTAGTCTCACCGATCTTACTGACACGAAACAAAATAAATAATACCAACAAATAACAAGCTTCTCAACGAAGTTCGAATATATAGGATTATTTACCAGAAAACCGTAATTATTATACCGTGGTTCTCACCAGTTTGCACAGTGGTACACATTTGTGTGAATTACTGTGATGTGTGTCACAAAAAAATTGTTTTTGAAATTTGATTTGAATTTTTTTATTATTTAAATATGGATCGCATATTAGTAAATTTATATTTATATTTTGAAGATTGATGACCGATATAAAACAAGTTTAGCATAAAACATGTATATACGTAAAAAAACATGCCCTCAAACGCCGAGTTTTGTATCTGTCATTTCTCTAAGGTTTCTTTCCTTATTAATTTCGTATTTAAAGAAGTACATTTTTTATAGAAAAATTATTAATTATGAATGCCTAACTTCTTAAAAAACAAGCATCGATACTTTAATCACTTTACCGTCACCATCATAATCTTCTATTTCAAGTTATTCAAGAAAAATGAATACACTGGTGATCAAAGAAATCAAATATCTCAGTTTTTTTTTTTTTTTTTTTTTAATTTTACTTTGTCAAAAGAGTCAATGGTATCAAATAAATCAAAAAGATGTATAGAATGAAATCTTGGTCATGTAAGTAAATAAAAAATTTAACTTTCACGGGAAAATGTCTTAAATGTCTGATTAATCTATTTATTTTTTTATTTTATTTTTTAAAAAATACCCAAGTTTATATAAAATGAACTAAATGAAATTAATTTTAGATACCATTGAAGAGAATTAACTTTATCAGCTTATATTAATAAGAAATTTAGGTTTGTCATACTTAGTAAAGAAGCAACTGAACAAGTTTCAAACATTGCATTGTCAAAGAAATGATAATGTCGAAAAATTTTAGCAATGTTGGAAGACATTGCAAAAAATATAAATGAGAAATTACAAAATAAATAGGAATTTGCATTAAAATTAAATAAGAGTACCGATGTTCCTTGTGAACTCAGGTTACTTTGCTGACAATTTCACTGAATATTTAATATTCTACTATGCAAGATCGTAAAGAAAATATAATTTGTACAAGTGATAAAATATGTAGTTTTAAAAAAAAAAATGTACTTAAAATATTATAAATTCACTGTACAAAACACATACAGGACGTTATTGTTGCTCCAACAGATTATTAAACAGAAAATCTAGGGATTGTAAAAACACCATATTGGTTTTGTCTTAAAATTTATCTGTTTTCTTGCTATTTAGGTTTCGACATTTTCGGACATTATTGTCTGATAATATATCAGATAGTATATTATATCATATTGTATAACATGAGTACCTACTTAATAGTGTGTTATATTTATGTTATAAAAATCATGTAAGCTTGTAAAAATCTTAAAATGACATTTTAAATTTGGGTCCAAAAACTTCAAAAATGCCCCCAAAACCTTAAAATGCTTATGAAACGAATTTATGACAATACGATCATTTCACAGTAAGCTTTAGAAAAAAATGCTAAGTGCATTCAAATATCATCCTTAATTGTGTAACAAATGATAAAAATGATGATTTAAGCATAAATCAAAAAAAGGAATTAAAAAGTATATTGCATTGGCATGTATTGGCACTTTTTTCAAATTAAAACGAATTAGCTTCTATTCAATTCGACCCACTCATATAGAATTTCATTCGTTGAACTTTTTCATTCAAGAATAAAATATGGATAATACAAACTGAACATTTATGGAAAACGAACATTAACTAGAAGTATCATCAAATACAATGTTAAAATCTAAATTTGATGAGTCTTAAATCAATTCATTCTGGATTTCTTTGCAAAACGAATCTTCGAAGTGAGCAAAAAAATTATACATTTCTTTTCATTAACAACTTCGTTGCTGTATGAATTAGAATTTTTAACATAAGAAATAACAAAAATCAAAAATGAGGTCTAAGCTTAAATATTAAAATATTAAAATAGAACTACGCTTTGATTTTTCAAAAAATCACAAAAAAATGCAGACCTATGTTTAGTTCATCAATCGCAAATATCACACTGACTTAATTTTATAAATGAATACTTTTTTTAAATATAAATACCTGTCTAAAACTGTTTATTTTTAATTATGTTAGTTATATTTATATATAAGACCAATATTAAATCGACAGGAACTGACTACAAATAAACAAACAATATTGAGTTTCACTATAAAGATTTTATTCAATGTCATTTAATTATTCTATTTTATTCTATTTACAATATAATATGCCTTATTTACCTATAAATAAAGAAACGTCAGTTAATGTTCAATATTTCGTTTGTCAGTTTCCTTCGAGTTTTTTTATTCTTAACAATTATTACATTTTAAAATACCTACTACCGTTATATTTTGTCTTTATACTTTTATCAAGTTTATCTGCGGTTAGGGAGATCGGTAATCAAACCTGATTACTGGAACTCGTAATTTAACTGTTCCCCTTTGAAACCATTTCGTATTGCATGGTTCTTCTAAATTATCGTCCCTCAACGTGACTTTTGAACTTTTCCACTTTAAAGTGTGACCTACCCTCTACGGTCCCAATACGAGGTATTTTCCATTTCCCCTCCTCTTTATTTCTACGTGTTCTTTTCAACGACAAAATGTTTTAAGTTGTAATTTAAAACACAAAAAATAGCTTGAAGTGGTGAATTATTTTTTTTCCAACGTTGGTATTGGGGCGGCCCGTTGTAGCTTATCATTTTTCTGACAACTGAGTACTTATACTACCCCTCTCCTCCCAAATAAAAAAAAAAAAAAAAAAAAAAAAAAAATGAATATCGAACGAAAAGTTTATAATGTATAGTGCAAACACGAGACTACACAAATTTCATTAAACATGACCTGTATTCAAAAGCAAATATGTGATTTAACGTCAATAGAAATTTATATACTATAAATTATTATAAACAATTAATGTAAACATTGTACCTCCGTATTGTGTATATTTTGAACAGTGTACATCACACACACACACACACAATATGTATAAAAATAATAAATATCGATTTAAGTCTGATCTGCTAGCCGAATATAAATACTTCCATTCCAGTTGGCATATTACCAAAACGTACATGATCTTGGCACTACGAGTAAAATAAACCAATTTCATTGGCCAATTCATAATGGGTGATTTGTCGATCTTTTAACTAACGTTATTTAAAATAACGATTCTTATTAATCTATCAAATCCAAATAAATGATAACAATTTAATTGAAAGAAATGAAATAATAGGTCCAAACCTGATCCTGTTCCAAGGAAGTTGTCAACCTAAAACCTAATCAATGAAAAAGTACGACGGGTTTGAATAAAACAAGAAAAAATAAGAAAAATTTGATCTATAAGTTGCCGGTTTCGTACCCGTCAACATTAATTGTAACTTCGTGTATTAACCAATGAAATAAGTTTATTTTTTATATGTTGTGGTAAAATCGTATACGTTTTGTTAATATGTTTCCGGCTGCTCATAAAATATTATAATATTGTAAATAGGGTACACGAACGTATATACTCGTATATTTGCATAAAACGGACGTCATCCAGGCGCGTCCCTCGCTAAGGGGGTCCGCCGAATGATGTTCCATATTTATGTCACAATATATATTTAGATTATATATATATATCTAAATATTATATAAAATATATGATATATACAACTCCGAAAAAAAATATTTTTTACTATTGTGGCCAAAGCTGATACGTGCCAAAAAAACATTTTAAACATGATATCTGAATAATAAGCCGAAAACGAAAGTTATAACTGGTTAATTTGATAAAATAAGATCAACAATCAATAATTTACTATGACCATTAATGACAAGAAACATACGTAAGTTACCTTGTAAGTTTTTCGACAAAAAAAAATATAATTAAACAGTAATCATTGAAAATAGTTTTATAGTTTTTCAAAATATTCTCCACGAATATCAATACATTTATGAACCAATTTTCGAAGCACTTTTTCCACTCCAATTAAGATACCCCCAAAACATGCATTTTGAATGCATCAACTGCATCTTCAGGTATTGGAGAACGTTGAACACGCAATTTTCGATTCTGAGTGGAGCAAAGAAGCTTACGGTTTTACAAAGATGTTTATTTTTTGGTTTTTTTTTTTTAATCTGTGTGCAACTTTTCTTCTAGCAGACTTGCTCGGATTTCTACATGTAACATCTTATATAAAAAAAATCGGCATAGAGAGGTACTTTATGGAGGCCATATTTCGATTTTTTCAAAAGTTTTTTCATCAGATGCGAAAAACCGAAAAAAAACTGGAAAATTTACGAAATATAATAAATATAATCTTACGCTTTTTTTTTCTTTTGACAAATTTTCTAACAGCAATTTTGCTCAAACTTTTATTGATAGCAATGTTTCTTAAAAAAATTTCACTAGCTAGGTACTAATGAAAGGTAATTTTTCAATTTTCCCAAGAGTTTTCCCAGCAAATGTGAAAAACAGGGATAAAACATAGGAAAATCGGTACAACATGAAACAAATATTAATAAAGAAAATATATTAAGCCTATTTAATTATTTTTTTACTATAAAATGGCAAATATATTGTTACTGTAGAAAACCAGCCAAACAGAAACACGGTAGCTCGATGTGGCGTTTCATCATCAAAAGTCAAAACAAGTTGATCAACACACTGTTATTGAGTTAATCCACGTTGAAAGTCGTAGTAAATCATTGCACGAAAATGTTCACAATTTTATTTTATTTTTCGACAGTTATGAATTTTATAAGTCACTGTAAACCACACTAATTGTACTTGTACCGCAAAACGATTAGATAAAGTATGTTGTAATAATATCAATTATCATGTTCTATTATAAGATTTGACGTAGTATCCCAGGTGTAATCTTATCACAAAACATAAAAAGCAACCTACATAAAATTAATAATTAATATTCTGTTATTTATTTATTTTTCATGAAAAAAAAACATGCTAATAAATTTTACAGTTATGCTAGTCCTGAACAATTTAGTTTTGACAACAATCACTTTGCCACAATAATACAACTATGTATAATAAAATATTTTCATATTTTGACTCCCTCAACCCCCATTAAATTGATTCAAACACTTCTCTGACCGTCAACGCCGATATATTTTATGTATCCAACAGTATATACATACGTACTTACTTAATATAATATTTAATATTTTCGGGAAAAGTGCCCGCGACCGGCAAAACAGATGACAGGAATTCGACGATCGATATGTCAATATATATTATTATACCGAACACAATATAAATTACAATATATTAATCTCATGTCTCGCAATTCGGGAGGTGTTTTTATTACTTCAGTTCATCAATCAGTTGGTGGATATTAAAAAAAATAGCACCTCCGACGGACATAATATTATATATACCTATATATATTCGGGTTTGTTTTATAAACATATAGCCTCCTCGAGGGAATAACGACAAATAAGCGCCTCGTTAAAACACCTCCGTGGGGCAGTCGACATTGTAATGAAATAATAAACGAATTTTATCCCCGGGAAACACGAAAATCCGATTTCTAGAAATCGGGTGTTGCATTAAATCCGACACCGGTATTATTATGTATATACAGAGTGTTACACGAAATATTCCAGCTGGGTGGAATTAAGTTAAAATGCGATTTTTTTTTTTTTTTAGGAAGATTGGGGATTCTAAAATATATGTTTCAAGCCGATTGTCAACATTTATCATTGTTCGGTATTTCATGGAACAATGAATCTTACATTTTTACTGTAGAAATCAGAACAGTGAAAATACAAATCTGTTTCAAAAGCCTTAAATGGAAACACCTATTTCAAACATCAGATTCAAATTGTCCTATTTTTTTTCCCCAAATAATTTTTAAGTTTTAATTAAGTATACGTTTTATTTCCTATCTCAAAAATTGCCTGAGATCTTAAATATGATTTACCTTGAGTTTTCGAAAAATAAACCCATATTGTGTACGTACAGTTATGTGATCTGTGGGTACTTTTTCTCCATAAAAAAAAACTTTCAAATTTTTTGAAAATTCGAGAAAAAAATTATATTGTTTTAATAAACTTTATATGCAAATAAATACTTTGTATCTTTGGAAATTTTTATTCAGAAAAACCCACAAGAATTTATAATTTAAAATATGCTGAATAAAGTTTATTTATTTTGGTACAACAATCTTCCTAAAAAAAAAATCTCATTTTAATCTAAAGTCCATCCGGTTGGAATATTTCGTGTTAGTAATTTCAGTGAAACGCACTATATATTTTATGCATAAAATAATAATATACTCGAATAATACTATAAATTGTTATTCTGCGTGTACATACAATATAGGTATACTTTTTAGGATATTTCATAAAGGACTCCCGACCCTATTCTTAACGTGTGGATATTCTTTGACTCTTTTTTTCCCCTTCTCTCGGGGACATCGTATACAAAGACGATATTTCACGGTATTTATAACGTACGAACGTAACGAACAAAATATAAAAGCAAAAAACTAAATATAGTTTCCCCTCGTACCTACTTACTCCGTTGAGTTAAAAAAATATGCACTTAAAAACCTTTTTTTTTTTTTTTTCTTTTGCCTTCTTTAAACCCATTTTATTACGTGACATGCCTCGTTATTATTATTACTTTGTTTTTGTTTAATTCTACTTCGGATTAACACGAAAATAATTTCACTTCGTCTACGTCACCGCGACGACCGGTCGTAAATAAAAATAATAATAAGTACTAATAATAAGAACTGATACTGCTGATAGGTGTGCTATTGTTGAAGGGTGCAAAATTGGGAAAATAGCGGATCCATGCAATTTTTTTAATTTATAACTTTATTTAAATGAATGCTAATAAAAATCGATTCTGAGTGAAGTTCGGTTATACATATGTATAATAATTTGAATGGTATATTCGTCAAAATTTGATCTTAAAGCTTATAAAAAAAATTACTATATAGATATATATAGACTTTATATATTACTATAATAAGGTTATATTTTTTTTTAATATCAAATGTAACTTATAATAAACTTCGAGGTAAAAAAATAGTATCAAAATTAATGAAATCGTTCATACCGTATACTTTCTTGTTTTACCTAAATTTTTTCCAGAATTTTACCACATACTAATAAAACTACAAAGAGAATCAAACAATGACCTCCTTCCTAAATGCACAAACAAGATCCAAAAACCTACAAAAAAAGTTCTCGTTATTTTTATGATTGGAGCAAGATTTCTGATAGAAAAATTGTTACAAACATGTAAAAACAAATTGCACACTTACGAGTAAAAAAAACAATACATTTCTCGCTACATTTAGAATCTAAAAAATAAAATTGCTGATGATTTAATGGTTTAGCGTGATGCAAGCAGCTATAATAAGATTACGAAACGTAGCGTAGCAAATAATGTATAGGGATTTATTATTTATTTATTAATAAAATTCATACGGACACAGAGTCCAATTACAATAAAAATTGTTTATCTTATTATTCACAATTAAGAGCTAAATTCACATTACTTTTAAATTTACAAAAACTATTAACAAAAGGATAAATATTGTACCTATTAGCTATACTCATTTAACGATGAATTGGTGCATTTAATACTAATTGATTACTAGCTAAAGACGAATAAAACAAATTGACATTTCTTAAATTAATTTTATGAATCTTAAAACTAATCATACATAATAATTCAGGGCATTCAATTAAATTATTAAGTAATTTATATGAGAAAAATAGATCTAATGGTTTCTTCTTATTTCTAAAGTATTTAAATTTAATATACTGAGTAATGGCTCATAAGATGTGTGTGCCTCTCTATACACATTAAAATTAACAGAAACAAATCTAAAAAATCGATGTTGGATAGCTTCTACTTGTCTAGTTATTATAATAAATGCTTTATTTTTTTCTGTTTGTAAACAGTTTTTCTACCGAACTGAAATGTTCACGAAACTTTTGAAACTTAATATATATGTTTCGGAAATATTTCATTCAAGTTTAAAAAATATTACTAACATTTTATGGTAATGTTACGTAATACCTAGTTAATTATATATCTTTTAAATATTATAGTTAAATATATAACATTTAAGAAACATTAAAAAAACTAGGAAGAAATAAAACACTTGTGGGATTTAAACTCGAGCCTACTGATTTTTTTCTTTTAAAACCTACCTATAACCTATCTATATGGATCTATACGGAATTTTTAACCTGTTCATATTTTGATAAAAATCATGTAAATCGCAAAATTTCAACACAAATTTAACCATACTTCACTGAAAATCGTTATTCGTTAATAATAATTTATAGTTGTGTACAGATATAAATTAAATAAAATGATGAGTACATGTATCTTACCTTCTCGAATCCCCACCTACAATAATGGTAAACCCTTCAATAGAATTATTTCTTTCTTTGATTTGTATAATTACATTTTATAAAAAAAAAACTTCTAAATAGCTAACTAAGTATTGTATGTCTACGAATGCTGGGCTTGGGAATAACAATATAGGCTATAATATTATGCAAAATCAAATAGAATGCAAATAAAAATTTCGTGCACGAAATATAAATATAAATAAATATAAACAAACACGCGATGGTAAGTATGTGCATTATGGAAATGTTTAACGGGGGGTGTCGGACAATCGATTAAAAGAAATCCTGTTAAATATTATGACGACGTGTTTATGATGTTTTTGTTAATTATATTAAAATTAGATGTAACACTCTGCTTTTTCCGTGCACATTTATAAACGGAAAAAAGGGAGATACTGCTGATAGATAAGCCACTGTTTTAGGAAGGAATTTCAAAGGAAGGATATATAAAGTAAATTTATTTATTTATTTATTTATATCTGTAAGCAGCGAATATTGCCAAGGGATTTCTATAAATCTACACGAATTGCCAGTTTTACTCATTTATTACCTAAAAAAATTACAAGAAAAATCAAAAACCCTATCCTCTCAATACGCCCACACGATAAAAAAAAAAGCTACGAGAAAATTCCTATAAAGTTTTAGATATAAGTAAGATTTCTGGTAAACAAATCGTATAAGTACAGACACAAAAAACGTATTATAGAAAAACCAATACATTCCTTTTTCGCTCAGAATCTAACAGTTTAAAAAGTAAAAATGTGTTTCCTCACGATTATAATTTTATATAGTAAAACAAAATAGGTATTTTATAATACCTAATATAAATGATTTTTCCCTTATAACTAATAGGTAAAAGAAAAAATAAATTAAAATGTACTTTGAGGACAAAGTTCCTTTCCACTTTAGGGATTGAATTTAAACTACTCGCTAAACACTCCTGGAACTAATAAAAACATACATTGAAATGTTCAGCAAAATCGGTCTAGTAGTTTTTGAGTCTATAAACCACAACCATACGTATATTTTGTCTTTGTATGTACAGGAAGGTATAATATAATATAGGTAAATAATATTATAATAATGTTTATAGTTTTATACCGAATTTTCTTCACGCTTACACTACAGGAATATTATTATGTTATTATACCCGTAGACGGTCTAATACACGAAATATTCTAAGATGGAATTTAATTTCACGGGACGGCTTAATCGAGTACAGTTGGGGGAAGGGGTACCCGAGCGCTGTTATTTGCTTAACCCTTAAATCCGCGTTTGCGCAATTATTATAATATATTGGCGGAGAGGTACCTGCCGCGGGAATTCACGACCCCGGTCATTGCACGTACTACAATCCGGGTCACTGTGCCCTCCCCTCAAACATCACCACCACTGCCAGTACAATAATAATATTACCGTCCGATGCCCACATAAGTTTTACAACACGTGATAACTTCACCGCAAGAAATTTACTTAAACAGCTGCGTTGCCCGCAACCCGACAAATAAATTTTACGAAAATTTAAACATATGCACATGCGTGTGACTGTGTGTGCGTACAGTATTGTGCATACTAAATGGACAATGAAATGTAAAGACCTTTAAATATTCATGCATATACGCACTAAAAAAAAAAAAAAAAACCGATAAAAATCATGTATAAATGGTTTTTTTTAAATACTATATTCATAGTTATGTCCTAAAAATCTGAAAATATGAAAAATAAAATTGTCTAACTATATAATACCGTGAAATCATAAAATTCATTCTGGTATAAACAAACTATGTTTATTACCAACTAATAAGGAAATGCAAAAGTATATATAAATATATTATGTTTCGTTGATTAATAATATGTGTTACATGCATAAAGTACATATTCAGATTTAAATTTATAAATTATTATTACACTCGTTCGTTATTAAGTTTTATATGGGATTGATTAACAAGTTTACTAATGTGTTTTGACCGAAGCAATTATAAAAAATCATAAAATTCTATGTACTATGATGAAGAATATAAACAGAAAAATACCATAGTTTTGCTCTTCGATATCACATATACAAAAAAACAAATTAAAATTGCTTCTGTCATAACCTAGTAAACTTGTTAATCAATCAAAATCCGTTTTGAAAAATTATAACCTGTCGCTCCTAATCCTTACATTTTTGTCTGGCTTTTTGGTCTAAAACGTCATATTCTTCAGTACCTCTGCCCTTAAATCGGTCTGTAAATTAGTGGAAAAATCTTATCGTTACTTCGGTCATTATAGCTTAAATAAATGTTTAAATTTTAGAAAATTGATAAACATTTTAAAACCTACTCCGACCTCCTTAACTCGATTCGTTATTTTATCATTTTTATTCCGAATGTATTTTTAATTCGTTGTTTCATAATTTGTATACTTGCGATATTATACTAGCAGGCGATGGACCGAAAATATAAAATACTACAAAAACAATATAATATAATGAAAATCGTACGAGATAATCGTGAACGGCAGAGCGGCGACAGTCCGTCACGTTTCGAATTTTTCCCCGCGTTTAGGCGCGCCCGAGGGTGCGGCTTTCGAGGAAATTGCCTTCCGCTCCAATTTGCAAACGAAAACGTCCCCTGTTCACCTCTTTCGGTGGAAATATTACGAATCGCGTTCACGCCCACGACCGACATTCACCTCCTATTGTGGCACGGGCTACAAACACACGCGCGCACGCATTTTATCGGTTACGGAAACAATTAAATATTTTCCTTTTCTTTTCGGAACTACTCGGAGTGCACAATATAGCTAAGTGAATTTTATCGTGCAATAATTTTCGAACGTTACCATTATTAAAAAAAAACTACCCGAGACTACGGCGTAACGGTTATATTATGGTCACAAATCGGCGTATCGCATAAACGATTTCGCCGATACTTCCAATGGACCGTAATATTGTTTTCGACAGTGCAATATATTGTACATCATGCTAATCACGCATATGAATAAAACGAAAAAATCAAGAAACAGTACCTATGTAGGTGGTTGAAAAGACCAAAAGTTATGAATTATTAATAAAAATGAATAAAATAATACCTAGCTCAATTTATTTACGCAAATACCAACGAATTTAACGATTTTCTGTTTATAATAAAAAAAAACTACAAAACTTTTAATTAGTTTGAATAAGTTTTTATTTTTTTAATCTTATACTCAAACGAAACTAAATAAATAATTGATATTTTAATTTTAAGTACATACGTCACTTTACGAGAGAAAAAAAGAAAAACTATACATTTCAAATGTATAAAAACAATTTAATCCTACGTTTCTTGATTTACTCTTTTCTATACAAAATACTTTTCTTCAAACGCTTTTTTTTTTCTTCAAACTAATTAAATATACAACTTAACAGTGCTGATTTATGTGCCATATTTATACAATACTCATTAAAGAATTAATTTGATCAGTACCGTAACTAGAAGTTGACGACATAGACAGTTTTCAAAGGCACATTAAAGTCAGGAGGCACATTTGAGTTGGTTTAATAATGAAATTTATAATAGTATTAATTATAATAAGTTCAATTCACAGTCATTTTACTTTTTATTAAGAATTTTATTTGAAAGGCTAGTTTAGACTTATAATATGGAAAATAGGGGATGAGTTCTCCCTATTTACACCATTAAGATACAATATATTATATAATTTGATAATAGTACCATGGAGAGTAGTTATTGGCACTGATTTTATTACAGACAAACTAAATTATAAATTACTTTAATTGGGAATTAATCACATAATATAATCACAATAATTAAGACAGAACTGTATATAAAATATATAAAAATCTTGGATGTTGCAAGTTGATTCACTTATAACAAACTAAATATAGAAAAGCAAAATTCACAAAAGTTTACACAAAAATTAAATTAAATTAAATAAAAAAAATACTATTTCATCATTTTACAGTAAAACTTACTAAAATGCAATAAATTCGTCTTACTTTTAATAGGGAATCAACTCAAGTTATGTTAAATACGTTTATATAAATTTTAACATAATCATTTATATACAGTATTTCTTCAACGAAATAATTATATACCATGAATAAGTAATTATTAATCATAATTATATATATTTAAAATTTATTTAATATTTTATAAATTAGTTAGAACGCAAATTTAACAAAAAATCTAAAACATGAAATAATGAAATAAACCAATTCATTGACTCATTTATTATGCTCAGTGGTGTTAAAATCAAAATTAAACAATCATAATCATAGTTGTTTTAAAGATTAAAAATATTAAAAACTAAAACTTTAGTCTTTATAATTATCGCACGCAAAATCCAATTTGCATAATAAATTGAAAATTTATATTTTTTTAACGTTGGATATAAAGATTTCAATTAGGCATTTTTTTATTGTTCCGTACATTTTCCGAATTTTAATGATCTATGTTTTTATTTTTCTCGAATTTAAAATATAATTAATCATTACTCAAGAAAAAAAACTTATAAATAGCCTAAAAGCCCCTTAAGTATTTAATTTCTAAGTATTCAAGTTGTTATAAGCAGACAAATTTAGTTTTCAGATTGTTCTTTCCATTTTCGAAAATTAAAAATAAAATGTAATCAACTTTACGTTATAGCTAATATATATATATATGTTGTAGACCAGTTACAGTTCCACTGTATACATATTTTATTGCTATCCAGTTTGGATAAATCAAGCAACAATACCATCTTGCAGTATACATTTTATACGTAAATTACTGCAAGATTACACATAGGTTTAGCATTTTAATATTTAGAGAGCTGTCCACCTCGCTTATTAGCACACCGTATAGACAATAAACATTATATACGTTACGATCACAACATATACGTTTCTTATTTCACTATAATAAACCCTCGATTCAAAGTTACCTTTATCAATTTTATTACTAGATTCTTGTTCAGCTACGGAACAATAATTTTATTTGTATCTTTATTGTTATGATTTTTTTTTTATAACAATATACATTGTCAATTTATCTATATGCAAGTAACAGTACTAGAACACTACTCTTATTACAAATAACTATTTGATTTGGTTTTGTAATAAAAATTAGACGATCTTACACGTGTAATACCGGTAATTAAAACTTCCACGCCCCACACTGATACGTTTTCAAAGTCCCACATTAGTAAATACAGATTTATACACACACACAAACATACCTAATCAGTCAGAAGTTTTGATAGGCGACCCCTTACGCTTCTTGTCGCAAGTTATTATACAAACACAACACCAGGAAGTGTTTTGTACATCCAAATCTCGGTACTTTAGTCAGTGTACTTTAAAACGAGCTCAATGTCCACTTTTTAATTGTATGCTAGGTAAATAAATTATTGTTTTTTGTTTCAAGCACATACGTCATTAACACAGCGAAAATATTATATTCGAACCAAACACTTTCCATAAAAATAATTTTGTGTTCGACAATAGACGGTATTTTCATACCGGAGAGAAGTAAGTATATTAAAGTTTCGATCGTTAAACACGTATCATCAAATCGACCGCCCTCCACCGGCGGCGGCGGCAGTGGCGTCGGTGAACAGTACAGGAATAAAACAAACATAATTTCATCATCCTTTATATAATGCATAGAGGCTCGTAAATCTAAAAATCTAAAACTTTCACTTTCCTTGCTTTGGTATGTAATTATTCCACATATATACAGGGTGTTCCACCGTATTTCCCCAATGATAATCAATATTCAAATCTTCCCCCTTTGTTAAAATTCAAGTTTGTTTTATTGTTTGTTTTTTTTATTTTTATTTTTCAAACAAATTTCGTGTCGAAGAGACACGTCATATATAGAGACAAATTTAATTGTTATTTACTCTTTAATTACCAGGAAACATGTTTATCGTTTTAAAAATAGCCACTTATTAATAAATATTATTCCAAACGTTTAAACGTATTATACATATGCATGTCTGATAAATATTTTTTAAATAATAGCCAATTTATTAATTTCTAGAAAATGGGTATAAATTACTTTTATTAAAGTGCTTCGATTGTGATTCTTTTCAAAAAATATAACAGCTATCACTTAGAAACAAATCATCAGATGCATGAGTTTGTATTTAAGATTAAATTTTTAAAAATAAATTACAATAAAGTAGTTATTTTTACAAGTTTAAAAAAAAAAAAACAAATAATGTGTGTGATAATTAGTGATTAAAAGTTGAAATTAAAAAAACACTTTTCTCTAAATATATAATCATGTCTCTCTTCCACGAAATCCGATTAAAAAAATGTAAAATACAACAATTTGAAAATTAATAGATATATTAGCATCGAAGAAACATGGTGAGTACCCTGTATCATATATAAAAGCTAAAAATAAAAAAGCGGAACCTTCCTAAATATAATAAAATATTATATGATGTTTAACGTACTATAGTTTATACCATCAATATTTTGAGCACTTTATAATAATGATGATGGTATGTAAAAAAAAAATTAAATGTAGTTCATACAGCCTTTGTAATTAGTTTCGAAAATATTTCAAATATAATAGGATATGATAAAAACGTAATTTATGTTTACAAAAACTATTAAATGTTATGATTAGAAAACGGATCGTAGTTCTAATAAAAATAACTGTATTTTGTACCGGAAAATTAACTTTACACGTCATATTATTATTGTACGATGATAAAAATTATATAAATATATATATAGGTGTACATTTTTGTTTCCATCAACTAGAATAACTACTACTCGTATGATATGTAACTTAATTATTTATGCTGTGTACCTTTTTTGGACTACTATTTTAGTCAGTATAAACTATATTTTATTTCAAAATACAAAACAACGAAAAATTTACACAATAATATAAATCTATATTAGGTATATATTCAAAAAATAAACTACTAAATACAACTAAATTACGAAAAATAATATTGCTCAAAAGGGGTTCTTTGGAAAAAAAACAATCTCATAATCGTAAAACTCTAATAATAGCTAATTAATAATAATTTACTGTTAAAAAAAAAGAAAAATAATCATAAATACTATCTCCATATTTTAAATAACAGAAAATTTTGGGGCACGTTGTAAATCCCAAATTTGTGCAGTTAAATTAATATGTTACTAAATAATACTATAGCTAATAGCTTGGCATCAATTAAGTTTACAGGCTTGCGGTATTATATCCCAACGTTTGCTTTGGTATTGAATACAACTATGTAGAAGTATTGCATACTCAAAGCGCCGTCTGACAAGATGTTAGTAAAGAACTATAACTTTTATGCGTCCATATATTTTGTTACCATGAAACGGTATCTTATACATTATATAAAATATGTAAAATATATACCTACTGTTAAACTTCAATTAAAAATCAGTACGATGTTGATCATATAGAAAATAATCAAGATTTTATAATCTATTATAATATTTAATATTCAATAATCAATACCTATTTAGTATTTATTAAATTAATTAATGATTCCAAAAAAATGTCATTTATAATAATTATCATTATATTTTTTTTTCACTTTTTTTCTGATGTCAAATATTTTTATACTTAATTTTGGTGAAATTTAATTTCCAATTTTACTAGCTTTATTGACAAAACACTGTCACAGAAAACGTTTTTATCAGATACACTGATTTGTTGACGTAATGTAAAGAAACGGGATGAATTTTTTATACAAAGTTTAACCAACACGGAAAAGTGATTCATCACATCGAACGTTATATTATTACTTTTTTTCAAATAGAATAAAAAATCAACCATCGGGATAAGTAGAATCGTATTGAATACATAATAATCTCCTATTCCCATCGGAATTGAAGAGCCTTGAAAAAATATATTATTAATAAAAGATTTATTTATTTTTACCACTAAAAATGAAATATAAAAAAAAACCTGTGACAACTTGCTGTTAATATTAGTGTTAAATAATTGATAGTTACAAACCGTGCAGAGTTTGCCTAATATATATTTATCGAATAACAACTACGTATTTACGTAATAAACGTGATCGAATACGACGAAAACATAATATACACGTAGCAATACAAATATGCACAAACACTATTTTAATAGTAAATAAGTATATACATCATGTTAATTATTATTTATGCATTTCCATAGGTAATGTCCACTACTCAGCCACAAGGTACAGCAGACACGACGTTCACCATGTTGCCTGAAGAACACGAAGACCAAGAACCGTCTAGCTCGAAAGATTTGTAAGTACAATATGATTATATATGATAGTATTTATTATACTGCACAGCTCAAATTGAGAGGAAAAAATAAGGGTGGACGCTGGTTTTAGTTTAAAAGCTATCGTTTTGTACCAGATAAATAGTACACATAAAAAAAATTAAATAATTATGAATACATTTTATTTGACAACTTAAAAAAAAAAATGTACAAAATACTCAGCTATAAACAATACTATCCACACCTATATTAAATCTACCTTATAAAATAGAAAAAAAAAACACTATAATAGAAAATATTATATTATATAGAATTATAGGTAGATTTATAGCTTTTACATCTAAGGAAATATGGCCGAAAATAGGAAAATTGACAATGTAACATCGAGTTCAAGGGCATAGGAAGATAAGTTACATGACATTTTTTTTCGACATTCTCGTGTGAATTAACTTGATCCAAAAACTAAATTTAAATTTTACTCACAATGAAAATTAACAGTTGTGCTGTACAAATAGATACGCTTTCGATAAAAGCTTTCCTTTTTTTAACTAAATGAAGTTTAAATGGTACAATAAGATAAAATTATAATACTCGTATGTTATGTATGTTACGATCATTTCGTTTTGCAAATGTGATTTACTCGCGTACTGTTGTATCATACCGCGAATAATAGACTGCAAGTCGTAAATAATAATAATAGAGTATATAATACACACGGCATTTCAAAAGGTCGCCAACGGGCACACGGCGAAAATTAGGATATTACACTTCGGATTATAATGATAATATTATGTCTCGTTCAGACCTGCTTGAGTATAATATATTTCGATTGTATAAAGAACATAATACAATATAAAATATAATGCCAAGAAAACTAAATCCACCGAAAAGAATAAATATGAAATCGATTACAAAATACGCAGATCCTAAAAAAACAACAGCGATTTCATATATTTTCGTATTCACTTTAATGTTTTTTTTTATATATATATCTTATATACATATAGTTGATGAAAATCTGTTTCACCGTTTCCCCAAACACACACACACACACACATGACCAACCGCATTGTTTCATCGCATGTGCTGCAGACGAGTATATTTACTTATACAATATGCTTATTGTGCACAGCGTGAACAAAAAACCCAATATTTTAACTTTTGGACGTATCACTTTTGTTCGACACGTTTCCACGCAATGTTTTCATAAATAATATATTTGTAAAACAAAATATTACGTTAAAACGTTGATAATGAGATATATATGAAGATTTTTTCACAAATAGTCTGTAAAATCGGTGTACTGCATGAATGTATTATACATATTTACCTATATATGAACATTATACCACAAGACCATCCCAACAGTACCCCCTTGTTTTTTTTTGTTTATTGGTTATTTTTGTGTATTTTGGCATGATCAAAATATAGTAAATTATATAAAAATGATAAATGCACCCTCCCCTCCAAAAAAAAAAATTGGTTGCGGTACTGTATAACATAATGTAATGACCAAATACTATAATAATACAAATTTAATTTAACTCACAAATAAAACTAACATTAAAAATTGTAAACATATTTCGGGAAGAGGGGGAGGGGGGTCATAATAAAAAAGTCCTATGTTTACTGCATATTTGATATTAAAAATAAATAATTATTTTATTTTGAATGGTCAATATTCATTCCGTTTAATTATATTTATTCATAACTAATAAACAAACCACAATTTGTTTAAATAATAGCACGTTTAAATACTAACAAATTTAAATGAAAATATTATTTATTCGGCAAATATACAAACTCTTAACCTTTAATAATTAACCCTAATAGTTTCACAAACGGTTTTTATAAGGTTATAACAAATATTTTAAATTATTTTGGGTATTCGATAAAAGAATAATAAAAAAAAAAAATGGCTATAGAAATGATAAGTTACTTTTACGTAAAATCAATCACACGTTATTAGCTTTTCTACCTAAAATTTCGTTTTTAAGAATACCTATACTAGAAAGTTATTTCGTTATGCGAGGCTTCGGGAAGAATTCATGCGAACAATAACAAGAAGAAAAACGCATAACGCATTGTCAAAACGGAGCAAACTAACCATGTCGGTTCAACACTAATGGAATACAGCCAAAAGCCGAGAGCAATATATAAATGCCCCGAAGGTAAATGTCAGTCTCGGTGGCGACGGCTGCAACTAACGTGGTTAAAAAAAAAAATTAATATATAATATAATAATAAGGGTTTGACGTTGTTATTACAGTGCTGATACTACCCTGTATTCGTATATTAGTTGCTCTTGTTATACGTGTCGAAACAAATAATTGTTGTTTATAAATCCAGCAAAGCAACGACAGGCCAATGGTTAACCCATCAGCAAAATAAACAGAAGGGAGGGAAACACGCGGACGCTATTATTACTGACCGTGATTTTTTTTATAATATTAGAACCAAATAATTTGTGTATATTCCAATATTTCATATTTTGAACACATTCAAAAAGATTTAAATAATTAGTCTGATTTAAAGCTATACAACAGTAAAAGCCGAACGAAGCGGATTTCCATCCTTTTTAGATTCTGAGTGGAGCGAAGAAGCTTATGGTCTTACAAAAATGTTTATTTTTATTTTTTAATCTATGCGCAACTTTTCTACCAGAAGACTTGCTCAAATTTCTACATGTAGCATCTTTTATAAAAGAAAATCGGCGTGGAGAGGTACTTAAAGGAGGCCATTTTTCGATTTTCTCAAGAGTTTTCTCATCAAATGCGAAAAACCAAAAAAAAAATTGGAAAATTTACAAAATACAATAAATATAATCTTTTATAATCTTTTTTTTTTTCATTGGATAACTTTTCTATCAGCAAATTTGCTATTGATAACAATGTTCTTAAACATTTTCACTAGTGATGTACTTTAGAAAAGTCATTTTTCAATTTTCCCAAGAGCTTTCCCAGCAAATGTGAAAAACAGGGACAACATGGGAAAATCAGTACAACATGAAACAAATATTAATAAAGAAAATATATAAAGCCTATTTAATTGTTTGACTATAAATTGATATATATATTGTTGACAAAGCACACTATCAACTGAAATCCTTAGAATCATTTTTTCGTAAGTAATGGTTTATTGTTGATTACAGGTGCACATAAAATTATCTATAACAGTAGCTGCACCCGTTTACATTATCCTTTTTTTACGTTTAGGCCCAACGTGCGTGCCTGCTACCAGTTTTAACGTTGTTATGGGAGTATCACAAAAATAATAATATTATTGATTGTATACCTACGAAACCACATAAAATAATATTATACTCCTAAAAGTCTTAAAAATAACAATCAAAAAATTATGCCATTATTTCGACGTTTCAGCGAATATTTCGATATATTCGGTTTAAGAAGTATATTTATAATTTGTAAAATTATAAACAATTTTATTTTAGATTCTGAGTGGAACTAGTAATGTATTGGTTTTACAATGATGTTTATTTTTTGAACACTTTTTCTACCAGAAAGCATACTCCGATTATCAAGTAAAAACACCTTTTCTCAAAGAAAATGTTTTCTGGATGGTACTTTGAAGAGGTCATTTTTTGAGATTCTCATTAATATTCTAAATAATGAGGAAAACCTTGGTCTTTAGGTTTAAAGATTAAAAATAAAGTTGTCATTGGGCACCATTTTTTTTTTATTTTAATCATTTTTAAACAATCATTGTTGTCATTGAAGCGCACATTGTTGTAATCATTTTACTATAGTATGACATATACCATGTATTGTATTTTTAACAAAGCAACACTATAACTGAAATTGTTTTTTCATTAGCAATGATTTATCGTTGCTTATATTATTGTAGACATACTTTAAATTCCCGTTTGTATACTACTTTCCCAACTTCTCACCTACAACAGTGGCTGCACCCACATGCGAAGTATGTCCGTCCTTTTTTAATCTTTAAAATACAAAATTACTCAACAACATTCCCTTCCGGAAATTTATTCAGAGAATTTATTGTCATTAAAAGCTCCCTAATAATATAATTCCAAGGAATGCGATCTGTACAGTCACATTTTCAATAACAATAATATACTTCAAAATACAAAATTCCCGGTATCGTGAATAACGAGGTTCCTTTAACATACATGTTTGATATTTGATAGTTTATGCAATATTGTATTAAACTACATACGCACAGTATTTCATACATGAATTCGGAATTAACCATTTCGTATAAAAGACAAACGTTGTCAAGACACAAAGACTCTACTAGTCGCGTTCACAAATGAACGTAATTCGCTTTTAATTAAATCTAATTACATTTGACATTAAAGCGGGTATCAAATTAACAAATATACACAAAGTTTTGTCATTAATGAAACCAAAACATAGATTAACGATCAAGTATTTATCAATTAATTGTACCTAAATCATTTACGCAATAAGTTATTTTCATAATACATGAAATATATATTATATTTAATTCTATCAAAAACAAAAACTCTTAAATTTCGGAAATAATAAAAATGTATCGATAAACATTTTTTTTTAAAATATCGAACAAAATAAACCACGCTGTTCTTTCTTTTTTATTAAACTACACTGCTGTACTTCAATTATTTCACAAGAGTTTCTTCGTCCCAATACACTCCATTGAATCCAATGATTCAATGAATGTTTGACTTAAAATAATATAAATCATCTAGTCATAATGCGCCTGTCAAAAACTCAGACGCTGGCTCACTCGAAAAATTCAAACGCACCACACTTAAATATTTTATTCATTATTCCGCCCTCGTGGAACGTCTGTTATTTTATTATATGGGTCCGAATAACTTGAATATTAACCTTTCTAAAACTTGTCTCGAACATGACATTGTAATCGGTTTGATTATTTAAAAATAATGATTTCTTGCTAATGTGGAACTTGCATAACATAGCTTAACGATTTAATTAAAGTTGTCAGCATTCGCCAACAATTATTTTGTTACGTAAATTCTTGAACTATGTTTGTGTGCAAAAGGTACGTCTGGAAACTTTTCAATAAATGCCAATATGTTATTTTTTATTTACGCACTACCAACTTTTCGATTTATTTGTTATTTAACTTGTTGTTCAATATCGACAGTAAGTATTCAATTTGATGAATTAAATATTATGGCATACAAGTGCAACAAAAATAATTGGGAGAGACCATAAGGTCATATTTAACTACTAGTTTCGGTATGTAGTTTATTAATAATGTATCGCGTATAATTATTTTTTCATACATTTCAAAATCGGTATAACCATGATAATTATTTACACATAAGAAATCCTTAATGTTGTATTCAACAAAATGTATATATATGTGTGTAATATAATTATTATATACCTACAAGAAAATCATATGAGATCGATGGATTTTTCAGATTTACCTATATTTAAATAAAACGGTTTAAATGATTGAAAATGTAATAAAAAATATAAAATGTGGGTTAATACTGCTGAGGGTTGTATCAATGGTGTAGGTGGGAAGTTAGAAAGGTAGGAGTTATTTAATGTATATCTATACACAACAATAAATGAGCGAAAATCAGTTAAGCATGATTTTTAAAATTTGCCCATGTCTAGAAAGAACTAATATGAGTATTCTGTAAAAATTCCAGGTCTCTACGATTATTTTAACCAAATTTTAACAAAAACAGAATTAAAAATTTCATGAGTATATTTTCCATTTTTTTCCAATTATTAGGACAATTATAAAGAAAATGAATAAATGATCTTGCTAGTACACAAACTAGATAAAATTTTCTTATTGAAGCAACAAAACTCGTAGAAAAGTTGTTTGTAAACAGAAAAAAAAACAAACATCATAGAAAAACCAATACAATTGATGCCCTCAGAATATAAATATTAACGTAATTTGTTTTAAAATACTAAAATAATGGTTTCTTAGAATTTTTCGCGGCGTAATGAAATTCTCTAAAAGCCACAATAACAATAAGTTTTTAATAAAACTCTTAAAATGTCTTTTACCCCAGAGAAGAAGAGTTCACAAATAGTTAATGGAACTGAAACCTCATGGGGCTAACACTATCCAATTAGTCTTGACATATTACGGTCCGTAAATTTGAACGGAGGTGAACTAGATTCGAAAATATACGGAGCTATAAAATGATTTATAAGGTAGTTTAATTCGAGTGACGAATTTGACGTTATTTTTCTCGTACTTTTTTTTGGTTTATCTTCCTCAATATAGTCAAACATTTTAAAAGTGTTCAATTGAACAACTTTCTACATTAAACATACACATTGCACAGATTTCAATTAATTCATACCGACATAACACTCAATGTAAACACATACTAAAATGTACCATAATTTTCAAGTTTTAATATGATACCTATATACAAATATTGATACAACACTTAAAACTAACATATTAATTATTAATATTAATTGAATAATAATATCAAATATTTAATTGTGTTTAACATATTTAAACAAAATAAACACAAACCGGCCATGACAATGAATTAAACATAGAAAAACCTCCTCAAATACAATTAAACAACGAATTTGAATAAAGATATCGTAATTTGTCAAAAATAGTAAATAATTATTATTGACCCATTACAAGACGTGAAAAGGTTTAAAATAAAAAAATTATTTTCAACAATAAGAATAAATTATTTTTTAATTAATTGTATATTTTTACTTAAATAGGTATGTTACTAAATAAAATATTATCCATTATTTCATTTTAAAATAACATTTACATATGCATTACTTCATAATCACTTTATTTTATATAATATTTTTAAATAGAATATATTCCGTTAATAAAGAATTATAATAAATAGTCATTTATAAAAATAAATATAAACATAATAAATTTTGTCATTAGGAAAAAAAAAAACTATTCGAATTCACATAATCAATATGGTAGTATATAAGCACTGTTAATTGTAAAATTAACTATACACTGTTTGACCGTTTTATTTTAATACATTTCACAAAAAAAAATATGAACTTAAATATAGGTCACATCAACAAATTTAATAAAAAAAAACCTCTATCAAACAATTGGGAAATGTATTTTAAAAACGAGAACGCTACAGTTAATCAAAAAAAAGCTTTACTTATATTTTATTATTATTTAGACACTATTGACAAACAAGTCATGAAAAATCGTATGAAATTAAATCGATTTTCATAACAGTCGTAGGAAAAAATAAACAAATATCGTAGGTATTATAAAATAAAAGTATCATTGAACACTCGTATCAAATAATATCTTCCCAATACAAAATCCCATTATGTCAAATCAGACCTAAAATATAGTGACCCATGAAACACGAAACTTTATGCACATTATGGGATATGATAAAACGCTAACGTTTGTACTTCAACGGACATCCGCAGTATAGTTGCTTAGATTATCATCAAATCGTTTCATGTAAAATCAAGACAACTTCGTCGTACAAATAAAAGTGGGGTGGAAGAGAAGTTTAACAAGCAACATTATAATATCTAATATTTATAAATTGTTACCTATATGAACAATAGCTATTTGGCATAATATTAAATTGTTCGAAATATTAATCGAAATCAAAGGTTTCCAAGTTTTCTCCAAATGTGTAAAATTTAAAAATTATGTTTTTTATCTTTTAAAACCGCCATAATAAAAATACTAGTTCAATAATCTACTACCTGATAATACGCATTATAGAGGAAGGAATGCTGCTGTTTTTGCGTATGAATATAAAGTTTTAGACCAATAAGCGAAGGGAAATTATACATACTTGTCAATGTCCGATTAAAATGTTTAAAGTGTGTGTACTACGGAAACTTTAAAAATTGTTGAATTGTCTTAGTTATTTTAGGAAGTCGATTTTTCAATTTAAAATTTAATATGTCTAAAATAAATGGTAATGCTAAATGTCATTATTTCACAGAATTTTCAAATTAGGTCTTAAGGTCATAAGGTCTTCGAAATTAAAAATCGAAAATTGACTGCCTAAATAACCTAGATAATTTATTAACAAATGAATGCGTGCTTTAAAATTTTAAATCAAACACAAGAAAGTATGTCTTAATTTGCACCAGCGTGTTGGTATTAACCTTACAAAAATTAGGTGTGTGCTAACCCATTATACAACAAATATAATATGTGTAGAAAAATCATTTTTTAGTTGAGTTCGATCTAATCGAACCGATCGAGTATATTATGTAGTATAATTGAGTGATTTTTAATATAAAGAAACATTAATCATTTTTATGTTATATAATTAAAATAATGGCCATTGCGGAAATACAAATGTGATTATTTTTACTATAATATATACTCGATGCAAAAACAAATTGGTATCTTATAAATTGCAAAAATGCAAGAAAATAGTAAAAAAAAAAAGCAAACCAAACAAACGTAATTGGATTAAATTTGATTTTTGCCATTTTGATGTCAATACACAAACTTACGTTATATTATTAACACTATTACCGTATTCGATCGAAAAAACAAAAACAATCACGTGTTGTTTTCGATTCAACCGTTTTGTATTAAATTATATACCAGGATTGAATCGTATAAGACAGTAAAGTATAAAACGCGTATTATACTATACAATTTTTATTTTTACCACAATTGAACAGAAATAATCAGGTAAAATAATTTTCAATTGAATTTTAATCATTATTTTATATATTTTGTGTTAATTACCTAAAATGTAGGTGATAATTTGTTATATTACGTTTATAATACCGAAAAATAATTTTCGGTATTAGTATTCAATAAGTTTTGTTTTTATTTTATTCTAAATTTAAGAAAATTCACCATGTTGATGTGATTTGTTAATTTGTTAATTTTATAAGTTTAAGTTTTTAAAATTTAAAATGTACAGTATTGTCAGTATTGTAATAAACTTCAAAAAAAAAAATAAAATAAAAATGTCAGTCGTTATAAAGTTGTATACGTTTTATACATAGAGTATTATACGTGTAATGTATAAAACGTTTTATATGCTTATATTACCAACCTTGAATTATACCAACGATAGTTCTATCGGGTACTACCAAATTATATACATCAAGAAGGAAAACTCCGTTTTCATTAAACAAAAAAAAAAAAATTATGATAATAACAAATAAAGTGTTCAAATTCCGTTGAAGTGACAATTGACAATGACGCGCGGCACGTGGTGCGTTGGTCTCCTTCGCACTGGCTTGCGGTTATACCGGCAGCAAAACGGCAGACCGAATGCACAGAAAGTGTAGAATGACGAGAATATGGGAGGGATCCCGTCTAAACAATAACGTTTTTGTTGGGGGTGACCCCTCGTAGGTATCCACCACCCATACAAAGGTAACAATATAATCCGCTTAAAGGTGGGTGCGTCGCGGGAAACGGGTCGGACACAAAATTATGTGCGGCGGAAAACCGAAAACCTCGGCTGGTAGCGAAATTAAACGCCGGTACCCGTCCCCGACGTCTAGTATTACGCGCAAAATTGGAGTACCTACCTTTCAAATTATTATTTTGACGTGAAAACTGAGAGATTTCTGACGGGTTTCTCCGGACTTACATATAAATCTACCGGGGACGCGTTATTGTTTTGTTCGTTTCCGGGAATAATGTCATACGCGTTTTTCAGTATTAGCAAATTAAAAAAAAAAACAAAAAAACGTTCCACCACTACCCCCTCCAACCATTTCCTTCCACTAATTACAATGTTGCCAGCACGTTTGAAATATGTGATATGCATGCGTGCATAACATAGGTATTATAGGAAGGTATACATTTTACGGACGAGACCATCATATCCGAACACCAACAAACGGAAGGATGAAAAAAAATTCATTTAAAAAACAACATCCCGATCCTCGAATCAAATAACCGCACGAAAATACCTCGAATAACTCGTACAATATAGTACTATTCATAGGGTGATTTTTTTTTTCTTTTATCATAATTCAGCGGTTTTAACAGAGTATTTCACGTCAAATTAATTTCTATTTTTATCAATAATTATAAATAGCTTTAAGCTTTAGTTTAAAAGTTGTATTCCTAACCAAACGAAGGTTGTATCAAGCTGCGGCTAAATTTAAGTTGCACTAAGGCTCTAAATATACAATCTCTTAGTATTAAACTATTAAAAATTCTGCTAATTCTACCTCACGCTAAGACAAATGACGCCACCATTTATCAGTTAAACAGTTTAAAATTTTAATCGAAGAAGTAAGAAACGATTTTTGGAAGGATTTTCACTTTTAGATGATAACCCTTCCCGAGATTCTTCGCTACTTCTCCGGTCATCATTTCAAAATGGTATAATTCAAAAAAATTAAATCCGATATTAGTCTTATTCATATCAATATTTCTAGAAATATATTCCCCTTTCGAACAAAATCGATTTAAAAAAGAAGAGTTGCTATTCGAAATTTTAATGTGTTTATAATACATAGGATACAATTTCAAAAATATTGTGAATAAAATCAATAAACAATTCTATAATAATCTTATTATTCGTCTAGATATTCGGTCTTAACGACCGAAAAAACAAAATCAATTATAAATTTTCATAGGTAATCCGCTGCATCATGATAAAAAAATCACCCTATATATCTCGACCATTGTTCTGTAACCAAACAAATTCCACGTGACATGCTACCGCTTCATATTCATTATGACGTCTCATTGGTGTTATTTTAATGGAATTATTATTTGATCCTTTTACGATAAAATTATTTAAACATAGTCAAATAATTCAATTGGCCGGTGTTTTTCTGACAAAAAGAACGGTGTTTATTTATTAAACACTATTATAAAGACGTACGTACACTTTTTCCGGGTTAATTAGGTGTTCATTTCATCGGAAATTCAAAACATATGATCGAAACACACGAGTGTAACAGTACAATAAATCATTATTTGCGTACCATTAATCGCGTCAGGTTTATACACAAAAAGTCACACTTAGGTTAATTAGTTCAGTAAAATATGTTTATAGATATTCGTAATTTTAGTATACATCGGAGTTATTATAATGTACAGTAAATCGATATATTTATTATAAGACTTTTGGATAATAAAAAAAATCAAAAACAGCTAATCGAAAACATTTTACATGCAAAAAAAACTTGTGTTAATGCAATATATACGGATATAAATGACGCTATTAAACAGTTTAAGCGATTTCTCATATATAACGAGCCAATATATAGGCCTTAATATGCCTAAAATTATACTTCCAAACCTAAGTAATTTTATTCATTGCTAAAAATAATAACCTAAATTGTTACGAAAATAAAAAAAGCAGACGTACTTCACACGATGGGTGGACCACTATTGTAAGTGAAAATTTGAGAAGATAGGATATAGAAAGAAATTAAATTTATACGAGTATCTATAACGGTAAACTATTGTTAACGAAAAACGATTCGAAGCGAAATTCGATTATATATATGTTTTGAAAAGCCGTAATATTTACTTTCATTAAAATTTGATATTAAATCTCTTTTAAAAAAAATACTATGATAGACTCAATATTTTTTTCTTGTTGTTCACTAAGTACACCTTATAATGAATCTCCTGTTCAGTTTTCAAGCATTTCTGTTTAGTCTAACATTGTTATCCATAGAGTAATACAATTTTTAAAAAATTATAAATAAATGTATGTACAAATTATATGAAGTAAACTGGTTAACTGGTCAATATATGATAATGAACTTATTTTTATAAAAGCCATTTGGCTAAAAATATTTTAAGTAATGCGACTTTGTATGATTTTTAATAATGTTTATTTTTCAAACCATTAATGCATAATTTATTCAATTGTTTCGTTCGATTTGTTCCTTTTAAAAGAAAATGTCGAACAATGGTTACAATATTTTTATTTAAATTCAGATTCATTCAACTAAAACAAAAATAAATATTACAAAAATTGGTAGTTAGTACTGAAGAACATATAATTGCAATAAATCTTTAGAGTGGTTTTTCGATAACGACCGATTGATGTTTGTCCAGGAATTACTACAATTTAACGCCCAATATAAATAATATTTTTGTATGTTTTTTTTTCTTTGTCGTCCAAACTAAAGTAAGAGGATTACAAAGTAAATACAAATTCAATACGATTATCTGGCCTAAGGACAAATCAAACGGTATTTAATTATATTAACGAAGTAGATACCTGCTATGTTTTATTATTTAATGTCAATTCCTTAAAATAAAAATTTGTTTTTCCATTATAATTCAATATACTCCGTATTCAATTATATTTTTAATAAGCTCGTAAACAATCTTGTCAATTACCTGTATAAGCCGATTAATATAATTTGTACAATATATTCTGCTGCCAGCAATAAATAAAAACTTTTAATTGCATACACCCTTGTTTTAGTATATAATTGTATTTAAATATGAATTACAACGTGAAATTGTAAATTAAATTTTCGCAACACAACCCATATAAACTAACTCTCGACTCCTAATAATGATATATACATTACCCTAAATAATAATACTCAAAAATTATAATTCACGGCGTTTGAATTCAAATTATGAACTTTATTGGAGCTAAACATATGCATCAATGAAAATAACCTCAACTCGTATAATAATTCTGCAGGTATTATATTTTAGTTAGGGTTCGTATAACACAAAATATTCCTATACGCGACATTATGAACGCTATCGTAATAGATTGTATTTCAAACAAATTAAGTGTATAAATCATCATACACGTAATGCTCATATTTAACGAATGCACGTTCGTGATAATTATTGAGTAATGAAACCACTTATATGTACTTAAGATGCGTCGTCACTAAAATTTATATTCTATTTCTGTCTCACACGTAATATAGCAGCAAAGATATTTCCCGTTTTCAAAGTATTGTGACTCTGGTTGGGTAATAATAACTATAAGTATAAACAACAATGATTAGAAAAAAAAAAAATGTTACTAAAGACGGGTGTGCTATTGCTGTAGGTGAGAAGGTCGAAAGGTAGGATACATAAAGTTCTTTAATTTATATCTGAAAGTAACGATAAAACATTGCAAACGAAAAACGATTCTGAGCGGACTGAGATTGTACACATTTTAAAATTCCATAATATTTACAATGTTTGTCAAAAATTTATATTAAAACTTTTATAAAAAAAAGAACTACATTAAACTCATTTTTTTTTTCTTTAACCACTTAGTACAGATTATAATAAACCGCGTTCTATCAAATTATAAAAAAAGATACCAAAACATTTTGAACATTTTACTACGTCTAAAAAGTCTAATATAAGTATTCTAAGAAAATGATGTCAGCTCTTTACGGTAATATTTAATCAATTTACAAAAAAAAAAAATTGGAAATAATGAAAACGTCAACGCCATAAACTTTCCCGAATTTTTAACTAGATCTAAAATTCAACAAAAAAAAAAAAAAAAAAAAAAATTTCGGTAGAAAACATAAATTGTGTAAATTTAAAATAACGAAATCTGTAACGCCGTGGCGCACCTAAATATTTATACGGTTTTCGTAAAATTTTGTTTCCAGTTTCCAATTATTATGAAAACCCCTCATCAAATCAAAAAATGTTCTCTCTAATGACACCAACCAAATTCAAAATGCGACCAAAAAAAAAAAAATTTTCTTGTAATTTTTCGATTGGAGTGAGATTTTTAGTGATTTACAGAAAATTTGGTTACAGACAGAAAATAAAAAAGACAGACATACTTCGCACGTGGGTGTAGCCACGGTTGTAGGTGGAAAGTTGAAAAGATAGGATACAGAAGAGAATTTAATGTACATACTATGTAACCAACGATAAACCATCGTTTACGAAAAACGATTCTGAACGGAGTTCAGTTTATAACGCATTGTCAACAACATATACATCATATTATAGTAAAATAATTAAATAGGCATTATACCTATATTTTCTTTAATAATATTTGTTTAATATTGTATCAATTTTCCGTTTTTCCTACGTTTTTCCCGGTTTTCCCATGTTTATCTCGGTTTTTTACATTTGCTCTTGGGAATATCGAAAAATGATTTCCCTAAAATAACTCCCCAGTCAGAATTCCTTTTAGAAAAAATGCTATCATTGTAAATCGGAAGAAAATTGCTAGTAGAAAAGTTGTCCACAGGGAAAAAAATATCATAATATTTTACTAATATATTTCGTACATTTTTCCGTTTTTTTCTCACTGTTTCCCTTTTATTGGAAAAACTGCCTAAAAAATCAAGAAATGACCTCTCTATTGTACCGCCCCAAGAAAATTTCCTTTCATGAAAGGGTCTACATCTAGTAGCTAGAGCAGTAAGCTGTTTTGGTAGAAATAAAAAACATCTTTGTAAATCCAATACATTCTTCGCTCCACTCATAATCTAAATCCACACCGTACAGTAATAAATGATCGCCACGTTCAGTATCTGAAATATGAATTATAAATCCGGAAAAAGGGACAAATGTCCGTATGCCCACTGAGTATTATTACTTTTGCGGACGCGTTTCAATCGTACGAGATTAAACGTAATCTATTTCATGCGGCCACGTGGCATCTGCACGCGGGATTTTCCGTACAGTATGTGAAAACATTCGCTTAAACGGGGCAATTTGGTATCGGCTCGCCTCCGTGGGTCAAATATTAACATCCGTGCGTCCATGACCGTTTGGATCGCGTAGCGTGAAACCCACTTTGGTTTTCGTAGTAATAATGATTACAACCGCAAATCCGCGGCGTTTCTTCGGATATCGTTTTCGAAAATTATCAAGAAAACTTCTCGGAAAACAATATACGTGCCCCGGCCCGGGACCGATGACCGCATGTGTGCTGCAAAGACACGTACGACGGGTTTTCCCGGTTTCTGTCCCGTCAAATATTATCATGAGCATTATTGTCGGGCGTCTAAAAATAATCTCAAATTACTTCTCCGGAATGGGGTCGCCGATCCTCTCCCGGGATGTGTTTGTTGATCCCCCTCGGGAATGTGTTCGAAAACTCAACACGAGTTAACTTTATCAATATAGAGCATATAGAATAATATTATTCCCTACTCTATATTATATAATACTCTTCTCCGTTTTGAATTTCTAAACGCAGCCACCTGAGGCACGCCGAAAATGACTTGCCCGTGTTTATACGCGATTTTTTGTTCGAATTTTCCCAATTATTTATAAAAACCGTTTGGAAAATCAAGGCCATTCAGTACTCTAAACGTTTATTCAATTGGAGCGAGTTTTATTGTAGAAAAGTTGTTTACAGATAAAAAAATAAAACTTTATACACATTATAGTATAACCAATTCATTTATCACTCCACTAAAAATTAAACAGTAATTCATGTAGGATCCATAGAAAATATTAGTTTTTATAAAATATGTAATAGGTCCCGTTGTCCTAAACTCAACCAGAGAGTCGCGATCGTATAAATGCGGGATGCCTTTGTCACACTATTACGCATGAGACAGAATTAAATACAAATATTAGTAACGAAGCTTCGTAACTAATTCTATTAATTACAAAAATGATTTTTAAAACAGACTTTGCAGTAAGTACCACAATATTTCGAAAAAAATCGAATATAGAGTGTTTTTCAGAGCGTAAGTATCATCAGTTCGCTTCTACTGAAATATTTAATGTATTAGGTACTTTCTAAAACATGACATACAGTACGATATGATTAATAGATTTTAATAGTGTCGCTGTTTAGTTGACATGCTATTATTTATCACAGTTACGAATACGAAATAAGATAGCGCCGGCGATTATAATATAATATGATATATTATACACGAAAATAACGTTGTATATCGAAGTGAAATGGGTAAAAACAAAACATTTTTTTTTTTTTCGAAACTGTATTATCATTTTTAACAGCGACTTTCGTCAAAATTTGAACTTATAAATATATATTTATATAAAAAAAAAAAACTACTATATAATATAGTCCAACATTTTTTTTAACCTCTAATTAAACTTATAACGAACCTTGAGATAAATTTTAAAGCATTTACATCTGGCCAAACAACATAATCCACATAAAACTAAATAAAACTCGAAAATTCCAAATACCTATAAATAGCTCAAAATTTCCAGAATATTGGTTTTCCCGATTATTAAGAAAACAAAACGGTAAATCAGAAAATGCATTTCTTGTCACCCTGTATTTCAAAAAATATACTGTATTGAACACACCAGAGCAAGATTTATAGTATAAAAGTCGTTTAAAGATAAAAAAAAAAAATGTTTATAAATAAACCTCAATGTAAAACTAATTGTAAAGATACTACTTATTTGAATTTAGAATATGACTAAAATATAAAAATAAAATTTTAAATCATAAACAATTTTCTGTCGTAAATTTGTCTTTTTTATCTATACCTACGTTTTTATAGTTTTCCCAAATTTGTATAAGAACAACTACTTGAAAAATCAAAACATATTCTACTCATTGAACCAACTAGATCCAAAATACTACAAAAAGCTCTCAATTTTTAAATTAAATTATGATTTTGGATAGAAAAGTTGTACACAAACAGAAACAAATTAATAAAACAAAAATTGCCCACATAATAAAACCGTATATGCTTTGCATCTAAAATTAATACATTCTTTAATTTAAATTTGTAAAAGTGTTTAACAAACCATAAATTTGAATTGTTTTTCATTTGCAATTTTGTATTGTAGAAAATAGATATAAACTAGAATACTCTATAAATAACGCTAATTTATCAACTTCTCACTCACAATAGTCGCTTACCCACCCACTAGTGCAATGAATATGTCGATTTTTATAGTTATTTTAGAATACTTATAATAGTTCTTTTTAAACGTGTTAAAATTCTAAAAACATGTTTAATCGTACTTCACTCGGAATCGTTTTTCATTAGCAATAATTTATCGTTACGTACGGATATAAATTAAATATTATGTATTCTACCTTCACAACTTCCTACCTACAATAGTGGCACACCCATCAACAGCAATAGCTCTTTTTTATAATTTAAATGTTTAACTAATAATTGTCTATACACTCTTAATATACAAGTATAATATAGTTATCACTTATTACAGTATTGTTCGTTGAATGCACATAAAATGATACATTATTACCCTCATTATCATTTAAAGCGGATTAGGTCTTTTCACTGGTGACGATTTAATGCGAACCCAAACAGAGGCCGACATCAATACCGCAATTATAACCGAAAGTTCTGTATAAAGGTAACTTTAACTCCTCGAACAGAGTTAATCTCTTTTTATATTACTTTTATACATCATATTTAAATGCAGAAGCAACTGAACTATAAACGACAATTTAAAAAAAGAGCTGATACTGGAGACGGGTGCAGCCACTGGTATAGGTGGGAAGTTGGGAAGGTAGGATACATAAGGTTATTTCATTTATATCTATAAGCAATGATAAACCATTACTGACGAAAGATAATTCCGAGCGCAGTTCGGTAATATTTAAAATGCCGTAATTTTTTTACCTAAACCTTCCTATGTTTTTTCCCGATTATTATGAAAACTAATTCAAAAATCAAAAAAAACGAACTGCATCATTAAAAAAAAAATTAATATTTCAACAAAAAAGGTCACTTGTCGTTTTTAATTGGAGCCATATTTGTGCTAGAAAACCTGGTAGGTACTTATTTAAAATAACGAAATCATGAAAAAATAGTATTTTTTCTCGATTAATTGTTTTTATTTTAATATCGTATGTATTTACCAATTAGATAAAATTTACTTTCATAAAATGTGCTACACGTAAAAATCGGAGCAAGTTAACTAGGAAAAAACGTGTCCACAGACTGGAAAAAAAAATAAACATCTCAATAAAACCAATAGCTCCCTCGCTACGCTCGGAATCTAATAACGATGGAACAAATTCGAAATTCCTATAAAACAAAATATTTTGAAAACTCGGCTTCTAAGCTTCGTAGCTTCTTAGCATCTATAATTTCTGGTATTTTATACAGCAAATTTTTAAAAATCAATCGCTTGGCTTCCTAATCCATAATATTTGAAGATTAGTGGAAATAATGAAAATACTGGTTTAACTAAGTCATACTTGCTTTTAAAAATATTAATAGATTAAATTTTACAATGCATGTTAATAATAACTAATAAAGTATTGTTTTACATAGTTATTTTATTATTGTTGAACACTATTGTAATCAAAAACATTGTAATACGGTTTAATAATCTATCTTTTTATAATATTGAAGAGATTTGTATTTGTTATCAATAATTCGGTTATTCATTACTTTTATTAAAGGTAACCAACAGACGCCCAATACTGATATTAATATGTTTATGCGAACTCTACTACCTACTTTTATTTTTGTCTTTTCAGCCAAATATATTTTTATAATTCCTAAATAATTGTCTTAATAGAAAATAATACAAATACTATTCGATTTAATTGATTCTGTCAGACAAGTATATCTTCATTTATATAGTGCAACGGCAACTTAGTTTTTCAATTCAGTTCTTATTGTTTTACAGGATAATAAAGAAATATTTCATAAAACAACACTTAATTTAACTCTATTATTATGGGTTATTGGCTAAGATGATACCAGGTTATGATACAAATGGTGTTTTAGTTTTCGTGATTGACAGTGTAACTAGGAGTCTAATAAAAAAATTATAAAAAAAAAACATTTTTGGAAATGCTTGTTTTATTAATATCAATTATACGAGGGTTGTCCCAAAAGTAATGCACAGCGCGCTCTAGCTGTCTTGCAATGTGATATTATCAGCTGAATTTAGTATCAGTTTGTAGCTTGAAGTCTAACGAACACGTGCGTTTTCAGTTTTAGTTGTTTTAGTAAAGTATGATGATGTGTGAGAGCGATAACGAAAGTGAGAACAATTCGTCGGCTCACATTTCTGTTTTTGAGCAACGCGCATACACTAAAATCGAAACGATTCGTGGTAAAACAGTGCCTGAAATTCATGCCGCGTTAAATGAAGTGTGTGGAACGGATACTGTGGATCGTAGTACGGTGCAAAGATGGCATCAGCGATTCCGTGATGGTCGTATAAGTATTGATAACAACCCTCGCTCTGGCCGACCCTCTACGGTTACTCAAGACAACACTAACGCGGCTATTCTCGCAACTCTACTCGATGAAGACCGACGAATAACGGTGAGAGAGATAGAGAATGAAACAGGTATTTCAAAATCAAGTGTTCACCGCATTTTAACGGAAANCGGCTATTCGACACTGAACGAGTTCCAATTGGCAGTAGTGTAACCGGGGATTACTACAAAACATTCCTTGCCAAAAAATTGCGACCAGAAATCCGTAAAAAGCGACCAGGAATGTTACAAAATGGTGTGTCCATATTGCACGATAATGCACGGCCGCATATCGGAGCACCAGTCGTCGCTCTTTTGGAGAAATATGGATGGGAACGCCTCATACACCCACCGTATTCGCCGGATTTAAGTCCCCCGGACTTTGATTTATTTTCAAAACTGAAGGAACCACTTGGAGGGATCCGTTTTCCCAACTTAGATATAGTAAATGAAGAAGTGAGCCGAAGGATCCATGAACTCAACAAAGATGGCGTCCTATGCGGCATTCAAGCGCTCCCGAAACGATGGCAATCGTGTATAGCCAAGCAGGGAGACTATATCGAAGGTCTATAATATTGTATTTAGTTTAAAATAAAAACTTATTTATTCAGAGCAAATTGTGCATTACTTTTGGAACAACCCTCGTAGTCTCAATTTTATCAAATTTTGAGATACAGTGTGTAGCTGTAATATAAGCGACGATATTAAGTAACAAACAAATACAGTCGTAATCAAATAAATATACTTTACACCGAATATAGTAGCTGGAACGGATACGTAAACTCAAAAGTATTAGTTAGAAATATTCCTTTTAATAGCTATATACATATTATAATATATGGATTCCAATATCATATTCACTAGTACTAAAGGAAAGAAGTGGTTATAATTTCGGTTTTTTTTTTTTTTTTATTTTAGTTAAAACGTTTAAACGAACAAAAATAAAATGTATTCGATATCTCACGCCCTATCCATAAAATGTCTTATCGGCAACAGACTCGTTAAAAATAAAAGGGCTACGGACGTTATTGTATAAACACAGACTGAAGTAAATTACCAACGACATTGTGGACACGTATAACGAGCATTGTGCGACGTCCCTAAATGAGCGTCGGTTTAATTAATTTATTATTATTATCTTATCGGTGAACAGCATTAAATTTGCGACTATTGTCGAGGGACTTTTGCCACCGACGCGTACCTACCTACCATATATATATCTATTTGCACTGGTTCATTTTACGCGGAGGAATAAAACGCTCTTCTATACTGCAGCAAACCAAAGTGATCTAATTTTTAAAGCTTTGCAAGATTTTGGCTCTCAAAATGCTCGCGAAATCGGCCGTTTTCCCGCATACCAAATTTGAAAAATATTTGAAACTTTGGATCAAAATTACGACTATCAAACAACTCGAGTCGCTGTATTTAATTTAGTAATACGTAAGCTGATTACTATATAACATAATATAGTCTCAGAAGAACCGCTTTTGGTTTCCATAAAGAATCATTATTTTACTTTAAGAAGCTTTAACTAATTTATAGTAAATACAATACATACGATTGTGGATATACTTATTATAAATAATGTTAGACTTTGTCTACACTATGTATTACTACTGATAGATCGCTGAATTCGCTCCACACATTTGATCGAACCATTGAGCTATCGAATATGTTTTAGAGAATAGAATTTCTCATGTCTGTATTAAGTGTTTTATTCCCCTTAAACCCACAACCATTAGAAGAGACAAAGACTAAATAAGGTGACTTAGTCGTTAATTCAGTACTGTTCAGTGACACTTATTATTGAAGAGTTTTTCTCGTCTTAAACGTATTTGTTTTACTCAGTATAGCCAAGAAAAAAAATATATTTAAAATAAATAAAAACGCTCAGTTGAAATTCGATAAAAAGTTGAATAAAATGTCAATAAACAAGAGGAAATTTCGAAGCCACAAAATAACTAAATAACATAAAGAATAAAAATATAAATACATCTACAATTTTATTTTTAAGAAATATTTCTATTTTCTGATGTGCACCGACTAGAATTTTTAACATGTTTCACAAAATTGAACCTCTAAGGATATTGAATATTAAATTATCATTTAATTGTTTTTTTGGTTGTTAATTTGTAGAAGTTAACAATACAATTTTAAAAACCAATTTTAATCTATCACACTATAATCGCAGTGATTTTGTATGTTATTTATGAAAATTTAATGTTCTTGATTTATTTTAAACCAGCGGTTCCCAACCAGTGGTCTATGGTCGTCAAAATACACCCCTTCCACCAATAAAAAACGTCTGTGACGACTATGAATTTGTTCCACTGTCTTTGAAATTCATGTAATATCCTATTAAGAGTTAATCAACTTTTTTTTTCGCCAATTGCCAAAAGAAAAAAAACAAAAAGGACATACTTCTCACGATGGGTAGGCCACTATTGTAGGTGAAAAATTGGGAAGGTAGAAAGAAAATTGAATGTATATCTATACGCAAAGATTTATCATTGCTAATGAAAAACGCTCGGTTACACGTGTTTTGGAAGCCGTAATATTTAAGATTTGAAAATAATACATTTCGTACATTTTTCCGTTTTCTCCCATTTATTAAGAAAAACCATGGGAAAATCAAAAAACAACCTTTTAAAAATCCCCCCCCCAGTCAAATTTGCTTTCAGAAAAATTTCTAAAATTTAAAATCAGATCAAAATTTCTGGTAGAAAAATTGATCACAGAAAAAAATAAACAATGAACATCATTGTAAAGCAAATACATTCTTCACTCCACTCGGAATCTAAAAAGGGCATCAGCTAATCTAGGTAGTCCGTGAACTAACGATAATTCTCTAAGTGATCCGTAGTGTCAAAAAGTTTGGGATATACTAGATTGCACAGAAACTACAGTTTAAAACAATTTAAATAAGTAGATATTCGTATAATAGAATTCGTGTAATACCTATATACTATGCCGTACTAGTTTAGCACTAGTTTAACGAAGTACTAAAACATTTTCAAATGTAAAATCCATTGAAATATGGTTGAAGATAAACTATGGAGACAGGAATGGTTTGAAAATAGAACGCGTATATGCCTATAAGGTTTAATTAATTTAACAACTACCTAAGTTCAAAGAATTTGTATACGCTGTGCGTGGTAAACGTGTCCATTATAATATATTCTGCACAATAAGGTTACATAACAAGCATTAAAGAAGAGGTGTAGAGGTTTGAACCAGCCTTCTTCCGGAATACTTTACTACGTCATTTTTCTCTTAAACATTAAACGAAAAAATAAATAATTTTTACTCTAAGAATATTGTGTTACATCATAACCAAAAAATATCGTTACACTCCTTTTAAAATAATATATACCTATATAAATTTTAGATTTAAAAATAAAAATATACATATTTTAGAAATCAAATAAAACCATTCCACTATTTAAAGTATTAACGTTTATTATATAAACGTATTATGTAATAATTATTATGAAAATTAATATAATAACGTTTTATTAGATATAGGTACCAATCGCTTATTGTTTTACGATTATTTTCGTTTTCTGTTACCTATGTTTTGTTTTATATATATAAATTTTTTTTTTTTTTATCAAAAATTTCGTTTATAACACCATTTTGTTTAATGATAATGTTTTAATATTACCGTTTTCCATTATCAATTTTAATCGATTTTTGACAAATATAACGGTCTATAAACATTTTTGAGCCCTGATACAAAACTTCAAATAATTATTTAGCACAACAGTTGTCAGAATGTTTTGAAAATTGAACTACTTCTAGAAAGAGCTAATATAAATTTTGAATAAAAATGTTGTCACTACAATTATTTACACCAAAAAAATAAAATCGAAAATAACAGAAACTAATGATTACGTAAAATGTACCGTTTTCCTACTTTTTCCCCTAGTTATTAAGCAAACTACAAGGAGAAATTATGGCCATTTCAATAACCCCTGAAACTAATGATCAAATTAAGATTTCTAGTAGAATAGTTGTTTATAGACAAAATAGAAAACACATATTATAGTAAAACTAATATATTTCTCGCTTTATTCAGTAAATATCTTAAATAAATACTTAAATTATAATTATATTTTATAAACAACGTATTAACTATGATCTCTATGAATTGATTGTTACTACTATCGTTAGTCAAATAATTTATTATACAAGTCTTTTCATGTGCGATTATTAGTTAATAATAGGTATACTGATTATAATACAGACAAATTGAGGGCATCGAAAATATAGGTTTGGTTATAGTGGTGAAATTTTACTATCGAGATTTGAGTTAACTTGCTAATAATAACGAACTAAAAGAAAACGTCTTTTTAACAATCCAATAAAAACTTTTATACTTTATACCTAAATATATGTTTGAATTGACAATATACTGTGCATGCATTTGAAACAACGATACAAAAACAATAACAAACGAAATGGCACAAAATAGTTAAACCTTTTTGCATGTGTTTACCCAGACATCAGGTCAAACACAACTTATAGTCAGACGCACGAGTTATAATAATTAATTGCATGCGTATTGATCAAAATATGAATAAACTTCATCAATGTGAATATATCAAACAAATGCCTAAGTAAACGGATTTGCATATCAATTTGTTCACATTGGTTTGCTAGAAGTCATACATCGTGATTACTTAACTATATACAAACACACACTAATACATTCTCATACTGACTTGAATTTAGTTTCAAAACAGTAAGTTTTAAATGAAACTTTGTGGCAGAATATATACTGCAATTTTCCTAAAACAAATTATATTGAACGCCAGAATGTTAGTAATGCTAAACAGCGTGTACATTTCATGTGTCCGAAGTTTAACAGATACTTAAATAATCTCTATATTATACGGATTACACACAATATATTGGATAAATTTGCTATTTAATTGACAGACATTGTATGGTCTTGGTCAGTGGCGGTAAATGACGAATTTACGGGGAGTGGGATAAGAAGAGGGTAATAATAATAATCGATTAAAAAATTCCATAACAGCCTGCTGCATAATTTTAAGTAATCGAAATAATAACTAATATAACACAAATATTATTATTATTATACCTAATATTAACTGTACACTTTTTTTCTCAGACTAAGAAAAATAATAAAGAATCACGAATTTAATGAAAATAAAGTTAAAATTTCAAGATTTTCTGAAGAATAATAATAATAAGAATAATTAACTCTATAAAATGGCTATTATTTTAAAACTTTTCAAAAATAATAAAATAAAGTTATTTTTTAATTCTTTTACCAAAACATAACAACTTAATTAAAATATCAACACTTGTAGTCCTTATCACTGTAAGTAATATATAAAAAAAAAATAATTATTACCTTTATTATCTTTGGAGATATATATATCTTCATGAGACACCCTGTGTTAACTTTTTGGTTATTTACATATCAAAATTTTATATAGATATAAATTTTTAAAAAATGTTTACCAGTATGATACTAATATACAGTGACGAAAATCCTGAGAGGAGGGCGATCCACCAATCATTCCCCCCCTCCTAAATATCCACCGCTGGTCTTGGTATTCTGTTTTAAATAACCTAATTAGGCACTTGAAAACATCGCAACATTTTGATTAAAAAGTATATTATAAATATGTTTGAATTCACAACGCCTTTACGTCTTTAATGTTTGATTAACCGGGTTAAAAGAACAAGTACTGACATTTAACGTCAAGCAATAAAATATTGCAATCTTAACGTTCGTCACAATATTATAAATTTAAGGTGTATTATAGTCTATCTGATCCATTTAACAGCAAGACATGATATGAGAATGTTACAACGGGAATCGTACAAACGAATAAAACTAAATATGATAGTACAATATTATAGTAGTATAGTAGTATAATATTATAGTAGGTACACACAATCGAGGCCGTAACTTTCTTAGTAATAATAATAAAAAAAAAAAAAAAACAAAAGAAAAACAAACCAACAAATATTTGATCGGATTTAATTATTGCGTTTTGTCGGGACTTAGCCGCCGTCGTTGTTGTAAAAAAATATTTTTATAAATAACTAATCGATAAAATAATAATTACGTGTTTTTAACAGAGATTTAACGGATAATGCGAGTTGTAAGGTTATTATATAATAACATCGCGTGCGTATACCTATAGAGCGTTACAATATTGTTATTATTATTAAAAATGCTCGTACGGAACATAATAAAATAAAGTTTTTAATAATAATATAACGTCGGCGGCGGCGTAGCGAGCGGATGAGTACGTAGGTATGCCGGTATAATCTTTTCTCGGTAAACGATATAAAAAAAAAAATATCTATATCCGCGCAAGAGTGCATTGTGTGTGCGTATACGGTGTAATGCGCTGTACCTTTATATTATACCGTAATACATATAATAATAACAGTATAATAACGTATAAGAGCACTATAAATGGTTCCGGAGAAACGAACTCTTATAACGAACCGTGAAAAACAATGTTTCGCTGTGCTTTCCCGAACGCGACACACGCCGCGCGCGCGGCGCGAGTTCATTTTCATTAACAAACCCGTCGACGGCCGGGGCCCGGTCGGGTCCCTACAAGCGATATTCCGCGTGTTCCTGAATTCAGCGGATTGGTCGGCCGCTATAGATTTAACTGTTCCCACACTCAGCTGCTGACCAATCCTGCCGGAGGGGAAGTGATTGATCGGATTGCTTTATCGCGCTATATGATATGTTGTGGATCGAATGGTGTTTGACCAGATGGACGTGGTAACCACTCTGCGCGCCCGAATCAAAACTAATTTACTAACCTATGTTTGACAAAAATGTGCTGTTATGTGCTGACGCGTTTCCAAATTCCAATTCCAACGTTCGACACGTGTAATACAATGGAAATACGGTTTTTGCAGTGCGCTAGAAATACTTGTATAAAACATTTAGATGCTGCCTCGATTTGTGCCAACATCATTTAATCCTGGTATGTATTTTATTTCATTGTAACTTTCAGTCAAATAAAACATTTGATTTGAAAATACTTATAATAATGGATCTCGATGAAAATAATGAAAAATGATACGAATAATTTATTGGTGATTATGGCCTGTAGGCAACCTTAAATAATGGTATTAACCAACATGTTCCAACTGAATAACAAAAAGTACTCCATCGACCTGCTAAGCAGATCCGCTGGATTAGCGAATTGACTTGGGGATTATCATTATTATTATTACAGATTATTATTATGTCCGCGTGTGGCGTTATCGGTCCGGAGGAAGAGCGACGGCCCAATCCGCGTAACTGACGGTTATAAATATTGTTATGACGACGTTGTTGACGGACGACTTTAATTTTCGTTTCCCGGCAATATAAAACACACGAACCGGGTCCCTCTCGGAAATCGCGTCGGGCGAGGACTGTTTACCATCCACACTAATTAACTGTCGCGAGATCATCGGTTACCCGCGAACCGAAAGCCAAAAGACGACGCGTTTATTGAAATGTTTGCGTAACGTCGCGATCAATCATTCTCGGATAATTTTTAACTCGAGGCTCCGACACTAGCTGCTGTATAAAGTGCCCAAACCAGTACCTACCTACACGTAGAGGTCAGATTCGCGTAATACCGAAACGTAATATTTTTTCATATTGTATTGTATTGTGTATTATTACGGTAACTGAAATTCCGGCGTTTTCCGTTGTCGATTTATTAGAAGAAAAAAAGAATGTCGTAAGAGTTCTATTTTATAAACAAATTATAATAATATATTAATTTTACCGTTACATTATGACGTGAATCCGAGTTTATGCATTATAATTTTACTTAAAAAAAAAAAAAAAAAAAAAAAACAATATTTATAATATCGCGTGGGTACCGTCGTCTCTGATTAACGATAAAATATTATATTCTAGAGGCGCATAATAATATTATCTTCTTCATTTTTCTCCTCGCCTCATTTCCCAATTATTTGCAGATGGACAGCCACCTTGGTTAGAAACCTCCACCTCACCCGGTCTCAAACTGATCATCTATGCAAAATATACAGAAAAATGATAAATATACACTTGTAAACCCAATTTTCAAACAACAAGTTTGTTAATTAATGGCATAATATTTAATTAATAATAATATTAGCTAGGTATACAGTATTATTTAGTATCTTATTAGACAACAAAACAATAATACAAAAAACACTTTAGCGGTTTCGTGTGACTAATAATAATAACCCCTCAATATAATCGTAGTTGCATTCAAATATTTATGTTCCCTTACAAAGTTTTTTTAATACAAACATTTTACATTCAAGAATATTCTAGAATAATACTACAAAAAATCGACTAAAGAAGAAATCCGGGCGGTGCAAATACCACATTGAGCTTTTGATCTCATGAGCAAAATTTTGTAAGATGACAAAAAAAAATACAATGTAGGTATACATTTTTTTTTTTTGTAAACTCAAATAATGTTGTATTATTTTTTTCGTTATTAAATTATTTTAATAAAACTCTAGATTGAAAAGAAGTTAAGACAATTTTAATTTCTATTTAAATTTTTAAATGTAGAAATATCAAATATTGCTCACAAATGACGAAATAGTTTAGTATTAGTTCGCAGTACTCCGCTTTTCTAACCAAAAGAAGTATACGAACAGTAAAATAAATGTGCGTTGCATCATGAAATACGACTTTGCGTCATTTTAAAAATATATTCATCATATTTTTTATGGAAACGTCTACGTACTATTTATGAATAGTCTAATGTAAACTACATTGTTTTACACACACAGAAACATTCGAATCAATTTTTACAGTAAACTGTTGTTTGGTTGCGGAAATATCATAATGGCTTTTGTAATCATAGAATCTTACGATAAATCCTTCTTGCGGTTTGGTTACATTAATATTTAATTCGAAGTTATCGAAGCATATATGCTTGTCTAGAAGAAAAATATAAAATATTTGTAAACGTATAACATCTTTATCGCATGCATTTTTTTTAAATGAATAATATAATTTTAAAAAATCCGGATATACTTCGAACTCGTGAGTAAGCAACAGTTGTAGGTGAAATTAGACTCAAAATAATTTAATTTATATACTGAGAGTAATGATTGATCTTTGAACGAATTCTGAACTAAACTATATAAACTGGCAGGATATTAGTCGTTTTTTTTTTCCATTTTAGCTAAGGTAACCCAGAAATCAACAAAAATAAAGCCAATGTATCGAATGTTATTTGTCAGTTTTTTTAAAAATCAAGAATTTATATTCTAAATACAATACTATCTGAGAAAAATAATTCGACTTATTTTATTTCTAATATCCAATGGTTAAATGAGAAAAACACTAGTTGTATAATTTAATTTGGTCATAATGGACAAAGAAATCCCTTTTTAAAATGTATTAAACAGATTTTTAATTTGTATTATTCCATAAAAACGCTACCCAAACAACAAAATACTGAATATTGCACAAACCAAAATGAAAAGAAACAGATTATGAAAAATCTACGAAAATTACAAGATGAATCAGTAATATTTTAGTTGCAGTCACGTTTTAATGAAGTGACAAAACAACACGAATTTAAAAATGTACCAGTTCGAATAAGAATTGCACAAACACGATCAAGGTTAGACTGCTGCGAATATAGAACGTGTAAATAATCGTTTATGAACCCAATTCGATTGGATTTATTAGAAAAACTTAAACGTATGATTTGAATCCATTCAAAATCATTACAATTCAAAGATGCACCTCTCGGAATGTATTAAGAATAGCAAAGTTTGCCTGTATTGAATGCCTCACCAGAGCCAATGTTCACGTTGAATTCGAGTACAACACCGCAGTCAAAACAATTTTTTACTAATATAAGAAAATACAACAAGTTTTTCCACTATGTTGCGCGTGGAAAAAAAACGGTTATTTTTGTGCATTTAATTTGCCGCGCAGCGTTGGACAGCTAGTTATTTATAGAGCGAATTTGGGAATGGCCAAACGTTTCAAACGTTAGATAATAAAGAAATTCAGCATGTTCGTTGCAAAATTTTCGATGTTCGCTATTTTTTTCAGTAACCTGGTTGTAACCAAAACCAAAATCCAAAATTAACATCAGATATTACTTATTTTTTTTTTATTTTTTTTTGGTGATGTGCATTGAATGCTACATATAACTATAATTTTTGTTAATACATACATTTTTTATTTCATAATGGAAACTTTAACTAAAAAGCGTTTTAAAAGTTTGCGAATTTTCCACAAAATAAAAAAAAAACTAAAATTAGACACAGATATGACCGTTATCAATATTGTAATAACACATTTTTTTTATAAACATACTCAGTTATCGAAAATATAAGATTCGTGTACAAAATAGCTACACCACAGCAGTACGTTTATGCATTATGAATTGAGGTATATAACTATTGATTTTCTGATAAAGCAACTTATAACCAAACTCATACATTTTCATAACACTAATTGAAATGTATAATGATACTTATTCAAAGGTATTATACGTGAAAAGTTTTATAATATTAAATAAAATGCATTATGACATCTTATATTTATCTGTAAAGCCTTTTTGTTAACAGACTACCAAATCAAGCTGAATCTATACCGGCATGTATACTGCAGTATTTATATAGCTTTTTATTTCAATAAATATACAATATAGTACATAAATATAGTAACACACATAATCTGTCCGATTATGATCCAAAAGTATGCACTTAAAAACCATTAAAACTATATTGTTTAAACATAATTATCAATAGAACTACCATTGAGACATTTATATTTATTTTTTAATACCTCAAAATGATTTATTTTCAAAACAAATCCAACAACAAACCGTCTGTCTGACGTAGTATGAATAGACTTTAAGCTTTTAAAATCGATAAAATAAAGAGAAACATTGATATTATTATCACATAAACATATAAATACATATATATTTTTTATTTGTTAACAAGTGTTAAATACTTTTAAATAACATTTACATATTATTATTACATTCTCATAAATTATGATAATGTTGAATTGTCCAATGAACTTTGATATTTATACATTAAGATTTTTTTTTATTTATTTATATTTATATAATTATTTTTAAAAAATACAAAACAAAATTATCACACTTAAAGATTAGGTAGTTAATAATTGAGGATAGATAAATAATAAATAAAATTGATTTTAAAAAATAATAATAATAGACCAACAACCAAATGGAAACAAAATATTCATAACAGTCAAGTTAATTAAAAATATATTCATAAATAAAAATATTATTTTTCGAAACTTGATAATTTGAAATTAATTATACTATAAAGGATATTTGTAAGTTTAATAAGCACATTAATTATGGTATATATTGGCTGCGCATATATTTGCGCATATTATAGATTCTGAGTAGAGCGAAGAAGCTTATAGTCTTCCAAAGATGTTACTTTTTTTTAATCTGTTAACAACTTTTCTACTACAAGATTTGCTCTTATTTTTATGTTTAGCACCTTTTCTAAAAGGAAATCGGTGTGGGAAAGTACTTTAAGGAGGTCATTTTTCGATTTTCTTAGGAGTTTTCTCATCAATTTGAAAAACCGAAAAAAATGGGAAAATATAAGAAGTGTAAGTATTAGTTAAAATATATTATGGCCTATCTGTGAACAAATTTTCTACCAGCATTTTTGCTTTAACTTTTAATGATAGCAATGTTTCTGAAAGGAAATTTCACTAGGGAGGTATTTTAAAGAGATCATTTTCTCAGAAAATGTGAAAAATCGGGATAAAACATGGGAAAACCACGAAAAACGTAGGAAAATTGAGAAAATTGGTACAACATTAAACAAATATTATTAAACAGAATATATAAAACCTATTTAATTATTTTACTATAAAATGGCATATATATTGTTAACAAGTATCACTAACTGAACTCCACTCAGAATCGTTTTTTTTTTTTTGTAAGCAATGGCTTATCGTTACTTACAGGTAACATACAATTATCTACATACAACAGTGGCTGCACCCGTTCCCATTATCCTAGGACTTCTTTTTTTAATGTATTTGTCATATTTTGAAGTCATACAATTATTTATTAGTATTATAACATCTATATGATGTTATTTATTTTATTTTTGAAGTATAACGTTGCATTTTGTATCATATCATTATGCTGTCAATGTTACTATTATTATTTATTTTTTTTTTTTTTTAACTATTAACAATGATTATTCTATTTTCGATTAAGCACATTAACTACGAAAAACCATACGTAAAATAATAAATAATGGTATTATTTATATTCAACGATATAGGTAGTTGTGATTTTTAAATTCATTAAGTTTATTTTTGTATATAGAAAAATATCTAGCAGAATTTTACTTTAAAGTATAGAAAAAGTATTAGATTATTAATACGCATTTGAATAGAATTACGAGATTTATAGTTATAATGACTTTTGAAATAATATCTACTTATGCGGAAACACGGCAACTTGTATCACTAACTAAATAATTGAATTATATACCTACTGGGGAAACCATGTAATATAGGAAGACCTCAAAACTATTAAACTGTTATACAAGCCTACCAAAAACCCATCAAAGCGAATAAAATGTTATCTTAGCTTTTGAATATTATCTGACATACAATTTAACACTAATGAATAAAAAATGTCAACACATTTTTGTCAATTTCACACAAACGCCAGAATATGTAAAAATATACAGAATTCCTACTAACTTTAAATCAATAAAAATCACCACATAAAATCTAAATATTTTATTCGTTTTAAAATTATCAGGGAAGCAATGTCCCTTCAATCATCATGATTTTAACTAAAAGGTCGTTATCCCTCATGCCCCTGTCTAGTTTACGCCTATAGATACAAACTTTTAAAATATTATAATACGTTAAAAGCGACTCAGTGAATTTATTAAATATTAAAAAATTACCCAAAGAAGTCACTGAAGAGACGAGACGATGCGTATACGACACGTTTTAAAGAATTCCATTACGTAATCATCGTATTAAATTTAAATAGTAATAGGTAGCAAAAATAATTGTTGTGATTGTATAGCTTTGAATAGTGACAAGTCAAATAAATTACTGTCTTTGGGTATAACGTTAGAAAGTTTATCATTAGCGAACTGCATAGAACAAAGAAATCTAAAAATCTAAATTACCTATATTATTATAATAATAATAAACAATAATAAATTACATAGATTAGGTTAAGTTAAGTATAGGATTTATTATAAAATTAATTAAAATTGTTTGCCTTTTTTTTATTAATAAATGTAATAATAAAACTATATTGTTTATACACCGTGTTATTCACTTATGAGTTATTGATGAAAATTAAAATTGGAAACAGCATATAATGGATATACGTTCTAATTGCTCAGCATTTGTTCACAAGTTAAAAGTTTTAAGATTAATAACTAATTGTTTTTAAACCAAAAACATAGACAAATGTTAAAAGTTTATTTTCTTTTAGCTCAATTTTCTCTTATATTATTGAATAGGAACTAGGAAATACTGTTCAAATCAAACTAAATAAACTAGATACTATTTGATCAAAATAATTCTTTAAGAGCACGGGTTCTTTTCGGTCAATTGACTAAACATTAGTAGGTATATATATATTTAAACAGCTGATACTGCTGACGTGTGTGCCACTGTTGACGGTGGAAGTTAGAAAGGTAGGCTAACTGTAATTTATACTTGTGCACAAAGATAAATCATTACTTACAAAAAACGATTTTATGCGAAATTCGATTGCACAAGTTTCTAAATGCCACACATTTACTATTTTCGACAAAATGTCAAACTTATTTTAATAAAAAAATACCCGTGAGCAGCAGAGCTCGGTAAAGTCGAATTTTCCCCCAACTGACTTATCAATATTAAAATATTTAATTTTTTTTTAGATTCCGAGCGAAGCGAAGTAGCTATTGGTTTTATAATGCTGTTTATTGTTTTTTTTTTTTTTTGTTCTTTGTTCTAGTCTGTGGACACGTTTTTACGTGTAGTAACTTTTATGAAAGCTTAAGTTGTCTAGATGATACTTTAAAGAGGTCATTTTTTTTATTTTCGACGCCATTTTTTAAATAAAAGCACTGAAGTGGGAAAAAACATAGGAGAACGTACCAGAAAAAATAATTTAATCGAAAAATCACAAGATACCTTTTTTGTTGCCTTTTTGATTTACTTTCTTACTGTATCATCAAAACTTTTAAGCCACTTTTGAACTTTTAAGAAATTTTAGTTTGTGACTTTTTTGCTGTAATTCGGTTATAAATACACGTAGACTTGAAACTTGGTAATAAAAAAAATATTATAAGTATATTGGACTTATCTAGACGTGGTAAAATTTCCGAAATCATCGGACGACTTTTTGTTTTTTTAACAAGCATTTTTAAATTAAATTTAAACGAAAATCGCAAAAAAAAATAACGGCACTTCAAATTGTGTACCACCGAACTTTCGTCTTTCATCAAGCTATGGTTTATCGTTGCTTACAGATATAAATGAAATAACCTTATGTATCCTACCATCCCAACTTTCCACTTACAACAGTGGCTGCATCCGTCCCCAGTATCAACTCTTTTATATAATTGATCTAAAATAGTTATTTACCAGAATTTTATTACATTTTAGCCTACAGAGGTATTTTAAATCCGACATTTCTTCCGAATTAAAAACGAAATGCCAGGTAAAAAAGCTGTTTACAGACAGAGAAAAAGAAAGAAGAAACACACAATATCATAAATGTATAAATCATAATATCATAATAATTAATACAAAATATGTCTTCTTATGTTCAAAAACTCATTTTTTTAATGTAAAATTCGAATTTGAAATACGATAAGAGCATATTTAGACAAATATTTATTGATAAACCACCTTGTTTACGATATAAACAATTTGTTTACAACATGTTTTATCCATTGTTTCAACATCAAATTTCAAACTGTATTAATTAATACTTAGTACTTGTACATAGCAAATTGAATCTAGCTATTTTTTTTTTTTGTTTCTAGGTCTTGCATTCAAGATTCATTGCCAGGAATAGCACACAGGTAAAATTATGATTACATTATTATATTAATAGATAAGATTTGAAACTCTAATTTATCCGATATCCAATGTCTTTAAAGACCCCCATTACAATACTAAAATAAAACCAGATTCAAAAATAATTTACATCAAAATTAAAAAAACGCCGTATTTCCCACGTTTTTCATAATTATAATTATTAAGAAAACTATACAGAAAATCAAACGACTTTCTAACTCATAAAATAGACAAAATTTCCTTCCCGAAAATATGCTATCCTTTGAATTTAAGTATAGATTTTTTAAATAAAAATATAAGGGTAAACATTTTAAATAATGAAACCGTTACTCTGTAATTTGAAAAAATCATATTTTTCATATTTTTTTTCCCCTAAATATTATAAATACTACTTTAGATACCGAAAAATGACTTTCTCTATCAGTGACTAAATATTAAATAGAACAAAATCGACCTCTTGTTATTTTTCGATTGAAGCAAATTTCTGATAGAAAATATCATTTGAAAAAAATTAAATAATTAAACCGGGACGCCAAGTTGCTGTAAATATTAAATAATTTTAATTTTTTAGTTTTTCCCAATTATTATGAAAACAACTTAAAATATCAAATAAAAACCTTCTCAATGCAACAAATAGACAAAATTATCTTTCAGAGAAAAAGCAAGATTTATGGTAGAAAATTTGTTAATAAGAAAAAAAAAGACAGACATACATCGCACGTGGGTGAGCGACTTGTTTTTTTAACAAAAGAATGTTAAAATCAAATATTAATGAAAATCGTTAGTGTAAAAAATTATGTGGAAGCAATCTAATTTTTCAATATTTCGGTTTGATAATATATAAGGCCGATTAAGAACGATGATAAAGTCAGAATTCTGAAGTTCAGAAGTCTGCACTTACGTGCGAAATATGTCATTCTTTTTAAATATTATACCTATATTCCCGTTTTTCTCATTTATTGGAAACATCAAAAATTACCTCCCTAAAGTACCACCCCAGTCAGATTTTCTTTCAGAAAAGTGTTATCATTATAAATCGGAGCAAAATTACTGGTGGAAAAGTTGTCCACAGAAAAAAAAAATAAAAATAAAAATAATTGTAAAACCAATACATTCCTTGCTCCGCTCAGAATCTAAAATCTAAAAAATGATAATATATTATTATATACGTACCCACTAAAATTAAAATGCACGTAATTAAGAAAAAACGTCTATGTTAACATAATAATAAAGTATTGTACTCCACTTTAAACAATTTTAAAGAATGATATTCGAATTTATCCAAAATGAAATACGACGAAATAAAAACGATAAAACATAAAATTAATAATGAATGCCGTGACACAATTACGGATATACGAACATGTGAATTAGCAAAGTGTAGAGAAAATGGAAAATTAAGAAATAAAATCTTGAATTATTAGACTAAACAAATTTAAATTTCAACTACAACTAAACTTAAAAATTACTACGATCTTTAAAACTCCCTATCACAGCAAAATATATTATTAACAGTATATCTTCGTGTTAATTATTACTCTAATTTTACAGAGTTTTCAGAAAAACTGCTCAAAACAATAAACTGTGTTTATATTTGGGCAATAGAGACGTAGTGGTTTCAAATAATTCATCCACAAAGATTCACGGAATCGTATTAGTGGACCCAGATCTATTGAAAGATACAAAGAAAAAGGTATGCTGATATTATATAATATTATAAATGTACAAGTATATGAGTAATTGTGTATAATTTAATTTTTTTTTAATTACTTTATGATCAAAATAATAGCACACAACGATAAATATAGAATTTTATGTTTCAGCTTAATGATTATATTATACAAATTTTAAAATGTTTCAAAGACTTATAACTATGAACATGTATTGCATACCTTAAAAATAAAATAATTACAAAGAATAATTAAAATATTATATAAGTAAATATCAAGTACTCAAGTAACAAATAATTAAAATAATCACGTAAATTAAATTAGCAAGATATTATAAGAAGAAATCGCGGTATTTCTAAATTTGCATACAATACTTAATTCTACCATAAAAATCTAATTTTATTGTTTTTATATTATTATGGTTTTCTTTCAAAGTTTTGCTGTTCAACATTTTCTTATTTAAAGTTTTGGCGTATAAACTTTATATAATTATAGGCTTCTAAAAACTTTACTTCACGATGACCCACTACATTTATTCAAAATAATATGAAGGAACTTTTATTTATAAACAAACTAACCAGCTCCTTAATTAAAAGATTTATCACAATCATTTGTTTAAATAAAAGCAAAATACATAAAATAATAAATCCAGTTTTAACAATATATTACAATATGTACCAATGATTAGCCAAAATTATTATTCTAGTAAGTATGAATAAATAACAAAGTTGTTCAGTTATAAATCATAAATTAAAGAAATATTGTTGCTAAAATTGATAATAAGCAAACATTACCTCTATCAAAAGTTAATTTTATATTTTTGACATATTATTATGATTATGAATATTTTATGGTTAAAGACTTAATCAAAATATAAATACAATAATTATAACAATTGTTCTAAATAATTTGGTTAGAAAATGTGTGTATAAATGACGTATTAAGAGCACATGGCATTCAAAAACATCGCCTTTACCCTTACACATGCACTGTACTACTTTAAAAAGCGTTGGTTAAATGACTTTTGAGACCTAAACTAGCGTTAAAAGCATTTCATAGCGATCGTGCTGAGTTTTACAGTATTATTATTACTCTTATTACTTCCCGGTTCTTTTGCGTCTTTAATGGATTTTAAATGGAGGCCCTTAACAAAAAACGGAACAATAGTTTAATAGAAGAATATACATTTCCAGTATGGATTGTTGCATAAAGTTAGCTAATAAAAATTCATCGGAAAAATCCGTTATACAAATATCACTTTGCACAAGTCACTTAAACTGATTTACAGTCCCATTTAAATTACATTATTTTCGAGTTTAATATACCTAATATATTCAGAATTTATTTATACATTGCTACAAATATAATATTAGCATTAAAGTTCTAAGTCAAGTGAACATTTTACAAGCAATAACACATAGCTAAGTTGATTCTTGAATTATAAGTTTTAAATTTCTAAACAAAAAATAAAATTGATATTACTTTTTATTTTATAATATATATATATATATATATATATATTATTTATGTATTTATTTACCTATTTATTTTATTTATTGACGGAAAAAAAATTCATTTACTAAATAGTCTCTATATAAATACATAATGTAGTATAAATATTAACATTAAAATCCAATTTTCATAAATATAGCGAAATACAAACATAATTTTATAATATTACATATTTTACATATGTTAACATATGTAACATATTTTTATAATATGGAATATACAATCAACTAAAATTTACTTCAGTAGTATTTCCTATGGCCATCAGTATATTAGCAGGTGAAGATCGTAAATAATTCATAGAAATATTATTAATTAAAAAACAGTCTTTATTTCTAGTAGATTTAATATTTATTCAAAAATTTAATTGTGACAACAAATAAGGTCTATCTATAGAATTATTTAATACTTTTGATAAAAATGTATAGTGGAGGTAATCTCTTCTTTTGTTTAATGAGTCTAAATTAAAATATGATAAGATATCATTATACACTCAGCATGTCTTGAGCGTTCAGCTTTAAATTTAAATGATAGAAAATGGAGAAAACGATTTTTAACTGCTTCGAAATTTTGGGTCTTACAAATTTTATTTAATAACCAAATAAGAGAGGTATATTCTAACTGTGATCTCACAAATGCAAGATATAAATTTCTTAAAGCATCATATTTATTAAAGTTAGAACATGTATATGTAACAAAACCTAAATATAAGACAGCTAGCTTTATTTGTTATTTTCTCAATATGACTGTTGAAACATAGCTTAGAGTCAAAAGTAATACCTATGTCGACAAATGATTTAACTGACTCTATAGAAATATTATTCAGTTTATAATCATAATCAATACTAGTTTTTTGATACTGAAAGTTAATACTTTATATTTCTTTACATTTGTTGATGTTAAATATAACCCATTTAAATATACATATATATATATATAGAGAGAAAGAGAGAGAGTGAGTGAGAAAGAGTATCACACAATGTGGTAAAAACAATTTATTTCTTACATTTTTTAAAATAATCAACTTTCAATATATATTATTCGAATTTGAATGTATTATACACACATGTATCTAATAAACAGTTTCTTAGTAATAGCTATTTAATTTCTAGAAGGTGTATACATTTTTTTTTATTCAGTGGTTTAATTATAGTGCTGCAATTGAAATTAGTAGTAGTAACCTATTGAATATAATTGTTTGTATACACCTTCTTGAGAAATTAAAACGACTATTATGAAGAAATTATTAATCACATATGAATGTATGGTACATTAAAATTTTTAGAATATTTTTTACAGAATACCTTATTTGAAAATTTTGAAAGGATATTTTTTATTTTTAATGATTATAGAATGAAAATAAAAAATTCATATTTTCTACATTTATTTCTCTCTAACAGGATTGAAAAAAAAAAATAATATTTAAATATTAACAGAGTTATTACTTATTACTTATTAACATTCATAAAACATTGTAGAACATCCTGTGTATATATTCACTGTCATGCAAAAAGTGACGCAATTGTAAAAAAACATGTTTAAACCTTTATTTCATCCCTATATGTGTATGAAAAAATGTTCCAATTGATATCATAAATAGTTTAGAAACTACTTAAGGGGATTAGAAGCAGTGATTTTCTGTCTTTGTCTTACACACGTGCAACATTTTAGACATTTTCTACTTTCAACATACCAAATGAAATGAAAGCAGATTTGAATTTGTCAAGTTTTCTTGAGATCGACTTTCCTACTTTTTTTTTTATTTTACTCCAAAAATTAAAATATTCTATTTGTTTAATTACTTCTTTTTTTAGGATTTAAAGGATAAAATCAAAAATTACGGGAAAGATGATTTCAAAAAAAATTAACAAAAAATTAAAATCTGTTTTCAAAATTCCGATTGTTTCACTAAACCAATCAATATGTTGGAAATAGAATACATCTAAAAGTGTATGCTACACGTGTGTAAAATAAAGATAAAACATAACCTTTTCCTATCCTTTGATTAAAATCAAAATTTCAAATTTAAAAAAAAAAAATTAAATCACTCATGTATATACTTGATCATTAAATCATAAACGAACATTTAACATTACAAATAGTTAAATTAATAAAAACAATTTCACTTACATATTATAAAATTAAATTTTAGATTTATACTTTCAATTGTATGCATATCTTATGCATTATACAATTATTTCATTAATGTGCTATTATTTGTGATTTGAACATAATATGAATAAATATTATGATTTTATTAAAATGAATTTGAACCTTATGAAAAATCCATTGTATGAGCTCCTATGAACTCTGAATTGCAAACCATTTGAAATAAATCACTATCTGTAATAGTTTTGTTTGCAATATTTGAATGGATAATATACCTATAGTTATTATTTTCATTTGTAAAGGTATTTGGACAAATAACATTAACTTTCCGGTATGGTCGAGAAGACGAGGAAGTAATGGGATTGAAATTCTGTAATGAAGCAATCATGTGTTTAGCACAAATTTATCCACCTCATGAAAATGCACAACGTGAACAAAACACACCATTACAGGTAAATATGAATTGTTGTACGTGAATTTAAAAATAAATTATAATCAGTAAACTTATTATGTTTAGCTGAATAAGATTTTACAATACAATATGGTATCATAATTACATATAATTATAAATCATCATATGTTAGAGTTAAAAATTCTACAAAAGAAAACTGTTACTAAGTTATACTTGTACAAATATTTTAACTGAAAATAATATATTCATCAAAATGCATTGAACATAATTTTCAAAAGAACTATTTCAAAATATAAGTTAATATAAATAAATAAATATAAGTTGCTATACACACAACAGTTTTCATTACAGTTATATAATCAAATCAACTTTATGAACTTTACATCAGATATATATAATATTAAGTATAGGTATCAAGAAATCATAAATTGCTGTTAAAAAATATTGTTTTAAAAAGAAATTAAAAACACCTAGGTAATATACAATAATAAACTAATAATTTAACTATCACCTTAATCTGAATCTAAAAAATGAATAAATCATTATTTTATAAACATTAATACACATACCTATACTAAAATAACAGTTAAAAAGGAATCTCTCTCAATAAACGTCATTTTATATTTTAAATTCTATCTCTTAATCACAGATATATTATCTGGTATTATATATCAAATGTGTTCTTATTTAATTTAATAATAAAATCAACATAATCTGTTTTGTACTCATAAATAATAAAATATTATTTGTAAATTTGTTTTTCTTAGGATATGTTAATACAAAGACTGGGAACCAATGCTCATGCTTTTTCAATGGAAGTAACTCATTTAGCTCCGCCTAGTGTCCAATTAGTTCCTGCTAAAGAATACAATGGCGCTCCAATAGGGACTAGCTATGACATACGGGTATACATAGGTATGAATAAAATCAGCATATTATTGATATAACATACACATTAACCCATAAATGAAATATATAAACGTAACTTATATATGTAACAATATGTAACATACACAAACCTATACTAGCCTTCAAAAGTATACAGAATACATACTATACAAAAAATTACAATAATATATTAAAAGACTACTAATATCTTATAGATTGTATAAAATATAAAATAATAACTTAAATAATTTATATAAATATTAAATATAGCTGAAAGGGCGGATGAAAAATTACAGCGAAAAAATATTGTAAAAATGGGTATCAAAGTAGTTCAAATGGCTTCAGCGCCACCCCCACCTACACCTACACCTAGATCAGATCAACCTAAGGGGTGGCGTCAAAAAGGACCACAAGCTACTTCAGAGAAACCATTTTTACTCAGCGACGGTAAAGTTACCCTGGAGGCTAACCTAGACAAATCTATCTACACACATGGTGATCCAATTCATGTGAACATAAGTGTGAAGAATACTAGTAAAAAAGTTGTGAGACGAATAAAGGTAAAAACTTATAATTTATATTTTTATAAATTAATATATAGGTATTCAATACCTAAAGTATATACCTATAATTTTACTGGATTTTCTTTAAACTAATTTTCCAAACCACAAATATCTCTTAATACACGTTTACAGATCAGGTAAATTCATCAAATTTTAGTTTCTTTATAAAATTAATTTATTTCAAACAAATACACGGGTCTACAAAAAAACAAAATGCATTTTACTATAAATGCAGAAATAATAAATAAAACAGTTTAAATTAATATAAACAATTTTAATTTAAAATAATTAATAGATCAATTTTCGTAACACTGAATATAATATTTTAAATTGCAAACTATTACAAATTTAACCATGTTCTATTCATCAGCTATCAATTTATATTGATTAAATTGGATTAAATTTATTTAGGTTTTTATCGTTCAACATGTTGATGTATGTATGTTCAGTAATGGTAAATTCAAAAACACTGTGGCAACAGAAGAATGCACAGATGTCCCCATACTTGGTAGTGGAGGATCACTTGAAAAGGAATACCTATTATATCCAATCAAGGCAAGAACAAAAAATTGGATAGCACTAGAGGATTCATTGGGATCTTCTGTAAATAAATCAGAAGGCTCATTATCCAGCACTGTAGTATGTGTATCGCCAGAAGACAGGAATGTATTTGCCATTTATGTCACATACTATGTAAAAGTTAAACTTTTAATAGGAGCAATGGGCGGTCAGATGTCACTCAAGTTGCCATTTACACTAATGCACACGTCATCGAACACTTATTCTACAGGTAACAAATATTCTTAGACAATTACTTTATAGTTTTGTTAATAAATATTCCAGTTTAATTTATATTTCTATACACTTAACATAGAATGCAAGGATACATCGTGTCCGTCATTAGGACCATGTCCGTTGGTGGAGAGTAAAGAAGTACCAATAGCATTAGATGAACCATGCTCTAATAACTTGGGCCTCTGAGGATTAATCGAATCGGCCGATAATCGAGACATACATTCGACACCAATTACGGCCGATCTTAATGCCGAAGATGACCATGAAGACAACCCATTTAAATTTCAAAGGATTTTATGTTGTTTTTCTAATTACAGATAGTGATAATGGGTCCAACAAAAAAATATATAATAATTATTTTTATCAAACAATTATTTATAATAAGTAAAATAGATTGTAAATAGTATTTGTTTATGTTCAAAATTATGTTTGTATAAAAGATAATGAGGTTTCTTTTTGTATTGAACCATCAGTATCAAATAATAAATTTTAAAATTAGCCTAAAAATATTTGGAAGTTTGTAGAAAGTGTTTTTTTTTTTTTTAGGTAACAACTGAGTCAATTTGAATTATTAAATCTCTCAAAACAAAAAAAAAAAACATTGTACTTAACCTAACCTAACATCTATGGTCAGGCATATCAGGCTGATTTTTTGCAGGGTAGAATATTTTTACAATTTAAAAATTGTACAGTATTAATATAGAAAAGCCATATTCTAAAAGCAATTGAAGCTCAATAATCTATTTAATGCTTCTATAAAATAAATATAATTTTTTCAATATATATATTGAAACAAATAAAAATATTGTATTAAATTGAAAATGGGTAATTAACCAAAACTACTTTGCATTCACAATAATTTAAATTTTAAATCTGTTAATTTTGAAAACAATGTATTCACAACTAATTATATTTATTTTTTAAAAGTAAATACATAAATAAATTATAAGTTGGTTCATTATATTCAAATTTTTCTGGTAGGATCTAATTAATGTATTTGTATGATTTTAAACCAAGTAATAACAGTATTGTTATGGGATACTAGGGTTTTAAACAAAATTTCAGATATGCATAATACATATTATAATTAATACATTTTGTAGTATAACAAGTAGACAGTTAAGTTTTATGGCTGTACAACAATTATATAAACACAATTAATAGGTATCAATTTCTTATTAAATATTAATAGTATTAATAATAATTAACTAAAAATTATACAAAATTAATTTTACAATTCTACAAATATCTTAATATTAGAAACATAATTTTGATCTATTCAAAATAATTCAAATAATTAATTATTAATAATACATATTAGTATGTATCTAATCAAAAAATTGTATAATTTTAAAAATTTAGAAAAAATAATAAAAATAAATAAAGAATGTGTTTAAAAAGTTGAATATTTCTGAATTCAAATAACCATAAGAATTAAAATAAACTCTTCCACATTAAAAAATATCTATATTTGATTAAAATTTAAGAAGGTTACATTTACAAATATTTGTTTTAATATCTATAAAAATTATTGTTGTATTAACTTTAAAAGTATTTATTTTTATAAATTAAACTAAACTAGCTACACCATGTTTCACCTTGTTGCATGTAATAACAATAATTTGTTTCTGCCTTTAAAGAAAAACCAGAAACTATTTAAAAAACAAAAATAAAAAAATAAAAATCCAACATTTTTGATTTCTAGGATCAAAATTTAAATGTTATTATTAAGTGTAAACAAATGTAAATTTAAATTAAAAAGATTGGCTCTTAAATATTGTTAGTACCTCTTTTTGTCTATCTAAGTTCAACATCTTGTATTTTGAGTAACAGATTTGGCTAATCATCAGACATGCACGCATACAAACATATTTGTCTTTTACTATAGGTATTAGATTTGTGTATTTAATAAAATCCAATTTTATTTTAAATTTTACTTAATTGCAATTTTAATCAAAACATAAATAATTATAACAAAAAGTAATATTTAAATAAAACAATATAAATATTTTAGAATAAAAAATTTAAATAATTCTTACATAATAATATTCTAAAACTAATTTAATTTTACTCCCTAAAACAGTTTCTGAGTTGTAATTTTTAATAACTATTGATTATTTTCTATAAACAAAAAATAATCGTCAAATAGATTTTTAAAATATACGTTAAGAAACTCATGCAATCAAATAAAAAATTACAACATTCTATAAGGTAATTATAACTTATAACCCAATGCATTTATTTAATTTCAATTTAGCTGATTAATCTCAAAATATTGTTCAATATTAATAATTATAGCATTGCCAAAATGTAAATAAATAGAATTGTCGAATTTAAACATGTGTATTATATTTAATAATTTAATATGATGTTAGATTAAAATGTTATGAAACATAAACTGTCACATTTAAAAAACAGTAGTTTTTGGGTTAATATTTGTATGTAAACTAAATTGTTAACATAATTATTAAAATCTAATTTCTCTAGGTTCTCATAGACATAGATTATAACAACAACTAATAGATACCTAATACAAATGTTAATAGTTTTATATAACAAACAAGTTTTATACATCTTATTGACATAATTATTGAAACCAATGTACATATCAGAATATTTTATAAATGCTATAATAAATAAGTGTATAATTTGAATGGTATTATAAAAAGAACAAGTCTTATGTGTTGCATTATATTTACAAATCAATAGGTATTAGGTACATTAGGAATTAGAGCAGTAGTTAATAATGTAATTATAACAAGAAAAATATTTTTCTTAGCTGATATAAATTGTTTCGATATAAAACTTCAAATTTTATTTTAAATGAAACATGTTATATTACTATAAATAATAATAAAATATGGGTTTTAATTTGTTTTTTATATATACATATATTACATATACATAATTAATATTTTCAAACTGTAAAATTTTTAAAGAAAAAAAAATTGTCATCTATATGGTAATAACAATGAGTAGGGCTTGGAAGTTAAAAGTTTAGTAAAAGTTTAAGGTTGTTTTATATGATCATTTTTTAATGTTTTTAAAGTCATCAACTTCCAAGCACTATCTATGAGCTACATTACTATAGTAAACTTTGTTATTTTAATTAACCAGCAATAACTACATTGTTTAAAATAAAACGCATGCATTCTTTATGTTGTTAACTTTTTGATTTTTTTTTTTTAATAATATATGTATTAAACGATTAAACATGAATTGTCATTGATTAGATATTTTTGAATTTGTACTTTAATTTTGTTTACAAATTGTGCATTATAAATGTTTAAAAATACACATTTTGAATTGCACATTTAAATTATAACAGCACATTTTTTCCTAAATCTTTTCCCCGAATTACCTACTGAAATATTCCTTATACCTGCCTAGCACTTCTTAGATTTCATAGTAAGTAAGATACAAATTAAGAATCTTAAATAAATACGAGAATACAGTTTGAAAAATAATATAGACAAGTAGTTATTATGAACTTACTCTATTCTGATAATCAGTTCATTAATATGAGCATAAAAATGGAATTTCATTTGACTTTAATAATCTATATATATAAAATAAGTAGGTACTCACCATGAAAGTCAAATGCACGGCCTCCACGTACAACATATTTTGATCGATTTTCAGAATCATTTTGATCTGCAACCTTAATCAAGATATACTTATAACGACCTCTGTTATCGATTTCTACATCAGAAATCTTATCTAATGCTGAAGATGACATTGTGCATACAAACTGAAAAGTATATAATTTAACTAAATTAAAAAATCTTTAATTAATATTATGTACCAAAAAAAATTCACACTAATTCCAATGCATTTTAGATACATAAATAACTAAAACATAATTTAATATGTTAATAAACAAAATTGAGTTCTTATTTGTTATAGCAATCTAACCGTAATCAATGTATCCCATGTGGTTTTACTTAGAAATCTGAGATTTTTCAATTAAAAATAAACATTCAGTTGAAACTAGGAGACTTAGATTAAATCTGATTGAAGATCGGTTTTGACATATTTTTGAGTACTATATTTTTGAAAAATATTGTCAAAATAATTAAAGAAATAAATTTTGGAATAATTATTACATATTAATACTAATATGTAATAATTAATATTTGTTTAGTTTGGAAAAAATTCAAACAAAATAATTACCTATAATATTCAAATTTAATGTAATACAATAAATCAATAATACAAACTGGTAATTAGAATAATTGAATAATTACTTTTAAAAAAATGATTATTATTGAGATTATTAGTTATTATTTATTTGGAGGAAAATGGAATAAAAAAGGAGAGTTTATTATTCATTACACAGTACATATACCAAGTGATTCATTTAAGTGGATATACTTATTATCTAGAAAAGTATTAAATTTTTCTAGAATTTGTTTTCTAGAACATTTAAGAAACAAACTGCTCCACAACTTTATATTTGTCTTATATTTTGTCACCCTTATTTTTGGTTATGTTAGATTAAGTTATTAGTTAAAATAAATTTTAGTGTTGACATTTTTGATTTCTGTTAAGCCGTTGAAGAGATATACCACTTTTAATTTTAGATTGGAGGAGAGTAGTGGTGAATTATTAACGAGCTGCCATACAGATGATACTCCACTACTATTTTATTTTCCTCCAACCCAAAATTAAAATTGGTATATCTCGTCAACAGATCGATGGAAATAAAAAATTTCAACATTAAAATTTATTTTAACTAATACTCAATCTATATATGGACTTTTTAAAATAGGTTGCCATTTGAAAATCAAAAGTAGGTAGTTGTTATACACCCGTAAATAAGGGTGACGAAAAATAACACAAATATAAACTTGTGGAGCAGCTTGTTTCTTAAATGTTCTAGAAAACAAATTCCTTTAAAAGTTAATACTTTCCGAGATAATGAGTGTACCCACTTAAATGAATCACCTGGTATAGTTAACTTGCGTACGTATTATTGAATAACAATTACCTTGGCAAATTTGACAGTTGAGTACAATGTATCAATTCTTTTGAAAATCATTTATTTCATACTTGGCAATTTTGATTGTACAATGAAGACATACGTCTAACCGACTCAACCGGTAAATTGTAAAACTGATAACAGTTATCAAACATGGTAACTAACATGCACATCCATGACCATTAACATGAACTAAGATAATGTTAGTTCATGGCCATTGGTAAAAAGCAATTGTTCGAAAATGATAATAATAAATGATGATAAGGATAAATAATAACGGAACGAAACTGTCGAAACCGTTATTACTAATTTCTATAGTTCCATCTTCTAATATTTATTTAATGAATTTACGCCGGAGGCTCAAGTACACTGTACAGTAATTTAATGCATACAAATAAATTAACCTTAATAATTAAGTTAAACAATAAGAATTTATATATTTGAAATTTGAATACTAATTAATAAAACTATATTTTAATTGTAATATTGTAGTATTTTATTTTATGTGCACTGTATTAGTCCAGTTAAAAGTTTCCAGTTTCCCTAACAGAATTTACGAAAAAGGTTCTTAAAATTTTTCGAACTAGTAGCAAGCAATAATATTGTTGCTATTATTAAAGTCGAAGGGAAAAGAAACTCGATAATCGGGATTTTAAATCTAATAATTTTGAAATTCAATAACCTTCGAAGACTATCAGACATCAACATTTGCCATTTTGGGTACTACTCATGAAACATTATGCCTAGAGCATAATTATTGCTAAATTAAAACAGTTTTAAACTTAAGGGGAGTGGGGGTGACTCCCTTCACTCGCAACTGGTGTAAATTAAACAATTGTTGACCTTTACGTGAGCGGATAGGCCATTTTTTACAACCAAGAATAAATGAAATATTTCATCTATTCTGTAGTCTCTCATGAAAAAAATACTGATGCCCAGTCATTAGTATTTTTTTCAATGATTTCATTGAATCGGATTTAAATGCAAAATGAATCTTAATTAACAAAATTCACTGTTAGTTCCACTGTCAAAGAAATCCATGTAGATAAATTAGATCTTTGTGAATGACCACCTAAATCTAAATAAAACAAAATCGATCTAGATAATTAGAAGGTCTAATATCTAAATGGCCTAGATCCCCAATCATTTAGATTCCTATTAAGATATATGATAAATTTGGAATCTATAATCATGGACTAAGATATACAGGACGGGCGTAAGGCTGTCCATAAAAACCAATCGGTGATGCTGGTTATTTTTTCCTTTATAAGCCCCCATAGTAAAATGTGATTATACTTTCTAATTTTTTTTATATTCTAAATTAATACTTTATAGAACATTAAATGCATCCATATATTTTAGCCTGTGACTACAATATAGTCCATGATTAAAGATATGATATAAACAAACATAATGTCTAAGATATTTTATAAGTCATAATAATATATATCTTATAACTATTATGTTTATAACCATTTTTAATTATTGTGTTTAAAAGTTTTAAATTTAAATGCTAATTTATAGATACCATAACTAGAACTGTTGTAACCATTCAGATGTGTTAGGAAGTTTGAATTATTTAATATAAGCCTATGTATTGTTTGTTGCTTACCAGTGTGAACCTGTCATAATCCTCTGAATAGTGCACATTGGACATGATTATACAGGATCAATTGTGAATTGTTTAAAATTTGTTTTAATTCAAATACACATGCACATAATATGAAACAATGGAAAGTTAACTACTCCCACTGTTGATACTAATTTCAAACATTTTCATACTTCTGCAAATATGCATGCAATATTTTGTACGACAATGAAGTAACTATGCATATTATACAAAATAAATAATTCAATTTATTTATGTGTTGACTGTTTTACTGTTTAAAGTTTCTTGTAAAAATGTCATCATGAGCGCCCAGCTTCATAGATAAATTAATAAATATACAAAACATAGTGAATTTTAAAATTGGTGGTTTTTCTCAATGCACATTTACAATATAAATAATTTAATTATTTTATATTACAGATTTTATAATTAATTAAAAGGACATTAATACAAAATTCAATTAGGAAAATAGTTTCTTTAACTATTAATAAAGTTTAAAAAATTTTCATAATTGATATAAAAAATATTGTTCTTATATTCCAATTTCTAGTTGTTAACTATAAATCAAACCTTGCACAAATCTCATACCAGGCCATCAGGATTTCTCCAGGTATACTGCTGGACCAGTTTCCCTTGTTTTAGAGTTTAGATAATTTATTATAATAAACGGGTTTGAAACCCTTTGAACATTTTCACAAAATGTAAATTATATAATTACAGTAGCTACAATAGTACTCGTAATAAGACAAGTAAATCAAATTAAACATGTTTCAAAATAAAAATGAATTTATATTATAACAAAATTGGTCTTAATAATTTAATACTACAGTAAATAATAAACAATAAATACTATAATTATTTATAGATGTTTATTATTTTTAATCTAAAAAAGACAATAAATTAAAATAATTATATTATAATCTGTATAACCCTGAAACACACTCAAAGAATTATTTTAAAAAAAAATGTCCACTTATTTTCAAAAACTAACAATCCATAATAATTATTAATAATTAAAAAGACCTATTATTTTGGTTATCAAAATGTGTTGATTGATGTTTGAATATTTAAACATTTTATACAATTTACTTTAATTCGTTTCTACAAAATACAATTATAAAATAATTATAAATGTTATTCAATACTTAGAATTTAACTTAGAATTAAACAATCGGATCAAGGTACACTATGATTAAAAAGATTTATTTGTGTTTTATTTAAATCTTCTATTTATTTTCTAAGACTTTGATTTTAAATTCATGTTCTTTAATATTGTATTTATTTTCAAGTTCACCAGATATATATACCCAATAAAATCGACGTATAGGATCAAAAACTGTTGCTAAATCACAGCACAACTAAAACAAAATAATATTATTGATAGTCAAAAATAATTTCTGTACAATTTTATCTATTGAATAAATATACTTATAACACATACTTTTAACGCAAATTTAACTTTTTCAATATTTTCAGGTTCTGTAGAGTTTACATCTGCATCAATAAAATCAACCATACAAGACATGAGATGTGTTGATCTATTTCCCTTATTATATAATTGTGTACAAAAATCGCGAACTCTTTTTTCCAAAACTCCATTTTCCGAGTACAATAATAATCTATATGCCATACAAAAAATGATTAGTTAAATTTTATATTTTTCAGACATATTTATTTATCACAATTACCCTCTTAAGTAATTCCATGCACTTTCATTTTTTGATAAACTTGTTATTTTGTCAAAGGTATACTTGATTTCATTTTCAATCATTTCAGAATTATAATCTAAATTATTTATAACAAAATAACGTTGATTCCATGCTGAATTATTTCTCATATCTTGTGATATTAATTTGTCAACAAATTCTATCTCTTTTTCCATTAGATGACTAAAGTAAACATAAATTAAATACTATTTGAAATACCTATGTTTTTAAAACATAGTTTATATAATAATTAATCATTGTATACTTTATTAATATATTTTATCTTTGTATTTCATTTCAGTTTTATTATATATATATATATACATGTATGTTTTACCTAAATGTACTGAGAACCCATTGTCTGTATTGCCAAGCATGGTAATTTTTAGCATCCATGTCTAAAATATTTGCTGTAAATTCTAATTCACCTGATGGATCATTCAACATTTCCACAATATTCTTGCGATATTGCCTATGATTTTAGTAGTTAAAAAACAATAAATTAAAATCAGATTATGTTTATACTAGACAATTCGTTAAGAAAATTTATTATTTGCCAATATGCAGTCATCATGTTTAATTGTGTTCTATAGTTTCCATGAGTATATACTTTTGTATTATACCAATCAGTGTTAATAACTAAAGCTCAAAACTTATATAGGTACTAATATTATCAACTAGCATAATCAATAATGTTTTAACTTAGGAAGTTGGTTAGACCATTAAAATAAAAGAAGTATGAGCAATAATATTATTTTTAACAAAATTTAAGGTTACTATTTTAAACAAATTGTAGGATTAGGATTTACAATTTTCAAGGGGGTTTTTTTTAATGTGGACTAAAATGTTACAATTTATTTTCATGATTGTTTTAGGTTCAAGTTAAAGTTTATTTTTAAAAACTTTAATTTTGCCCATAACAACTTAAGAACAGATAATTAACATTTTTAATCTTAATATTATATAAAGCGAAAGAGTTTAGACAAGTTTTTATAGTTACCAATAACAACAAAAAAACTTGCTGTCTCTTTATGATATTAAAATTAAAGTTAATTGTTGTAATGTTATCACAGGTAAGTACGTAATTTTTATAAAAAATTTATTTTAGGACAATAATTAACTGTACAGGATTAGAAACGAAGGAATACATTATCATTCATACAAATTTGTTTTAATTTAATACTGTTCACGGGCAAAGCCGTATGGGAGAAATATTAATTTATAACTTTCCAATTTTCTTCTAGTTGCACATGATCAATGAACCTATTTACCTATTTATTTAAAATCTCAAACTACAAATCCTGCAATTAAAACAACACAGCTACGAATTATGAACATTGTAAATAAATATTTATAAAATTGATCTGTTCTGATTAATTTTTTTCTTTCTTTTAAAAATCATACTTCTAAAAATCTAATTTCTTATGCACATTAAAAAAAATTGAATAAAAATTATATTTTTGAAATAAAATTTGTATTTAAAATACTCAAGTTATGTAATTTTGTCCAAGCCAGTTTAATATTTCAATAAATGAATAATTCTATTAAACTTAAACTAATGGTCTGTGGAACTTTAATTCTCTTGCAGAAGCAGTTTTCGGGTAGCCACCAGATATATTATACACCAGTAGAAAAATTTTTAAGACACAAGATTTAAACTAATTACAGTCAAACTTCCACTAACGATCACCTCTATGTAACATTATTTTTTTTGGTCCCATCAAGTGTTATGTCTTTATAAGACACCTCTAAAGAACAGTCACCTCTAAATAGCAGTCATTATTTTCGGTCCCTTCGGAGTGTACAAAGATAATTTTAAGCGCATTTAAAAAGTGATTAACAATTTTTTTAAAATGAAAAATAAGAAATGTTTGTGAATTATAAACACTACGGTAATGTAAGAAGGTTAAAGACAAAAAAATTGAAAATTAGCTAATTACAACGGTTTAAGGTTCGAGGTGTGAACATTTAAAACACATATTCTCTCTTTATATATTGGTAAATAAAAAAAAAATGTATTTTGACTTGTGGGTCAAATACTACAATACAAAAATCATCCATAGACCACAGATTTTATGAGACCACACATTGATATACAAGCAGACACATTTTACAGTGAAAAAAAGAAAATATTGAATTTTGTTTATCTAACAATAAAATACTTATATAGTGATCATTTAATAGTAAAGTGAATCAAGTTGTATAAATATATTATTACATACCATACTTGATAGTTTTTGGTAAATTCGCGGATCACATTTGATATGTATTTTAATTCCTCATGCAAGTCTATTTTTAAAAATAATACAATTTCTAATCTAAAACGAAAAAAAAACCCATTATTCTTCAGTTATATATAAATCTAGTTTAGAACTGCTTCACAATATTTAAAAAAAATTATTCTTATATTTAGACAAAATATGACGATATAATCAAAATTGGGTAGTCGGACTTACTTTTAAAGTCGTAAGACTTGAAAGGAGGAATTTATGATGTAATACAAAAGAGGAAAACAGAAAACATGTTACTACAGAGGAGTTTTTTTCACTTTTTTCTTTTGAAATCTAACTATACAAAATTAATAAACAAAAAAAATATGATAATTTTATGATTAAATTTAGTTTTGAGTTTTAGCATTTTTAATTGCATAATATTGAGTGCCACGCATCTGATCTTGCATGGTGTGGTTTAGGATTACATTTAGAAGGCTAAAATTCTTGCATCAGTATGTGAATAGAAATGGGCCAGGGTAGATAAGTTAGTAACTTTGCTTTTCAAAAAAAAAAAATGTAAAAATCATGAAGTGCTAAACTAGATTTGTCTTTTAGTTTATGTTATGTCATAATATTAACAAACTGTTTACCGATAAATCCATACTGTATAATTTGCTGGGTTTAATGTTATGGCATCAGTAACTAAGCCAAGTGTTCTTTCAGACTTTTCTCCCGATTTAAGAACACCTCTAAAATAGTCAAATACATCTGTAACTAAATTAAATGATACAAAACAAGTGTCATTAGTTTTAAAATATTAAACAAACAAATATCAAAATGGAAATTTAAATACTTAGTAGTTAGTAGTGCAAACAATGTAATGATACAAATAGTTTACATTTGTAATATATAATTTAATGCTATTTACATTTTTCAGAATATGCTATCCTTACAACTTGAGCTGAACCATCATCTTGAGGAATGGGATGTACATCCTTCCATTCGGGTCTATCGCGGTATAAAACGTAATTTGATATTTCGGCTTCATCACAGGAATCGGAACTATCAGACTTTTGTTCCGCGTTTTGATCATCCATTTTGAAAATAACACTAAAAACTTTACAAAAGGCAAATCTAAAAGTTTCGTTTAATGCAAAATTAAAAATATTTTTGAAAGAATTATAATATTTGATAAGTAGTGCCATGGTGCTATCAAAATACGCGTATAAACCACAAACACGAAACTACCACGGACACTACTATCTTGTTAACATAGGGACGCGTTCAGAAACTATCTAGAGCAACCGGAGTGCTAGACAATTCCCTTTAAAAAAACTGAGCATCATAGATATAAATAGATATAAATATATTAATACAATAATATAATATATGAATGTAATAAATTTAAATGTATACTATCGTAATATTGGTACGTCGTCCGGATTCGGAGCGTGTCTGGAAATTCGTCGACACGCTTTTTTTACGAAGAGAAACAGGATTAAGTTAGGTTAATATTCTTTATTTATGATTAAAGCCATTTTTTACATTGCACCAAAATAATAAAATATATAATACAAAATATTAATTATGATTTACGACATTATAACTTGATTAACTCATTATGAGTGACCTTATTATCAGTTTTCCTACTTTTTTTCCGTTAATCATTATGTTGTTTCAACTTAATTCTATCATAGGTAATATTGTATTATAATTTGTATTTATAAAACACTAATCTGGAAAATCTAAAATGTATAGGTAACATTATAGGTATATAAAAAAGTATAATTATCTCGATTTTACAGTGTATGAGGAAAGTTACCTAATTATTTCAATACCAAGTAAAACAATTTTCCATACAGGTATTTTTCAATTATAATTTGCACGTCTTACTCTTCTTAATTCTCACTGTCACCGTCATAAAACGTAAATACACCAACTACAAAAATAATTTAAATGTGCAACTTTTCACTGTTGCCAAGACTATTAACCGATTGGTTTTTATTACAAACATGGAACTTTTTAAATGTCAACAATAAAGCACAAACACAAAATAACAAAAGTGACAAAACAAAAAAAAAGACGAACATACATAGCACAATGAGTGAACTACTGTTGTAAATGAGCAGTTGGGAAGGTAGGATATAGAGGAGAATTTAATATATATCTGTACTCAAAGATAAATCATTGCTAACGAAAAACAATTCTGAGGGGAGTTCGGTTAGGTATGTTGTACATGTTTTAAAAGGCTGTAATCTTTACGATTTTCGACAAAATTTGATATTAAAATTCTTATAAAAACAAATTCTGCATTAGTCATTTTTTTTTTTTTTTACCACAAAATACGACTTATAATAAACCTCCTGTTAATTTTAAAGAATTTCTGTTTGGTCAAATAATTTTATTCACAGAGCTCCTGCCGAACAAAAATTACGTAAAAAACTCGCAAAATTAAAATAAATAGCTCAAAAATGGCTCAAATGTTTTGAAAATTCACTCCGATCAGAATCTAAAATGACATCAAGGTTCTGGCCTTAGGGATCATAAATTATAATATTTTTATCTCAATTATGTTTAAAAATGCTAACGATTAGGTATGAACCATCGTTCTTTTCTATGATGATACATAATATAGGCACCAGGGTACGAATTAGTCGATTACTAATGGTAGCTAGGTATATTGAAATGGGCGGTTGCCCGAGTATGAAAATCGCAGATAAGGTTTCTGAACCCACTCTAGACATAATAGATAAGTATGATCATAAGTGTGTCACATTCTCGTTCAGAATGCGCATTTCAACTCTAAGATCTAAAACCAATAAGAAATTGTATGAACAGTTTTAGTAATTGCATAATATTTCTGTTGGTATTCTATTAATAGCACGAATTAAGATGTATCTTAATTATATTGTGTATCTTAAATCTTAATTCGTGATTAATAGTTGGGTAAGCTAAATACCTGTTCTATATAACCTATTGTGTACATATTTGTTGGTTTTTTTTTTTGCGTATTTATTTTTAAAAATTGCACATTAATTTACTTTTAATTTTTTATAAAATTTATCTCATTACACAAAACCTGTGGGTTAAATAATATAGCGTTCAAACCTAAAATATAAAACATATAATCTCAGCGGATGAGAACAAAGGGATGACCGTCCATTTGACCCGAACTCCCATCTCGCATGTACTAGCTACCCTCATATCATTCTCAATCGTATTCAACAATCCCTTTTTCGGCCTTTCTATTTCTCCTCCAAGGTTTATTTCCTTTACAATTCTTAATTCTTACTACTTCTGATTCCTTTCTGCTCGTGGCATGCTCAAATTACCTCGGTCTATTTTCTCTCATTTTGTCTATTGTCGAAACCACGCCTAACCCAACTCCTATGTATTCATTCCATATCTTCTCACAGTATTCCACTCACCCGCCTAAGCATTCTCATCTCAGCTACACGCATGTTCCCTGTTTTCGTCTACATGTTTATATAGTTTTACTAAATGCCGGAGTATTATTTGTTTATTATAGAATACTACTTAAATAGAAATATAATAAAATAATACGGGTGAATTTTTTCATATCGAGTATGTATCGTCATCAAATTAGCATTTGAAAGACTAAATCGTATTTTGTATGGCACGAAAACTAAGTTTATTGGTCTATGGTGTACTTATACTGTATGGTCATGTTTGTCAGCTTGTCAACTGATGGCGATTATCTCGATCTGACGTTTTGCCATATCAACCTGGTGATCGTCTGAACGACGGTAGACACGATTTGTACGTGTGTGGCAAACTAAACTAAATAGGTACAAGAAATTAATATTGATATAAATTCATATGGATGTAATCCCATCGTTATAAAAGCCACTTTCTTTTACCATTTTCTCTTATTGTAATATAATTATCAATAACATAATCCATAATATGCAAAACAAAAATAGTTGTCAGTAATAATTTTTTTTGTCGGTCTAGCTGGTACATTGTGCATGAAAATATACAAATTACAAAACACAAAAAAAACCCTACTCGAATAAAAACGGTAAAAGGTAGAAAAACGCGAACATTGATAACAAAATTATTATTAAACTATTCTAATCAAACTTATCGACAAACAAATTTGGTTTGTGGACTGCATTATGTTTGACAACAGATCGGCCAATTGGTCTGACGACGGGTTTGACACCAAATCGTTTGACACGACCATATAGATCTATATGGCCGTGGTCTGTGATCAAACCACACATAATATTAGAGATGTTAAGCAATAATCACAGATATATAAAAATGTATTTGAATATTTTAGAAGACACCACTGACACAAAAGACAACTACTACGAGCATCTCCGCCGGCTACTCCGCCGTGGCAATAGCATTTCGTTGCAAATTTTACTTATATATATTGCTTACGTATTGAAAATCTATAGGTAGTTCTATTGAATAGATACGTATCACAGTTTGTAAGTACATAATGAATACATAGTTTGTAATAAATTACGAATAGGTATACACGATGAAGTCCTAGCAAACACTATAACAAAGAAGTGTTATTTTTAGAACTTACTAGCAAGATAAATTGACCAAACGGATAGAGAAAGCATAGTTTTGATGATATCCCGATCCAATCAATTTACAGTAAGCGCTATCGTAAGAATATTTTATCGAATTCTGAATAACTGCTCTTTACATAAATACATTTTTTGGGATAAACGAAACGCATAAAAGAGGTATTTTATGGATTGAAAAATTACTTAATATTCAAGATGAATAGGTATACATTATTGCCTTAAGTAGAAATAATTAATCTTTGATTCAAACTTAACGATGATATGATTGAGATATTTATGACAAAATTAAAGCAGAAATAGGTACCGAAAAATATTGTGTTATGGCTATTTTAAAAATGATCAATGTTCTAACAGGAATAGTATGTCATGATCAAAAGGTATCGTCTTAACACCAAAGCGAGGGTACGTCACTACAGATAAATCAATTCGGAGTTATTGCCTTTCGTAGCAGTTTTTATCAAGTTTAATTTAATTTCGGAGTAATACACATTCGTATCAGTTGTCATTCAAAGTAATATGTTCGATGTAGTATATAATAGTAGCAGTTGACTTTCGTGGCAGTTGTAGCTACCCTTTAAATCTCTCATAATCATAGATGTATTAATAAGGTTAGCATGTCTATGCTTATAACAATATACAGTATTATACCTAAGGATATAAATTAAATTATACATCTGTGTTGAACCATCGTCACATGGTTTTTAGTATGGTATACTAAGGTTTACAGATATTATGTAGTTTTATTTATGTCTACAGCCGTACTATGGTATAATATTTTAGTCCGTGGTCTATGATTATAAAGATCACGGTTGTATTTACAACTGAGATAAAGATCACGCGTTATCAATTTTGATAATACGTTAAAGTTTTTTCTCACCATGTTTAATGTTTCTTAAATTTATGACATGTAAAAATATTAATTCTTAACATGGTTTCTAACTGTTATTTTTTTAATTTTGATATTTAATAACCTTTTTTTTTTTTAATATTTACTGTAATAATGAATTCATTTCCACCACGAACTGCTACGCTATTGTATGAATTAGACAGTATGTATAAAACTTAAATGGGAGTCCAGAGCATGTAATGGCAAAATACAAAGCGAAAAAAATAAAAACAAAAAAAATATCTTTGGCGGGAAAATTCTGAAACTACTGAAGTATACATTTTTTTTTTCTGTATTAGAAAAAATTTTTTCCAATTTTGATGTTCTAGTTTTTCTTTTTGTTTCAATTATTCACATTCTAAATTTTGCCATTCCAAATACTGCTGTTCCATATGGGACCATTCTACATAATGCTATTCGTTCACTCAAATACATTTTTTAAAATATCACTATAATTACTTATTATACTGTGTCAAATATTTTCTATTTAATTTTATTACAAAAATAACACTAATTCTATTTTGCTTTGTTGCAGAAAAACTCATGGTTCTTTTACGAGATGGTAGAACGCTTATTGGATATCTAAGGAGTGTTGACCAGTATGCTAATTTATTACTTCAACAAACTGTTGAACGTATACATGTGGGTAGGAAATTTGGTGATATACCCAGAGGTGTGTTTTTAGTGAGAGGAGAAAATGTAGTTTTACTTGGAGAAATTGTAAGAATGTTAATTACTTGTTCATTGTCTAACAAAATTAATTATTTTAAAATTTGTAGGATTCACTACAAGAAGCTGATCAAATGTTTGAAAGAGTGTCTATTGGAGAAATTTTAGCTTTGCAAAAACAAGAGCAAGATGCCAAAACTGAAAGAGCAAAATCTATTGAGCGATCTTTGAAAAGAAGAACTACGAGATATCCTCCTGACATTATTCAAGATGACTTTCTTTGATTAACAGTATATCATAATTATAATAACAAATCAACAAATTTTGAAACAAATATTTTCCAAATTTAGTTTTTTTTTTACTGATTGAAATTTTATATTGTAGGGAACTAAATAGTAATTTTTTGTTTAGTTATCAACATTTACACCTTACAAACTAACCTCGCCCCACCAATGAAACAATGACTAATGTAAAATATCATATGACATATTGTTACAATTTCTATGTGTAAAGTAAGTTTTTTAAAATTTTAAATTAAAAATATAAAAATAATTAGTTGTATTTTATCTAATAGCAATAAAACAAAACTTGTATTTTTTATAACCAAACAAAAATAATGAATCTATTTTTAATTCAATAAAAGTTCTATTGATTTAAAATAATAGTATTTTATATTTAACTATTACAGAATTATTTTTCATTTTAGAACTATTAAATGAAATAGAGATTGTCAGATTTAATTGAACTAAGTAACAGATAAAAATGAGACCGTCATAATAAAATATTTCTTTTAAATTATTTATTTATTTAATTACATTAATTCATTTTCTAGGAGATACAGATTAAATTCAAGACTAAAAATACTAACTTAACCTAATATACAATGTACCACAAAACTATATATGTAACTTTAAAGCAATAATATTATAATGTACTACAATCATTGTTAAATTTTGATTTATTATTCTAATTAAAATAAAGTTATACATTTTATAATTATTAATAATAATTTATTATTTAGTGACTTAGGACATAAATTAAAATATAATTTTTGTACAAATTTTAATATGTTTACTATTTAGTTAATATATATTATCCATAAAGGTTCTTTTGTAAATTCAACCATTACCATTTTATAAACTTAATGCTATTTAAATGATAATTATGTATTGTAATATATTAATTATTTCGTGAAAAATTAAATAATCTGATTAATACAAAATAATATTTTATGTTTATTTTCTTAATGAATATGAGTTTACGTATTGTTAGGTGTGTAGATAAAATGTATTAAATTTATTTATTTATTTTTATATAGTTATTAATTTTTTTTATGTATACAACAAAATTGACATTGACATCAATACTTGTAAATTATAATACCATTTTAAATTGTAATTTTGTAGATTAATAAATTAAATAACAGATATAATTAATTATAAAAAATTTATTTGGAATGTGGAATTTTTATTGGGATTTATTGAAATAATATGTTCTGATTTTTTTTTTTTTTTATGTTAATAAAGTTTCAACTTGTATACCAATAGGTGATTATATAAATTGAATATATTTTAGTTTCAATGTTTTGTATTTATCAGATTTCTATTTGACACAAACAATATGAGTATTATTTTAAAGCTCTAAGTAGATCACTATTTGTGAAGATTCCAATAAAGTTAATAATGTATTCTACAATCTTATACCTCATCTGACTGTCTTTTAGTGTTCCTCTGCCTCCCTACATACATTATGTCCTTTACTATATCCTATTGTATTTTTATAACACATCCAAGTATCCACTATGTTATTGTGTTTACAAAAGTTTGTGAAAATACCAAAGCTTTACAACTTTTACATAAATAATAAGTGGAATATCTTGTTAATGGGTTGATGGAAATCAAAAAATTTCAACATCAAAATTTATTTAAACTAATACTATTTATTTATGACATTTTGAATATAGGTTCTCATTTGAATTTCAGAAGTTGATCCTTAACACATCCCCATGAGAGTAAAAAAAATAACAAATTATAAATCCACCTATATATATTATATAGAGTCATAATATAAGAAATTTAATTTCACTGCAAGGAGAAAGTTAAAAAAAAAACCTTTGACCTGGTATAGATTATTATTATTATTTAGTATTATTTATAAATACTTCAAGCTAGAACCATTTCAACCAGTATACAAGTAGGCGACTACACTTGTATGAGCTAAATGCAAAGAGAACGAAAAGACAAAATATGAAATTAAAACAAGTTATTATTATAGATAAAACTTAATTTTTCTTAAACTACATTACACAAAATGCATTTTCTACAATTAATTTTATTGAATGTTGACTGGTATAACAAATATCACATAAACAAATAAAACGTAAAAAGCAACTAAATAGTTTCATTATTAGCACATAGTATTTTAATAATAAATTTTACATAATAATAAATGACAAATATAACCGAATAAATCTAATTTATAAACTAAAATGTTTGATCTTCATTCACCATATTTAATTTTTGATTTATGAACAATGGCAACCATTAAAGTCCATTTTGTAAAATATGGTAAGCAGCTCCAAGAGCCCAGCTTATTTCGTGTCCGTCAATAGTATTTAATAGCTATAAGATATAATAATATTGATTAAATTTTCAAAACCTAAATAGATAATAAATTTGTATATAAGCTAACCAACTTACAGAGACTGGTGTTTCTATCGGTAAACCAAATCCTTGTTCTAATAACACAGAAATATAGGTCAAGTCAAGACATTTGAATGGACGTAATTCATTATAAGCTGTTTGGGCACATTCTAGAACAAATTTATTAATTATATAATTTACTTATAAAAATAATAATTAATTATTTATTTTATGTATATTTATTATGGAATGTAACAAGACCAAATTAAAATAGTATATAAAATAAAATAAAAACTAATAACAAGTTCCAACTCTTTGAGCATGCAAAGTTCTCGGTTTTTAAATGTATTATAAAATATAATAAACTATAATTTCATATACAATTTTCAAAGAATTTTATGACCTAGTATAATATATGTGGAATCTTAAATAAATAACATATTTTGTAAATAGTTGACAGGACATTTTTAAAATTAACTATTATGAATACACATACTTAAACTAATTAAACAGATACTATACCTTTCTCTGCAGCTTCATAAAATAACTTAATGGTTACATCACCTCCATCTTCTCCTAAACAATACAATTTTAATAATAGCATTATACATTTAATAATAAATGTAATGTTTTTATATTTATGTTTGATATTGTTCAATTCATTCTAATAAACTAATATTCTACCTAACAGCACAAAATTATTCCTACTGAATGAGAATTTGCTAAGGTGCGTGTTTTAAAACTGAATAAGATTTGTAGGAATTATTTTGTTTTGAATTGAATGTTACCAAAAATGCAATATCATTGATTGGAAATAAACTTCAAAAATTAAATAAACATGCATCAGTAAATTTGTGAGGCTGCAAGTGTTCAGAAAATTTGCAAAACCCTGATAAGTATCCCAAAATTTTGAGATTCATAATTTAATTTCCTAATTTATTTGGCTATAGGATACTTTAATACTTTTTTAGATTGTGAATGCAGCAATTTACTGGGTTTATAATGTTTATTTTTTTTATTTTCATACTGTGACAAAAATTTCTACCATAAATCTTGCTCTGATATGCAAATGTGGTACCATTTTTGAAAGGAAACTTTGTCTAGATGGTGCTTTGGGAAGGTCATTTTTTGATTTCTTAAGCGGTTTTTATAATATATGGGAAAATCCGAGATAAAATGTAAGAAAACGGTGAAATTTACAAAAATAATGCATATATTATTTTCAATTTTGTTTTTTGTTGTAATTCAGTTAAACATTTATGTAGATATGAAATTTATACAGAAAACTTATATTTGCCTTTTCTAGACATGGTAAAATGTTCAAAACATTTGACCCATTTTTGAGTTATTTATAAAAAATTTAATTTTGCGAATTTTGTATGTAATTTTTATTTGGTAGGTACTTAGTGGATTAGATTGTTGGACTAAACAGAAATACTTTAAAATTTAACAGGAGGTTCATTAAGTTGTTCTTTGTGGTCAAAAAATAATGAGCTTAATGTAGTATTTTTTTTTATAAAGGAATTTTATTATTAAATTTTGACAAAAATCATTTTGAATATAAATTATGTGGGACAAATCTAGTTACTTTTCCATGCAAATTTTTCAATTTTTTATTTTGAACATATGTGTATTGCCAATTTAAGAGGACGTTATACCCGCATTAACTGTCTCAGTCCAAGCTATCGGGTAGTATACAAAAACAATGCTCACGCAAAATAAGTAAAACAATTTTTTGATTTTGATTTAAGAGTAAAAGGACCTAATATTAAATTTATAAAGAACAATATTTTGGAGGTAACATATAAGGGTTTCTAGAATTATGAACTATTAAAAAAGTTATAACTATTTAAAAAATAAAAAAAAAATAAAGGTTTTGTATCTTTTATAGCGATCTGTATATTTTGAATAATACAAAAACCATAAGACATTCCCTATATTGTTCTCTAAAAATTTCATAATAGGTACTTTTACTCTAAAATCAAAATTAACCTAGTTTTACTTATTCTGTGTAAGCATTGTTTTTGCATGTTACCTGGTGGTTAGACTGAAACAGTAAATACGGGTATAACGTCCTCTTAAGAATGATGGTGAAGTGAGGAGCGTACTTTCTTAGTTTCGAAGTTGTAAGTTTTTGATGTTCTAATATTATGCAGATATTAAATGTGTTAAGTTACATAACTAAATATCGTCAATTTTATAGTTGCCTTTCAAAGTCTAATGGTGGTTGTTATCCCAGAGATTGCAAATTCAAACCAAGTTCTGTTTTTTTTTTTTTTTGGAAAACTACGTCGGGTAGGTAACAGGAAAAAAACAAAATCAATACTATTAACTGAATTTTGCTCAGAATCGTTTTTTTTATAAGCAATGATTAATTTTTGCTTACAGATATACATTAAATTCCCCTCTATATCCTACCTTCCTAACTTCTCATCTACAACAGTGGTCCACCCATTGTATGAAGTATGTCTGTCTTTTTTAGGGATACAATTATTCATTAACAATGTCTTTAAAAGCTATAAGTAATATTTGCATTAATTTTTTTTAATTTAAAAATGCATAGAAATCATACCAACAAGTCCAGCATCTTGTGCTCTATCATAAAAGTATGAAAATGCTACTATTTTTTGGTCACGTAAATCTTTTGGTTTGTCAGTGTAAACAGTTTTAACTACAGCTTCAATAATACTCTTACACAGCTGATAATCAACAGCAGGACCTTTTTTTGATACAGCTCCACTATAATAAATATTATAATATAGTTAAAATATTACTAGAAAATTGTAGATACAGCATATGATTATTTTTGTATAAAACTTTTTGAACTTGATTTAGTAAATATAAATATTTTATACTTACTTTACATGGTATGTGTTTTGACCAAATTTATATGGTGTTCCTCGGGCTGCTTCATGAACACATGGACTAGTAACATTAAATGTTTCACCATCAACAGTCAAAACACTCTTTCGCGCAGCCATTAATCCAAGACCTAAATAACTAAACAACATTTTATTTTTTGAGATATAGTCTGAAAATGTTTATTTTAATATACCTGTGGCTATATAAATTCACTTTTTCATTCATTATTGAATATTCTGAAACAAATTCTGGTAATTTTTGTTTACTACTAGTAGGAATAAAAGTGATCTGTATAGATCCACCACCTAAATCAAGTGCAGCTACTGTATTTGTTAATTTTCCCTTCAAACGATCTAAAAAGTATATACATATAAATAAATAAATAAATATTACAAGCTACTGTAATATAACATAAATATTTACCTAGGAGAAAATTAACAGTGAACCAGGAAAAAAGACCCTCATCAATACCATCCATTATGGACACGGAATTTGTATTTGTGTAAAACGGATTATGTTTGAACAATTGTCTGATCTAAAGAAGAAAAAAATTACTGTTTGAAATTGAAGATTAATTTGTTAGATAAGATTTGAAAAATACTTCATTGAGAAGTCCATCTGCTTTTTCTGTTGGTAATAATCTTAAACCAGCCGTAGCTTTCATTGCAAGAGGTGTATTTTTCCAAAATTTCTCAGGCACAAAATTTTTAGCCTTGGCTAATAATTGATCAATTGATTCAGCACCCTACAATATTTAAAAAAGAAATTAACTCAAAATAATATATTCAATTTTTTTTGCTTTAAAACATTTACTTTTTTTGGTTCATCTGCAAAACTAGATAAACCTGGTTTCACTTGTACAAATAATTCATCTTCTAACACTAAAGAACCACCTTTAAAAAAATTAATATTAAATATTAATAATTACGTTAGTATTCTTTAATTTTTTAGTATATAATACTCACTGGGTGTTTTTTTAAAGGCCAATGCTAACACTCTAGAACCAGTACTTCCTGCATCAATAATAACTGCATATGCAGGTTCTGACACTTGCTGGATTTTATCATCACTCGTAAAAAAATCTGATTTATATATTGTGTAATAAGCTGAAATTGTTAAAATAAAATTGATTGTTGAACATGTTAAATTTGTATTTTACTTACAATATACTACCATGAATATTATAGCCAGGAAGCTGTATAGTAAATATTTATTACTTTGAACAACTTTGGGTTTAGTTTTGTCATTGGAATAAGAATCATCATTTTTAATATTCTGTAAACAAAGAATCAAGAACAATATTAATAAAATAAAAATAAATTATATAATTGATTGGGCTTAGCTCACATTTTTTTTTATTTTCAAATTTGAACTGTAATAACAACTTCCATTAAAAATTATGTTGTATAGTACAAAAAGTGTATCATTAAAAAAAAAAATGTAAACTCCAATACTTATAGCTATAATTTGTATAGAAATCTGTTTTTCATAGGTACTAATTTAATACTAATGATTATTTGTTTGAAAATTGTACATATAACAATTTATAATGAAATGTATCTACATGAAATTAAACTTACTTTTTTTTCAATTTATTGATCAAATTAGTATATAAGATTATTCTTATAATGAATATATTATTTAAATATTATTTTCTGTTAGTGTTAAAAATATTGCACATTTATGAAGTTTGGTTAAAAAGTAAATATAAAAACTGTGGTTTATAAACAAAAGTATTAATTAGGTATATAATTAATATTCCTGCACTTATCATAATCATGACTCACTAGTAATTATTTATTCTTTATTTTATTATATTCATATCTAATAATAATAATTTACAAAAGTTATTCCTTCTAAGTAGATACCATTAACTCATACTTAACTGATTTTCAAAAAAAATCAATAATCATAACTTTATAACTTACATGACTATTTAAATTCATAATATGCATATTTTCTTTCTCCATATTATAAAAATAATTTTGAATCAATTTTAGTCAAGTATATGAGTATCACAAATACCATTTAAAACATTTAAATTAAGTAGTATATAACAGGGAATTAAATAAATAAATTGTAGCAATAAATATATTAGTATTTTTGTAATAAATATAAATAAAATGTGGTGTATGGATACAACCAGCATTTGTGTCAATATTATATTTAAATCAAGGATGTATTATGAGTATCTATATTTTAATGGTACTTCATGTAAATGTATATACAATAAAGGTATATTATATTATTATGTTTATGTTTATTATAATATAAATAATAAAGTCAATCATAATATACAATAATTCATATCATTAGCTAGGTAACTGATAGGTGGTAAATAATAAAACAATTATAAGTTATTATTCAATGTGAAAGTTTTTTCTTGAGGACTTTTTACTGTAATAAATAGGAAAAAAATTGAGTCTTGGTTATAAGTATTGGAAAATAATAATTAAAATCACTTGTATAAAAATGACAAGCTGTCTCGCCCAGTGTTGCCTATGCTAATTTTTTATTTATTTTACCTATATTCCTTTTCTAATCTTGCTTCCTCCATAATGCCTTTGTCTTTTGTGTTTCAAATGTAGATCGACTAACTGTCGACAATGCAGTATTTAAAAGATTAAAGAAGATATATCTTATATCACAAACAAACTGAAGTGTACATAATATTGATTTCTTTGTTGGTAGTTAAAATTAAATATTTTCTCAACACATGCGACAAAAAAATAATTAGTTACTTATACATATTCATTGAATACATACCATAGACATAATAAGAATTTGCTCAAAACAACCCAGTTAATTAATATTTGTTTTTCATCAGTATTACCAAGGTACCCCATTGATAAAAATAATAATTTTATCTTTGTACCTAAAGTATCTAAAAACCAGTTTTTATAGGTGATGGTGGAGTTAACGAGTAAAAGTGCACTCAACAACTTCCCTAAGTTTCATAATAATTGGACGAATGGTATAGTAATGCATAAAGGACAAACACACAAACATTCGTTTTTTATATACATAGAATGAATAGAAAAACATTTTTTAATTTTTTTTTATAACTAATAAAAAAAATATCAGAAAACAAAGTATATAGAATAATAAATGGGGCATTTGCAATTTTTTAAAAAATGTAGACTAAATTGGAATTGAACTCATTTAGGTTTAAGATGTATAGTTTTAAATTGGTAACAATATTAGTTTATGGTAAGTACTTTGAAATATAATGTACCAATAACGATATAATTATGTGATAAAAAAATGTTTATCTATTTAAAATGCTTTTTACTGCCTAGTAATTTATAATTTATTATGTAACAAAAATGTTTCTATAGTGTTCTTAAAATATTTATTTAATATATATTATAGATATAATTTAATATACATTTTATTTAGTTAAATTATGAAAAAAACGAATTTAAAACTATTTAAGTTTAACATGAAACTCATTTTATAATGATAAATACATAATGAATGTTACATATTCTGTCAGTAATAGATTATAATAAAATGTAACAGTGGCGGTTTTATAGTTCAGTGGGTCTGGAACTTCCCTCCAGACACCAATATAATTTAAACAAAATTACATACAAAAAAAATTAAGACATATTAATAAGATTTGTCAAAACTTCTCCCAGAAAAATGTTAAAAACCCGCCACTGATTGTAAATATTCATTTTTGTTTATTAGATAATTAATTAAGTATATATTAAGTTAGAAATGTATCTACAAACAAATGATAAAAATCACTAAAACTTAGAAAAGTTAAAATGTACAATAAGTTCAAAACTATATTGACCATATTTTATAACCTTCATCTCTGGCCCTGAATTCAATGCTGACAAAAGATGAATCTCTATAAAAAAATATAGGTACAAATAGTTAATACGTAAATAACAAGATAAAATTGGTGCAATAGTCAATAAATTCAGACAAAAGTTCAGATTTAGTTTTAACGAAAAAATAACATTAATAAATAATTAAACAAACACAATTAGTGCAATAAATTAAACAGTCATAATTTAAAAAAATAGTATTTACAAACCTGTTTTATTTTCCTGGTAGGTCTTTCCATTTCAAATAATAAATTAGGTATCTGTCTAACAAAAAGTCAACAATGGTAGAAAACTTCGTAGTTTATGCAGTACTTTGCTGTATTTGATAAAAAACAAAAATCGATTACTATAATATTAAGTAGGATTGTGTATGCCTAAACTATAAAACAAAGATGCCCATAATAATTAATAAGTAGTGAGTAAAAACTATAGTATTGGGTTGATGGCTGGTGTTGTCGACTAGACGACTAGACGAACCTTGAAATTTGTCCATCACGGCCCGTTACATAACGATAACATGGTTGAAAACTTATCTAACCTACAGTGACTCACCCGCGACCCGCACCTCTGCACCTAACCGTCTTTTCTTCCAAAGTAAAAAACAACTTTGGTCACAATATCACGGTAGGTATATAACACATAGATTATGTACGACGAATATTCAATGATAGTTTATCGATAGTTTGTTCGTAGTAGTTTCGATAGTTTATTTTTTATGTTAATTTTAGATTATGGAAAAAAAACAATATAACAAATATAATTGGTTTATAGTTAAATCGTATAAGACTGGATCGTTAAATATTTGATTAGTTGATCCGTTAATAAACCGTGATATTTTCACAGATGTCAATATGTTATATTATTATACATTAATTAAACAATTTATTAATATACGGAGATTCGTTTTATTTATTTTTTTATTAATTTAAACGAAAACAGGGAATTTTGTACTAGGCGATCTTAAAGTTAACTGTTCTAAAGGGCCAGAACTTTTATTGTTGAACACTATTTATTTCGTAAAATATTTGTCTTTTTCAACAATTTAAGAAACAAGCAGATCTAAAATTTTATATTGCAATTATGTTTGTCGACTTAATTTTTGGGGGTGTAACAATTACTAACTTTTAATTTTCAATTGGTTACATATTTTATTAAAAGTTCCATACATCCTTAGATAGAGTATTAGTTCCGTGGTGAAATTTTTTGATTCAATGAACCCGTTCACAAGATATTCCACTTTTAAGTTTAGGTAGAAGAGTAGTGGAGCACTGTTCAAACGCCGCGCGCCTTATCGCCACACAAATGATACTCCATTACTTTCACCATAATAAAAAATGTTTATAACAATAATAATTACCTATAAGAATAATAATTATTTATTATCTATGACTCTGTAATGAATTGTATGAAATTTCTCATATTTTTTTTATTTACTATCACAAGTTATCGTTTTATGTGATTTGACCTTATCTCTTTGTTACGGTCAACTCCATAGCGTTTTTACGCGCTTCTAAATTTATTCTGTAACCAGTTGAGTAGCACCGTTACAGTTTCTTGCCATTGCCACCAGGTATCAGTCCATTCACTTTCTTTCTTGAATAGTTTCTCAGGAATATTATTCCTTAGTTTATTTAATCTTCATAACTTATATGAGTAATATATAAGAATACCAGAAAAAAAAATGAATGATAATATCAGAGAATTAGTACAATCACATAATAGAGATGTTGTGATAGATAGATGTTTCTCAATATAAATATTATGTACATCATATATTTTTTTAATATAAAATAATAGACCATTTAAAATTATTAAATAATTTTAATGAATTTGGTATCCAAGGTCCAGCCTACGACTTATTAAGCTCGTATTTAAAAAATAGGAAACAAAGAGTTCGAATAAATAATTCCTTAAGTCTAGAAACACTATCAATATGTGGGGTACCTCAAAGGTATTAACCTCTCTTTCACTCTATTTAATATTCAAATTAACCAAATAAAAAATCTGAAAATACATGGTAAACTAGTCTGTAATGTTGATGACATTGTTCTTTTTGTTGATGATAATTCTTGGGACGAGGCACTTTTTGGCACAATAGTCATTAGGTGTACAAAAGAAAATTTAATAGAAACATTAAAAAAGAATTAAAATAACTGTTTAAATTATAAAAATGATACAAATAAAGATATAGCGATTGCTAATATAATTAGATACCGTTAACATTACTTTTTAATATTTTTTTTATATTTAAATTAATTTTTATTAGGTATACATTTTTTTTTTCAGGCAGTAATTTTAGCATTTTAAACTTCATAATATAACATTGAAAACACAGCAAATAGTCTGATAATTATATTTATTTATTATTCATATTATTATCATTTTGGTTTTTTTTTTCCGTATACCAATATATAAGTATTAAAATTTAAGATATCTTAAACCGTGATAAGTATAAGTTTCTTTACACACATTATGTAATATCAACATTGTTATCTTGTAAAAACAAATGCAAACTAGTAACGTGTTGAAAAACAAATAATTGAATGTTGTTTAATTTCTGTTACGTATATACAAATTACTAGAAAGTTAGTAATTTTGTTATACAATTGTAGTTTTACTGTAGAATAAAGATTTTGGAAAGGTTATGAATTGTTTATATTTTTGATACATTTTAATAAGATTGTGTTAAAAATAGATAAATTAAGTATCAAAAAATGTGTTATATTATACATATATATAGGCCAATCTATTCTATGATGTAATTATACATTCATATTTTCTTGTTTACACTGAAAATAATCGAGTCTAGAAATGAAAAACTTAAAATTAGATACCTATTATTTTTTATAGGTATTATCTACTTTGATGTGCAGAAAACATATACTTACCTACTTTCAATTTAAAATGTAAAATTGACCACGGATAAAATTATTACAAATGTAATGATTAATTTTATGTATACTGATTCAGAATAAGTGCATACCTAGTGACAGATGTAAGCACATCAGGGTTCACATATGGAGGGTGTACAGTTGGCAATTACCTATGTGGTGGAGGTTTACTCGTTTATCCAACGTGTGATTAATTGTACATGCACAAACCAATGTGCTCTTATTCTGAATACAGTATAGATTTATAATAATTTACATTTAATATTTGCCTTCTTCATAATTTAAATTTTAAACGCATTATTTGATTAGTATTAAACTTATATTAACTCTAACATTATAAACACAATTCACAGGCTACATTTAGAGCAGTGTTCAGCTTATCCTGAGGGTAAATAATAAATATATTGAAGAAATGGAAAAAGATAAAATTATGAGAATACAAAAATGATAATTAGATACTTATCTGCTTAGATAGTAACAAATTATTATGTTGATAAGAGTAGATATTCAGAGGACCAATAATACACAATGTATCAGTAAATTATAAAACATATTATTATTATTATATGTAACAGTTTTTATGGTATTTGTAATTAAATGTATAAATTACAACAATATAATATTAAAATTTGTATTAATTAATCCATAAATACATATGGTTAATTCCAATAATATATATATATTTAATATTAATTATATATAATTTCAGTATACAACTCAATACATAAAAAAAATATACTATATATTAAAAAAAACTTAAAAAATTATATATCACCATTTCAAATATTCTTATACAATTCATACAATAATTAAACATACATATTATATATATATATATATATATTTGTTCAGTAAAATGAATTGCAATTACCTTATTACTAGGGAATGGATTTGTATACAATTAAAATCCACAAAAATCCCCTTCTCTAATATCTCTAACTTATTAAAAATAATTTTCTAACACTACAAAAATACAAATAATTTTTTCAAATAAAATTGTAAACACTTTATAAAATACTTAGTGTTAATTATATTTTAGTGTTAGACACTTTTATTTATAACAAGGTTAGAAACATTAAAAAGAAGATTTTTAAACCCCTCTAACACTTGCTTTTTAAATTATTTTTATTTTATTTTTAAAGGGTTTTTTTTTTTGCAGATTTGAATTGCATATAAATCCGTTCCCTACTCATTAATAATTTAAAATCACATTCAAATCAATTGGCAAGACAATTGTAATTAAAAATAATAACATACTATCAAAGTAAAATTAAACTTTAAGAAATTATCACTTATTTATCATAGCTGCACTGAGATTCATAAATACAAGATAAGTAGATAGGTGGGTACTGTAAAATATTTAGTGATAAATTACTAGCAGTTTTATTTTCTAGACATTTTATTAATATTAAGAGGCCATCTACATGTGCTGTTTCAGTACAAATAACGGGCAATATAGCAAAATATACTTTAGGCAATCTGCATAAAAGTTACTTAATTTTGGTTTTGGAGTAAAAGCACTAATTGTAAAATTAAAATGAGTAATTTAAAAAAGATGAATTAGTTTTATTTCTAAACTCATGTATTGAAAATTATATTTGCAATAATAGCATAGTTTTGTCCAACTGAATATTGTCCTCTTTTAATTTTACAATAGGTGTTTTTACTGTAAAACAGAAATTAAGCGAGTTCTACCTACATTGCGTAAGGAAGATTTTGCTATATTGCCCAGTAGTTGAACTGAGACAGAACAGACAGGTATAGCATCCTCTTAATATACTAATTGTTATACATGTTCAATGCATGGTATTATTTGAATTTAAATAGTATTTATATCACTTACTACAATAATATTAAAAATTAAAAATAAAACAAATGACAATATCACCATAAGAAAATACTCTATATATGTATTATTTAGATCCCTGTTTGACTATTTGAATAGGTATTACATAGACTTTGGTTTACATTTTTCTGTTTATTTTAAGAGTTCATAACAGCACTATTATGACATTAAAGCTAGACCCAACTTAGCCAACATCATTTGTTTTCGCAGTCTTACGATTTCCCAGTACATGTCGTTTTCTAAAAAATAACATTAAACAAATAATATTATTAATAGGTATAAATAATAGTAAATAAAGTTATGTAGGTATTATATTATTGTTGAATATGCGCTAAAACAATAAAAATGTGTATTTGTATAACTTATCAAATTATAATTAACATTTAAGCTGTGCTTATTGCAAAAAAATATTAATATACTTCTGCATTGCTTCAAATTAAAAAAAAATATTAATGTGGTGATATCTATATAAAGACATAGTTGTGTCATATTGAAATACATATTAAACTATGTTACTTCAATGTTATATTTTAATTTTTAATAGTATTCTTAATTAGAATTCGACTATTTGAACAGTTTTAATAAGTGTTAGTAAGCAATAGACAAGGTTTATGTCTTATAGTTTTGACTATCAATTTAATTTATGTAATTAAAAATAGTTTGTTAACCTATTAGTTGTTATATACCTAATACATAATATTAATGTTAAACTTAGTATATATTTTTTTTAAAAAAAAGAGACAAAAATATTTACTTGTATAGGTATTTTTGTTTTTATTTAAAAAGACTGCACATATTTTATTTTCATTTGTTAAATTGCAAAAATGGTAAATCAAATGTTATTACAATTTTAAAAATAATTAAGTTATTGATCCTAACATAAAGAAGATTTGATACTCGTAGTCACTGGCTTACAAACTAATAACATAGTAAATTTGTCTTCAGCAGGAACAACTATTACTATATGCTGTTAGTTTTAATATTAGATTGAGTTGACTTATTATCAAATTTTATGATAAGAACATTATCTGTGCAATGTTAAATCAATTGTTATTTTAATTTTTAAACATTATTCAAGCATTCTTAAATAGTGATATTTCACATAATTTAATATAATCTTATCTTTCATACAGATTAAAATACTGAAAAAAAAAAAACAGTGCTAACATCGCACTGTTAACATTTTTATCTTTAAGTTTAGTAATATGTCAATTCACTTTAATGTTGAAACTACAGCACAATATTGTCCTCGCTGAATGGAAATTTGTTATTTCGTATATTTGTGAAACAGAGACACCACATGCAGGTATTACCTACTAAAGATAAAACGATTGAATCATTTATACAAGTTTACTAGACTAAGCAATACATGCATACTGCACACTACTATTATAATATTCGGTGAGTAAAATGTATCAGAAATATGTTCAATGATAAAGTTTAATACAATATTGATTACTTATGTGCAACTTAGGTACAAAAATTTAAATAATAAATAAATATGAGATAAATCCATAAGTAATACTTTTTAGCTTTTCACTATTTTATAAATAGTACACAAAATTATTGTGATAGTAAAATGTTTTTTAACCTACATAATTTCTAGGTGAAATTCTAACTATAACAGTACTATATTACTTATAATACCTAAATGGAATAAAATAATACTAATATGTGTATGCTTATGTGTGAATGTTATTACTTATTACTATTAATATTTAAAGCTATAAAATATTTTTATTATTAGAACTTTAGGTATTTTACTATTCCATTAAACGTGAAAGATGATAATAGTTTGATTATTCACGTGAATGCCATTTAATCCAATTGTCCATCTTGACACTAACATTGTTAATTTTAAACAATTGAAATTACCCTTGTGGTCAAATAATATACTTGTCACCGTGTTTCTAATTTTGTATATTCAATGTATAATATTCACCTAACGAAAACGTTTTAACTACAGTAAATTAATAATGTTATGTTCAAAACTTATAGAAAACAAATACATTTTCAATGATATTACCACAAAATTGGATGAACTTATTACAAATATTTAATCTTCTTAAGCCTTTTTTCACATTTTGTTTTTTTAACACTGTTATTATCAACATTTCTACATTTATATTATTAGGTATTATTAAAAATAAATACACATAAATTTAAATTGTATTATTGATAAGAAAACAAGTATTAATAAAAAAAGTAAATAATTTATACATATTTAATAAGATGTGTATATTGTACATTAAGCGAAATAAACCTTTCATGTGACCATAATGCACGATTATTGATGATGCACAACTAATATATGACATACACATAATGTGATAAAAAAATTTTGGAACCATGAAAATAATTTTGAAAAGCAATTTCTAAAGTATAAAAATAATAACACTTAGTGCCAAATCTAATATCATGTCAAACAATATGGATGTTACTGATGATAGTTAACATGTTCAAAATCATAAATTGATTTACCTATGATTACCTTGATATTTTAATTTCATCTACATGAATAATATTGTTAATAATAATTATTTTAAATTTTACCATCAATTTATTTAAGCATGGTAATCGATAATATTTACATTTAAATATTACTTTGTTAATTGTATATTTTTTAAAAATTAGTATGAAATTATAGAATTATAATTGTTCCTACACTATTACAAAACAATAGATATTATTTATCTCTAACAATGATCGATTAAAAAAAAAAAAAAAAAAAACTATGTAACTTTCAACAATAAATATATTATTAAATTTTTGTTGTGAACCATAATTAAGAAATATTATACAAACCTGGACTTTTAACAAGGCCTCTTTGAATGTATCTGAGATAATTGAGAAAATCGCATACAGCTGTAATCTAAAAACACAATAATTTTTCATTTAATTTACTGGGTATATATTAATATAATTTAATGTACATAATTTGCATTATTTAATTTACCACATTATACATATATAATTTGAAATAAAACAATTTTAATAAAAATTATTCTCAAATGTCTTAACCCGTCAGTGGACACGATGATTTTTATTACACCGTTGGGCGCATGTGAGTGCAGCACTCTTTATACCTGTTTTGCCAATTTTGAAAGGCCATCTGGTTGTGTTCTGACATATACTTCCATATTTAAAGTGTAAAATGTCTTTGAGTCAACTAAAGCTTGGATCTTGATCCCATATTTTTTGAGTTTATTGGGAATATATTGTCTGAAATTACATTTCCCACTAAATCCTTCTAGCATTTCATCTATCGTAGCATTTTCTCCTATAGTATAGCAGTCCTGACTCCGTTTTACAAAACCATCGAATATGGAGCGAATTGCAGCCAGTTTATCTTTTGATAACCTTTCTTTCCTTGAACGATAATCATCAAACCTAAGCGCACGCAATAACAAATAAAAACGTTTTTCAGGAATAACTGCATGAGAGTATTCTTGAGCGAAGCCATCATTTGACCATAGGTTTTTTGGATTCAAATGATTACTTCAAAGATAACCCGCTAGGTATAGGACACCAAAGAGTGCTTTCATCTCAATAATATTAGTGTCGAGTACGTCATTTTCTCTTTGATAATTTATTCTAATTTCAGCTAAATATATATTTGTACAATTTACAATTTCTTCTATGATCGTATCAGGAAAAAACCAACTCCAACAATCAACTATTAGACTTGGCGTTTTTCGCACATCGCTTTACCCCAGGCAAATGTAAAATTATATTATGTGAAGGCATACGTACATTCAAAGGGGGTCCGTCAATATTCCACTTCCTAATATTATCATTGCCTAAATAATAGGTGGGTGGGGAAACTGTATCTGACAAAGGACTTCTATAACGAGACCTACGAGATGTACTTGGTTTGTTACGCCTATTTATATTCAATGTTTCATTTACGACAAATTCTGTATCAGAAAAATCAGACTAACTTTCATATTGTTCTTGTATATCAGGCAAAACAAAATCAGGATCATCGGCTGAATCATCTGTATCATATAAACTATCAAAATCTTCAGATTCTTTAATCCATCCAATGATACTTTCGTGTCACTTTATCCATTTTTATTATAAAAGTACGTAACAATAAAATTATTAAACAAAACAACAATAAAATAAAACAAATACGGCATTAGTCGCATGTGAGCACTGCGCTCAGTTATTCATGGCTAATGACTTTAATAGAATCTTGAATAGAAACTCAAATCTTCAATAGAAAGCAAAAACATTGATAAAATCATAACATTTAATTTTGTCTATATTTGAACATATGTCAATAAGAGGTATTTAAAGTTTCACACGAAATACCCCAGAAACATGCCAGTAGTGCCTAAATTTGTTTAAATGTGAGCGTGGCGCTCACATCGCGACCACTAACGGATTAAGAAAGAAATTATTTAGTTAGTTCAAAATAATTAATTTTGTTAATATTTGCAAGTGAAATTTGTTAATATTGGATATTATTAATTAGTTAAATATAGGGATCAACATTTAAGAAATTAAACTAGATATTTTGGAAAAATTTGGTAATATTTAAAAAATTATTTTTTTTTTTTGGAAAAAACTGGGATTTCTCAGAAAAAATTTACTAATGAATTAGAAAACTAACGGAAAATGAATACACCATCACTTAAAATCTGAAAAGGGTGAATCATGCCGATTTTCTACTTTCAAGTTATAATAAAATATTATTATAATATTTTTTATATATTTGGATGATTTTAAGCAAAAATACAATTTTTTAATTTTTCGGAAATTTCAGGTTTTTGTAATACATTATTTCAAGATTCTCTAATTTGTCCATATTTTCTTGAAATTTCTGTAAAATTAAGATTTTAATTCACATTTTACTGAAGCTCTACTTTCAGTTAATATTTCACTGTACAAAGTAAATCATTTTAAATTTAAAGAGTTTTTGAAGTATACTTTTAAAAATATCCTATCTTAAGAAAAAATTATATAGTCAATATTTATCAAAACATTTTAACTAAAATATAAGCAAATGTCTTTAATCATAAAGCTTGAGTATCAATCGATGAGACTAAAGATGTCGATGGTCGCTATATAGCCAATATTATTGTGGGCATACTTGATTCTTATGAACCTGGTAATTGTAATGCCTGTTAATTTTGAATATTTAGAAAAATCAACATGTAAGACCATCAAAAAAATTATAAAAAAATGAAATTTCATAAAATAGTGATTATCATTTTTAGTTTACAAAAAATAGTCATATCGTCAAAGATTTTACAAAATCATAATTATACAGTGTTATAGATTCTAATTTTTTTATATTTTATATAATATGTATATTTTGTAATTAATTTTAAATAGGCATGTAAGAGTAGGTACATAATTCATTTTGAATCAATACTTATCTTTTTTTAGTACATTTTTGTTGAAAAAATAGTATATTTAATATATTTTAAGGCATATAATTGTATATTTTACCATTTTGAAAAGTTTATTTTTATTATTAATCCTGAAGTCTTATAAACAACACCTACTGTTTATAAAAACATATATATATAAATTAAATTAAATTACCAGTATTATACAGATGAAAGCAACTGAATAATAGAAATATCTACAATAATAATATATATAATCTGTATACTATAAATAATGAAACAACTTCATCATAATACAATAGTTAAATGTTTAAAAGGTAATACTTACTCTATTTCGACAAATTTGAGATATAGAATACCATTCATTATCTGATCCTCCTAAATTCATTCTATAAAGACACAGCAATGGTGATTCCATTAGAGCGCATTTTCTAAAATCAAAAGTAAAATTAATATAAAATATTATTTCAAATATGAACAACAAAAAAAAAAAACCAAATTGATATAAAATTGTTATATTACTTTGGAAAATGTGATTTTGATTTGTCTGTAGACTCAATAAAAAGATTTCCAGATTCTATTGCATGCCTAACATCCATTGCCAAAGTTGAATTATTAAATTCTAGGCATTGATCTATATCTTCTCTATATATTCTACTTATAAAAGCATCAGATTTATCTAAGGTTGGAGATTTCATCCACAGAACAAATTCACGATGCACATTTGGGTCCACCTAGAAATATAATTTCTAATATTTGTACTTTATGTCTATGTTACCAAAAAAAAATATGTATTGTATAAAACAATATTTACTTCAGCACATTCAGATATGTCAATGTTTTCTGTTTCTGTTACGGTCTGATTAGATTTTTGTTTTAGTGGTGAATCTGGGGGTGAATTTTCTCGGCCATATTTTAAGTTGTTGTGTGATGGAGATCTCTTGTGTTTACGATAAAACAGTCCAACTCCACTTAAACCACCTTAAACATAATAACAAATTTAATATTATTTTATTTATTGGCTTAAATAATGTTACTAATTGCTTAATAATAACATAGGTAAATAATAATCAGTTCTACTAAATCATTACATATTATCATATTATCTATTTAGTGGAATTCAATATGTTTATGCAAAAACAAATACTTAAATTTATAAAATTATGTTCATTGAATAATTATTTATTATGTTATCGTAATATAAAAGTATGTTCTCTAAATATTTTTTTAAGAAGATTATAATTTAAATTTTTTATTTTAGACAATGAAAACAATTCCGAAGAATATAGAAATAATTCCTGCCAGAGAAGAACACATGAATGATATAAAATTCATTAAGAAAGATTTTTATCTAGATGAACCAGTTTTCAAAGTTCAAAAAATTGATGTCGAAAAACTAGATAATTGCTTTTATGAACACAAAGAAGGTGATTTTACAATAGTAGCTAGAGACACAAATAATGGAGCTGTAGTATCCTTTGCTATCAATAGTATTATAAAGCCTGATAATGCAATGAAACAAAAAAAATTTGCTGGTTAGTATATTTTATTTAATAAATTTAAACCCAAATAATAAACGTGTAAATCATTAATTTTATTTTTAAATGTATACATATTTTTTTAGATTTATACTTTAAAACAAATACAGATCTATACAATGCTTTACAATTCTGGTCGTCAATTCAAAGTGACCCATGCTTATTTAAAATGTTAAATGTAGATGTTATGTGGGAAATTAAAACTTTAGCAACAGTGAAACAATACCGTGGTCTTGGATTATCAACAGCTGTAGCTAAACGCTCATTTGAAACAGCTTTACTCAATGATGACATCTCAATTATTTGTATGGACTGTACTAATCATTTGAGTGCAAAGATAGCTCACAATTTAGGCATGGAGTGTGTGGTTAACAAACGTTTTAGTGAATACAAAAATGATAATGGTCAACCTTGGATTACGAATATACCAGAACAGCCGAATGATACAGTAAATGTATTTATATATAAGAAAAATAACTATAAAAATAAAATATGATTAACCAAAAAATTGTTTAGGAGGGAAATATTTGTAATTTATATACATATATGGTAAATACGAATAAATAAGAAATAAATAAAAAAAAATGTAGCCTGGAGTATAAGTTTATTTTATGTTCGAAAACCAGTTTTGGTTTCAATAATCACCATTAAACAATTGGGTACCATTTTACAAAATCAAAAAATAAAACACAATAGAAGTTAAAATTCAAAAGAGAACTACTTCTTACTTTTTATTTGCAGGAGCAAATTTATACCTAAAAATTTCATACATTTATTTCAACTAAAACTTCATCAGTTAATGTAAATTTAAATATAAGTAATATTTTTCACCACCAAACTACTTTAAATGTGTATTAAATTTTCTAAAAAGAAAAACATTGTTGAATTTTAATATTTCCAACAAATATTTCATGCAAAGATAAAGACTGAAGGGGGAGGAGGAATCACTAAAATAGCCCTCCTAAAATTCAATCAAATCTGTCTATAGTTTTGGGTTAAAAAAAATCACTCTATAACTACTAAAATAATTTAATTTAATGAAATTTAGGTGTTAAATAAAAACTTAATCTACATAATATAAAATAAAATAATATGTATTATCTATTTTCTTATACTATTATCTAAATTTTAAATTTATAAATAAAAATTAAAATAAATTAATACCTGGCATTGAAACACTATCTTCTCTAGATAAATTTGGGTGACTTGGTGTAGAAGTTAATACAAGAGTTTTTAATGCAGCCACTTCTGCTGATAAAACATCAACTTTCATTGAAGATTCTTTTAATGCCCTTGATGCTGCTGCTTGACGTAAATTTGCTTCTTTTACCATATTATGAGCTTCCTAAAATAAATTAATAATTATATTAATACAGGATTTTTTAAAAATGTATATAATTAAACTTGTGACTTGCTTGAAATAAACTAGCAGTTAATTCTTCCAATTCGGCTTCAACATCAGCACGTATTCTACTTAGCCGTGACACTTCTTCATCCCTAAGCTTTAATGTTTCGTTGGCTTTTCTTAACTCTGCTTCAAGTCGAGCAAATGCATGTTCTTTCACTTCATTGACTGACCTATCCCAGCTAGATGCTGAAGATTCCATCCCACTGTCAATATCAGGGTCAGAAATTATGGGATCTATGACTTGAGTTTCAATTGGTTCGTCTTTAACAACCATCTGCTCACTGAGTAAACACTCTTTGATCCCAGCATATGAAGCACCGTTTTTCGTTACTAAACAGTCGCCTTTGACAGTAGCAAAGCAAACCAAATGTTTTTTTGGTGATAATATTAACTCATTATCATTAGCCATTTGGTTAGTTTCATGAACAGATTTATTAATGACATCAGACTCAGATAATGTGTTCATTACAAAATGCTATCTGATTATTTTGCAGAAACCTAAACACAAACAATAAAAAAAAAAAAAATGTTTACATTTAATTATTTAATAAAATCCCATAGCTAATTTTATTATATTAGTATTAACTAATAAATTGTAAACTATTGCCCAACTAATCATAGGTAGATAAAATATAAATATTTGCAATTGTAAAATGATAAGTTTAAACTCTACTGAGTATTATTTAAATCGGGATTTAAATATAAAAAGTGTTATCAATTTCTTTATTATGTTGAAAATGATGACTAATTTATAAAACATAGGTATTATCTTTGTGTATATTAGTTTAGAAATAATAACAAATAGGTACCTATTTCATAATATTATTATAGAATTCAACATATAAAAATGAAATAATATTTTTACAAACAATAAATTTCAGATTCATAAATAGATAAACAACAAAATACTGACAAAATGAAGAAATACTACTTAGATACTTTTAATTTCAAATAATGCTTTCATTTTAAATTATAAATAAATAATAACAAAGAGGTTTCTGGATAATTATAATAATACCTATTAAATTGGATATGTGTATCAGTGTCTAACCCCCTTTCCTCCCACTACATATTAAGTATTCTATAATTAGTATCATCTATATATAAATAGACCTTGGGTCAAAACGGACTGAACTCAGTTCCTTGAATTATCTTAAAAATTTAAATTAGATTGGTCACTTTTGAAATAAATATTTTTATATTTGACATTGATTTATCTATTTCTTGTAATTTAAGTGATTAAGATACCATTTAGCACAAGAAAATAAACATCAAGTTATGTATGTTAGGCTGCCTTATATCAAAATGTCCACAAAGCTTATTATAACCTAAGGTATATATCAAAATAGTACCTATTCATTTACAGTGATACAAATATGAATTTATTAAAAAATCACCCCCTGAATTATTTCGCTAATGAACCAAAATTGTGTGCAAGATTCAATATTTATAAAAGTATAAAAATAGAATACTTTTTTATGTATATATATATATATATATATATATATATATATATATATATATAATATTTTGTATAATATACTTTATAAGTTTACATACAAAAATAAGATAGGAATAAATTGTTGACACAGTATGAAAAACATGCCCAATATTTGTAAAAGGAATAGATGCATACTCATTTGTATTTTATAATTCAAATATAATAAATTATGTAAAAAGTAAACAAAGAAATACCTTTTCTTTGTTCATCAGAAACATAGGTACACAGGTGGACAATGTGGTAATTTAGAATTTGAATTTTGGACGTCTGGTATAATAAATTAAACGTTTTTTTAGTTTTAAATTCGATTTCAATAAACAATCAAGTTGTTTATACATAGGTAGGTAATAATTTGTTTTTTTTTTTTTTGGCAAGTAGTTATTAATATTGTAAATATACAATGTTTTTACTTTCAACAACAATCGAATTGAAATTATAAAAATATAACAATATACAAGTATACCTCGTAGAAAGTGGGTATACTCGCGATATTACCATTGGCGTACTATACTTTCACTACCAATATGAATCATCGGGTCGGTGATAATTGGTTATTATTATTTATTAGGTGCACTTTTCATCAACTGTTTAACAGAATTCGTTAAAAAAACAAAAATATTAAGTAGGTATGACTATTCGTTTAAAACTCGAACATAGGAATTTTCCATATGTTTGATGGAAAGAGTTAGTGCGAAAACGATCCGCGAAACGAGTAGAATAAAATTATAATAATAAATAATAATAAAGATAATAACACATTTTAGCACTCACCCGTCGTAATAATATTCTGTTTTGCCATTATAATTTGCCGGCGTTGAATGACAATGTTTTTAAAAAAAATGGTAGATACATGGTCAAGTATTAAATAAAACTACCCGTAGCGGCGACCTAACGTTATTCGACGGTCGAATCGACCGGTTAAAATAGTATTATTATAAAATGTAGGTATCATTGGTATCAAACATATGACGTGCGCTACCGGACGGACCTGATTAATTGCGAATAATAAAACAAATAATAATAGTAGAAAAAATGACGATAAAAATAATTATAATACTAATAAAAACAATAACACAGAAACGCTAACGCGCACAGACTGAGCGCTTTGACCCTGATAAGCGACGGACAATTTATCACACGGAAAACATGAATTTGTGATCGGTACCCACTACAGAAAATAATACAGAATACACACTATTATTATTGTTGTTGTTTTGCTGTCCGACGTGAAAGCGGCCGCGGAGGCGGAGGATACTGATAGGCAGTGCGTCCGTATGCCGCGCCGTAAATACCGTACATGGCCGGCGGAGGGGGAGCTGTAGCCTGCTGCTGCCCCGGCCGTAGTACCCGATGAGAATGATACATATTACCGGATCGCCAAAATAAAACCGGACCGATCTCGGTATAGGCTACAGTTTTCCCTCTATACAGGAGACACGATTAAGTGGGGAAAAGTTATAACTAATGCATAAGCGGTCTCATCTTCAATAAAAAAAAAATCACACGAAACAAAGAGATGAGATAATAAGCGTCTGGAGAGACGTTCACCTCACTATATTCCTACGTCATGATCTTCAAATGTTTACTTAGTAAATTTTCCCTGAATGAATTGTCAAAGTATACCTATTAATTTATAATTATTTTAAAACAATGAAGTACCTATACCTAAATAAGGTGTAAGTACCTACCTACCTAAATCATTGATGTAAATATAAATTGTTACATATTATGCCTCTCCCGAAATCTAGTACATTCTGATTAGCAATTTTAATTCGTCTAAATCTAAGTATAAGATATTTTTAAAAGTCATAGAGCTAAACAAGCTTTAACAAGTTTATAGAAGAAATTAGAAGTTCGTTGCACGTGCATTAGATAGGTCCATTGCATCTTTTAATATCTTTCTACATAAATATTAGATACCTATAATTATTTATCTATTTGTTTGACAAAAATGGGCAAGTACCCAACAGCAAGAGGACTTACTAAATTATTTTTACGTGACTATTAGGTATTATAGTTAGAAGACAATTTAAGAGGTTTTCCAAAAAAAAAAAAAAGGAGATGACGAAACTTCTGATAGGTGTATCATTGTTATAAATGTGAAGTTGGGAAGATAGGATATGATACATAGTTATTTGATTTATATATGAACGCAACGACAAATCATTGCTATAACAATATTCGAAACACGATTCTAAGCAAAGTTCAGTTGTACATGTTTTGAAATGCAGTACTTTTTCATTTTTCATATAATTTGATCTTAAAACATTTGTAAAAACGAACTACTACATTAAGTACAACTTATAATGAACTTTGTATTAAATTTCCAAGCATTTCCAAACAATTTTATACACACGAAACCAAATACGAATTCGAAAATGCCATATGCTTATAAAATAGAAAAGTAATTTCCGGAAGTGCACCAACAAGGTCCAAAATTCTACAAAAAGCTCTATTGTAATTATTTGATTAGAACAAGATATCTGGTAGAAAAGTTGTTTACAGGCAGACAAAATTAAAAATCGCACACATCATGGTAAAACCATTATATCCATCGCTACTCTCAAAATCTAAAACATACATTATTTATTGTTTATAATAAATTTCGTTTCGCATAATATTATGCTGCTGGGCAGCAATAATTATATACGGTAGATATTTCAATGGGATAGTCGTAACCTGTCTATGTAATCTGTCGCGTGTCATCGCACCGTCGATAAATCAAAACGTCATAACTATATATAATATATAAAAAATAATATTGTGCGTATACACAGACCACCGCCATCGTACAAAAGATACCATACTGCATAATCATAATATTATAGGTACTGAAAATATATTTCTCTTGGGCATCTAAAAGATCGTTGTATTCATAAAAAAAAAAAATTGTTCTTGCTGTTGTTAGCGTTAGCGTTTACCTACATATATGTTGCATATAACTTTTGTTAATCAAATTTAAATATTAAAAACATGTAGCAACTATATAGTCACTATAGGTATAATTACGTAGAACAAAGTCGGGATGATATTTGTATTAAAAGTCGAAAGTACCTATAAGTAATACATGTTGTATTTAAAAAAAACCATAAATTTTTATTGTTCATATTGCTTTTAATTTTTCGAGATTTTTGGAGCTACGTCAATAATAAGGATTTCACAAATTATTTATTTACAATTATTACGGGAGGATATATTTCCCTTACCCACCATGATGTTTTTTTCCTCTTTAATATTTATAAGAATATATTGTATAATATTACCTATTTATTTTAAAAAATGAATATAAACAATAATAGTTGTTAAAAATCAGTCTCATATGAACCCCCTCCCCTCCTCTATATAACTATGAAAAAATCATTTGACCGCCATCGGTACTTATTCAATCTGCGGTCTAAAAAGTTTCTGAATGAAACTTTATGAAATTAAACAATTTAATTTAATACATTTTAATGTAGTTATTTTTTTATAAGAATCTTAATATAAAATTTTGACTATAATAGTAAATATTACTGCCTTTTTAAAACAAGTATAACCAAACTCTGCTCAAAATTGTTTTTCGTGTGCAATGATTAATTGTTGCGTACAGATATAGGTAGATATACATTAAATTCCCCTCTATATCCTACCTTCCTACTTTTCATGTATAACAGTGGTCCACCCATCGTGCGAAGTATATCCGTCTTTTTTAATAATGGATATTATATACGTATAAAGCTAAAACCACCGAGGAAAATACTATTGTATTTATAGTTTTAAACCGTGTAGGTATTGTGTATATTTTATGAAACTATACCTGTACAATATGTAACATTATGTAGGATTTGTCTTTGAACATTTTCGAAACAAATTCGATCCGGTCACAAATAACAAATTAGCAAATGTGTTCCACGAGCTTGACAAACATGCAATGGCAATGACAATTATTATTTGTGCACGAACTTAAATAACGTTATTTCGATTGTGAATACCGCCGTTTTCTTCAAGTTTATTTTTCCTATATACAGCATGATAAATTGTTATTATTACCAAGACGTATCTGAGAAGAACTTTTAGTGGTTTAAACCATCCCTGAAATGTTTTCAAAAATATTGTTTATCATTTTCAAAAGATAAAATGCTAATTATGTTCGCATCAAAAATAATGGTTACTTTAGTTGAAAACCCCTACTAAAAATGTTTGTCCAATTACGGCCTTGATTATTAAATTTAATTTACGGACAAATCAAATTATCTAGTACCCACTCCCTAAACAAATTAATTCACTGATTCATGAGAGCTAACACTGTTCTACTGCATTTTGAATAAACAATTTTTAGGAAATATAAAATAAATAAATAAATCTATAATATTATATTTTAGAATTTTAGAGTTAAAATTAAGAATACCATAAAAACAAACGTCTATTGCTCCTCTCATTTGCTTTTAAAAATATATCACCTATTACCTAGTCAATTGTCACGAAATATATCTTCAATATAAATTATATTCTACTTGTATATTTTGACTGTTGCAGTAGCAGATTTAGGAGAGAAGGGTGGTGGGGAAGATCGCTACCCTCCCGTTTACTCTCAATATAGGTACTCTTAACTTGATTTTCAACATAAATTTGTGATTTATATACATTTTTAAAATCGCCCCTTTTCCGTTATCTAGTCCTGAATTTACCTCTGGACTATATACTATATTATACGATAATATTATCTCAGTACAATATTATTATCGTCATTTGTACATGTTGTGTAGTGCATTGGACTCGGACACTGTACTACGCTATTATACGTCATCATTACTATAATATAATAATATTATCGATATCATTCTGTTAAATTGTACCGGGCTTGTACAGACGTACAGTTGTACCTATAGAATTTTGTATTCATTCATCGTTATTATTATTATTATCATCATCGTTGAATGCCCGGCATATAATGACAACGTGATGCTGTGTACAACACTACAATGACACAATATTACAAAATTATTATTATTATTATTATATAGAAGATACTGTTGCAGTACCTACATCTATGTCAAATTTAACCGATCATATTTCGTAACTATACAATTATTTTAGTATTAAAATAATCGTTTCTTCAAAACGATGAAGGTCTTGCTTTTTTGAAACTTAATTCAGATTTCACGAGTCACGAGTTTCTATATAGGTAATATCGATGAAAATTATGAAACTTTTTCCTATAAGTATATACATAGGCGCAACTAGGAGGGTGTTAGGGGGTCTTTAGCATCTCCAAATTTAAAATTGACATTTCCAAAAATAACCAATACGTTTTTTTAGTTATATAGACTAAATATTTGATGTATTTTATAATTAATAAGCAGAACAAAATATCGATCATACATCTACAGATGACAATATATGTGTGGATAAAAAATAAAGTTAAAAAGTTATGATACATTTCTATGTAAAAAATTGTAAATAAAATATGTAGTTACTAATTTAATAGGTGTCGTGTAAAGGGAATTGTTGAGACGATGACCTCATTCACATCACAGCCAGTAAAATTTTCAAAACATTTGAGCCAAGCTTAGCTATTTAGAGACATTTTAATTTTCTGAGATTTTTGTAATTTTTATTTGGTAGGTAATCTGTGGATAAAATTGTTAGACAAAAAAGAAATACTTGAAAACTTGTATCAGCTCTTTTTCCTTTTTTTTTAATTTGAACAAATACAGCTGGTTTTTGCAGGTTTATATTTTGTCTTTTGCCAAACAATATTTTCTTTCAGAACTATCTTTTAAATTCAATTTTGGATTTACAAAAAATATTTAAAAAATTTAAGTTTAAAAAAAAACGTATAGATGAATTTTATTTTCAGGTGATTGGAAGCAGCGATTTTCTGACTGTTTAAATTGTTTAAAACATTCAAAATATACCGGAATTGAACATGTTTCATTTCACTTGATATAGGTCGAGCAATTTCTACCTTGGAAATAAAGCACGTCTATAGATTCCTAATTATTAATATGCGCAACTAGGGTGTTGCTAGGGAGTCTTTAGTACCTCTAAAAATAATCAATACGGTTTTTTAATAGTATCGACTAAATATTTTATTCATATATTTAAATTTAATAATTTATAAGCAAGCAGAAAGCAATACGATTGCCTACATACAATACATCGGTGTATAAAAATTAAAGTTAA